ATGAGGAAGGGGCGCCTCCCGGGGTGGATATAGAGCAGCGCGAGGTGCGTCGCCTTCTCTTCCATAAGGCCCCAGAGATTGTGCGTGTCCAGTTCAACGGCGCTGTTGGCGTGGGTGACATTGATAGAAACGTCATGGGTGGAGAGCGTGGGGTTGCCTGTACAGCATCGACTTCATCAAAGAATGCACGCGTCCGAGAAATGGTGCGCTCACCGTTGTGGAACGGGGGTGATGAGGATGTCGCGGTCGACGGAGAAAAGCTCGGGCTCGTCCGGTGGGAACCCGAAGAACAGGGAGCGGATGGGCAACGTTCCGCACATAGACGCGTTCGCGAACGAACTAAACTGCGCTATTGTCAGTACCACGAAGCCCAAAACGTAAAACCTAGCTCACCCGATATGATGGAGGTACAGGGCGATCGCCGTCCCTACGCGTTCGCGACATGGCGCTCCGCACCAAGGAAGTAGCACAAGTGCCGGCAAGTACATGCACCGCCAGGACGGTCCTCGTCCGTGTTGCTCTGAATGCCGCACGTGCCCGTGCCTACGAAGGGGGCCCGGAGGGCTTGGAATCAGAGCGTTCGGTGAGACGGGAGTCGGTGGTGGAACCCTCACCTTCATCCCGAAACGCATGCAGCAGGGGCGCTTTCGAGTGTCCCCTATGTGTCGCCCTCGCCCTCACCCTCCGAATACTACGATACGCCTCGCCGCCACTCGCGTGTCCTTAGGCACCACTGACCTCCAAGCGCTCTCTCCACGCGGCACCCGGGGAACTGCAGGCTGACAGTCATCCCCGTCGCCTTCGCCACTGGTGAGCGATGTCGCGCCTCCCCTCCGTGACGTCCGAGAGCTCAACGAGGAGCTTCGGCAGCATCGCGGACCCCCGCGCGAGGATCGTGGTTGTGTCACCGAGGCCGCGCACAACCACCCCTCCTGTGCAAACTGGCGACGGTGTCCCGGAGCCCCACGGCAGTGAGCGCCCGGGAAGGCTCGTGGAGCCGCCGACGTACACGACTTCGGCGGTGTCGTACAGGTCGAATGTGGCGACGGAGAGAAACTCCTCGACCTGTGCGCGAGCGAGGTCGTGAATCGCACGGACCGCCATGTCGAAACGGAGGCGTAGGTGTGCTCGAGCGCGGGGCGGAGCTTGGCCCACGCGCTTGTGCGACACGGGACAGACGGTGGGCGCCATCTTCTTTTCCTCGGCACTCTTTCTTGAAGTACTCGATGGGCTGGTTGTCGTTGCGAAGCGTGGCGAGGAAGAAAGCGAGACCGCGGCGAGAAGCGACAGCCCGAAAGCAGATGCGCGGCTGCTGGTAGTGTCGCCACGGAGAACGGGCGAGCGAGGGCGGGAAGCCGGAGAGAAGCGATAGCTCGAGAACGGATGTGCGGAGGTGGGGGTTTCGTGCGGTTCGTGCCGAGGGCCGCGGGAGGAGGGCCACTGGTGGTGGTGGTGGTGGTGGCGGTGGCGGCGTCCGCTTCTGCCAGTCGCTGGAGGACGGTGCCGTCATCACCGTCCCTACCAAGCGCGGAAGAACACCCTCGAGAAGGCCGCCACAGGGCCGGCATAGTCGTACCCCTTAGTGCCAAGAAGGTCCTCCGCGGACCAGATGAGCGACGTGGCGGCCTCAGACACAGTCAAGACGCGACCGCGACAGGTTCCGCACGGGAGTGGCGACATGCGACGCGGCAAGGATGGTGCACGCGGTAGGACGAAAGAAGGCCGAATAATCCCCGTCTTGCATGTCGGGAGCACTGGATAACCGAAAGGCATGCAAGAGACCTCTGTCAGCATCACGCGATCGTTCAAACAAGGGACACATACGATTTCTGCCCACGGAGGCTTGACCTCGTCGCCCTCAGACTAACGTCGGCTTCCCCAGCGCCCGGGACGGTCTCTATCTTCGTGTTCATCGGCTGAATATCCGGGACGTTCTTGTTCCACCACGATGCAGGCACTGCGGCAAACTCCTACGCTGCGGGACATGTTCGAGGACGGGAGTCCCACACGAGATCGGCCTGCATCGGCACGAAGAACCGGAAATCGTAGAACCGTTCTGATACGACCGAAGTGAAGCGTGAAGCTCACGCAGGCCCAGCGACAACTGTCCGCACAACTAGTCGTCGATCCGCGGGTGGCTTACGGTGGGATTCTCGGGTGCGTGCAGGTGCGGAGGGCCCTCCGGAGGTATTGATACGGGCCGGATAGGCGGAGGAGCGTGTGAGAGGAAGTCTGGACATGTGGCACCAAACGCGACCTAGCGATATGTAGACAACCTAAGCAGCGAGAATCAAGGAGACGATACTTGATAGAGGGAGTGTTGAACGTAGCAAGGACACGCATGTGTCGGCGGCTAGGAAGTTGTAGACCAGCGGGAGCTGCACGCCGTCGCCACGGTGCCTGAACGTGCCATCGCCCTCCCATTCGTGCAGAGTCATCTGAAGGTTTGGGAAAGCGGTGAGAATACGCTTGCGGATAACACAGCTGTACTTACTCCGGGTTAAAGGTATCGTTCACTTGTCGTCCAATCCTTGGATACCGGTCGAAGTCGAGTCGAAGATAAGCACTCCGCCCGTGCTCCGCTATCATCAGGCGCACGGAATTGGGGCTCAGCGCTTCGCAACGGAATGAACGTGCTAATTCTGTGAATGAACAGAATGCAGTAGCTAAGCCGAGAGCCTGCAGGGTGAGCGGGGGCCGGGGTTAGGTGTGGGACGGGAAGAGTCGAAAAGGGCAGGAAAAGCGTACGGAGGATGTCGACAAAGATCGCATAAGAGCTCTTCAAGCCAACGATCACCACTGGGATGAACCTGCGCATGTACATCGAGGCCAGCGTTAATGGTCATTCATAGTCCTAGAATAGGCACTCACGCAGCCGTAAAGCGCGTTAACAACACCGGGAGGGAGGCATGAATGCGTGGTGCACGGTGGTGAAGCTCGTTCATATCGTGTCCATCGCAGGGGCGCATGTGCTTGTGACGGATCGGATTGACAGAACCAGCATAACATCGCCAAAGCGGCCAGGTGGCGCGAGCGCGAGGGGGTGTCGTGAAAGGGGGTGTACAAACGATGAACGTAGTGCGCCAGTGCGCCAGTGCGATCTAGAAGTATTGCTGAAGGGCGGTCTTGATCCCATCTTCCATCGCCTTGAAGCCTGCAGACCCAAAGGGCAAACTTTGGAGGCCAAGACGCATGTATAGAAAGGATAGGAACATACTATCAGATATAGATCCAACAAGTTCAACGCGCAGGCCGTAGCCGTCGCCTTGATGGTATGCTGCGCGTGCTTGACCCCGAAGTCGCATATGTCTGTGCTAGACTCAATATTCTGGATGATGCCCTGGCGGAGAACTCACGGCGCACCTCGTCGGTCCGATCCTTCATCGCCTTCGATTTTTGTTACCAACGCGGGATACAGCTGCACCCACGGCGTCCAGAAAAACTCGTGGGTGGTGCAGATGCCCGTAGTAATGGAGTAGACTGGCAGGCAAACGAATGGAAGATTGGGGCCTGCTGAGTATCAGCTCCGGAACGCGTGAAAACGATGAGAGGAGGTGGAAGTGAGCAGGTGGACTCCACATCACACCTGGTGCCCTCGAGAACGAGTGCCCAGGCATGAGGGGTGAAAGGTACGGAAGGGACAAGGCTAGCACGCAGTCGAAGCAGGTACATGCGCGCAGGAGCAGCCCCGACGCGTCATGTGTCACGTGCGAGTAACAAATTTCTCAGGACATTTAAGCGCCGAGAGGATTCTGACGCGACCTCCCCTGACCTCCCACTGGCCAGGACAGAGCATCTGCTCCCCGCCTTCCCTCGCGAAAGACCATGCCTCATGCGCTCTCGAGGCGATTCCGCGCGGATGATGGAGCGCGTTTCAGCGGTCCGAGAGACCGGTCCTCGCCTTGCTCTCAGAAGGCCCACGGTGAGTTTCCGTTTACAGGCCACAAGAGGACGCTGCTTGCGTCTATCGCTTGTTTTCTTTCTAGGTCTTGTGCTCGGCTGCAAACACTCCGATCCCGCCATCCCACAATCACGCGCGGCGACGAGGTTGTGAAGGATCCCAATACAAAAGACCATGCCTCATGCGCTCTCGAGGTGATACCACGCAGATCAAGGGACGGCGCAGCGATCCGAGAGGCCGGTCCTCTCGCCTTGTGCTCAGAAGGCCTACGGTGAGTGCTTTTTTTTACCGTTTCCGTCTACAGGCCACACGAGGCCGCTTGCTTTTATCGTTTGTCTTCTTTCCAGGCCTCGCTTGCCACCGAGATCTGCCGCGAACGCTCTGATCCCGCTTGAGCACGTCCTTGGCAGTAGCCGTTACGTCCAACTAGCGCTGATCCGACCGTCCAGTAATGGGTTGAGACGCTGCTGTTCAAGTGACCTTAACGCATGTATCTCGACCTCACCATTCGTAGCTTACGCAGCGGCTTGGACTCCGTGATTGCGCGGCTGTATGCAAGCACTTGTTGGCAGTTTGACAGCGACATGTAAGTTGGTCCTGTCCCGACTGCGAGATGTCAGAAACTCCGCCTTGCTCGGGGAGCTCTTGTGGGTGCCTTAAATCACGGTCGTTGAACAGGGGATACGCTCGTTATCAATCTACTAGCACCTCATGAGGAGCACGGTCGTTCCGAGTTCGGCGTCATCTGGCACGCGTCGCGACGCCTCACCGCTCTAACTCTGACTCAGCGCGACTGGAATAGGTCTGAAGTAGAACATGCGGCGGACATGTACTAGTCCTTCACGCAAAGACGGCGCTCGACACACCCCGACTACGAACAACGCCACGGATAGAGAGGAATCCACATCTGAGCGGCCACTCTCACTCTCATAGGTGACTGAACTGCCCTCTATCTCTCTCTCTCTCATCCTTCGATCGCGCGTGAAACCCTGCGATCAGCAGGGGATGCTATGCACTCGGAGCGTCTTTCGGTCGTTCGCCAACGTGGATGACACATCGAAAGTTTCGATGTAACTGTCATCAATCGATCGCACCGGGGCGTATTGAAGCTGACGGTGTTCTAATTGTCGTCAGCACCGGAAGGGGTCGATAAACACGCTGATCACATTCGAGCAGGTGACGAACTGTCAGTCACTATCATGCCCTCTCGCCGTGTTAGCGATCTGCATATGCTCACTACCTATCGCGTCCATCTCAGATCACCGCCTCTGTGCCTATTAGAACTAGTGCACTCTATCGTCGTACCAGGGAACGGCTGGGAGCTTTTTCCTCAACTGGGTCGTCGCAGAGCTCAGGCCTTAGTATGCATGGAAGTGGCTGAGTGCGGACACGACGCGGGGGGCTTCACCCAGCAGCTCGTCCGGAAGGAATATAATCAGAAGGCGACACTGTGTACGTTTTCAGATGCGTCGCCGCTTATAGAAGGGGTAATAGAAGCACTCTGTGTTCTTCACCGATCCGTAACCTAAGCGTAAGTGTGCCGCTGAAGTGTTTGAGGCTTGTATCAGCACGGTCGTCAAGACACACAACAACTCGAACGGGTTGTTCTACGTAGGTGCGCACGCGTGATACCACTGTTCTGCGCCACACGGCGCGCTCACGCTCGACTGAATGTGGATGATTGTGGGCATCTCCCAAGGAAGCCTCGGGCAATATTCTCCATGTGGCCTACGGGGCTGCATTCTTCCGCCCGAAAAGACACATATGTTTATGTGAAAAAGGGCTTGACAATATGTCTTAGGGACGCTGCTTCTTTCGGATCTGGACCTCGCAATCGCGTTCAGCCTGAATAGCCAATGCATACATCTGGGCTTTTCACCCCAGCATAATAGAGAAGGGCGCCACTTGCGTATTCTGTCAGCACGACACAGCGACCTATGGTGCGGCATGAGTTCACTGAGAAGGGGTGTCTGTATGTTCTTGAAATGATTACTATAATTGGCCGCGAAGAGCGAATAGTATATAGCTCTTTGTAGTTAGATATGTATCAACTTTCTATACTAACTGACTCATTCAGCAGGATAGTTTTCAATACAGGGAACTTCTTGTTATCACAGAAGCTTTCAGTGCTCACACTGATTGAGACGGGCTCAATTGAGCCACTGCGAGCACCACGGTATCGATGGGGCATGTGCCTTGCAAGCCACAAGGACTGATCAGGATCTGTGTGATTGCGAAATACACGGCGCCACACTGTCACCAGTGTACTGTACAACAAACCTCTGTATGCGGATTGTGGGTGCATCTTAAATGGGTCGGGAAACCGTCTAGAAGCTTTGAAGTTCAAAAGAAGGCCATGTGTCAGTGATGGGACGCGAACGCTGGGAGGCGCGCGAAAGGGGATGCGAAGTGGATCGCGTGCGAGCTCGTCGAGCTTGTACAGCGGGGAGTCGGCCCGGCGCGGGATGAGAAGGCAAGCGCGCGAGAAAGGGAGAGAGAAGGGCGGGCAGGGAGGAGGCGGGAAGCAGCGGGACGGCAGAGGCGAAGCGGATGGCGGCGGAAGGTGTAGGACTGAGGTGCGGAAGGCGACGGCTGCGGTGGACTTGACAGCGGGCTGGGATTAGTAGCAGGCAGGCTGAAGGGGGCGTGAAAAACTGTTGATAGAGCTCAATTTCTGCTATAATAAATACATGACCGAACGCGAGGCGTGGCAACGAAGTCCCTGTGGGCTAAGAGCGGGAATACCGGCGAGGAAAGGAGGTAGAATATCCCAAGGGAACACAGAGAAGATGATGGACGAGTGTGAGGCCGCGCAGCGGCAGCATCATCACAAGCTACGACAGCGAGACATAGGGAGGGTGGTTGGTATGATGGAGAAGGTACAGACAGAGCTGGGATATCGTAAATTGAGACCGAAGGGAACGGCAACGGTGCGGTGCGGAAAATACGGGGCGTTGAGGAATACAGAAAGTTCGAAAGAGAATCACGGAACGCGGGGAGGCGAGGGATAAGAGCTTGGGTACCTGTGCTGGGGAATGTGGGATGTCCGAGGACGTAGTGATCTTGGCTGTGGGCGAGGCTATCCGTCGGTGGGCTCGCGCGCGAGCAGCGGGGTGGTGGCAGGAATGTCGGCCAGCCTGCGCGCGCGTCGATGCGCGTTGCGCGGGGTCTTGTCAGCGGCAGCGCACGGGTGTCTCGGTGAGATAGTGGTGCGGGTTTCTGTGAAGGAGCGCCTGTTGTTGCGTCGCGCGGACTGTTGGGGGTGCAGTTGGAGTTGGTTCGCGTCGGCGGTGGTCTGGTACGATGCGCGCTACGCGCGGCGTGCCCATAATCGGATGAGGTGCAGGCAGATAACAACAAAACGTGAGATCTGGTGAGCCGACCCAATGCGGCCTGGTGCATGAATGCGAGCATGCGGACTTTGGCTGTGTATTCTTATGACAAGAATGTCCTCATCGGAAGTGGGTCTAATATGTTTGGATGCTCGAGTGGGACTCTGTACAGGCGTTAAGACCGAGTGGCGCGAGTGCTTTATTGTTCTGTTTTGTTTTGAAAGAAGAAGAGAATGACGGAAGAAGAGAAGCACATGTAGTTGTGTGCAGCCAGATTGTGCCAATTGCGGCAATGTGTGTATGGTTTCCACATCTGTGAATGTATTTGTCTCATACCGTATCTGTTCATGGCACCATGCTGTTTTCGTCGTCAGAAGCCGTTATCTCGAGTATAAAAACGCCCCCATCCCTCTGCTGTGTCGTAGCATCTGCCCCGCATTCTCCTCATTAACTCACCACACTCTCATACGCATCCAACTACTGAACGCCAGTGTTCCTTACGATGGCCCACCATAATGAACCCAAATGGGTCATTATAATGAACCTCACCTGCAAATCCGACACACAGGATGAAGACGCGAAGTCGCTGGTGAGTGAGACCGAAAATAACACTGGGTGTACATTTGGTGACAATACACTTTCTCCAGCTGTCATATGATCTATTTTTGAGTACTTCATGCAATCGCACTGGCAATACGAATTCAATAAAAGAAGAACTTTCACAAGGAAGCGAGGCACCCGTGAAATTGTTCAGAGGGAATTTGGAGCGCAAGACAGAGCAACAAGCCTCCATGGTATGTCTGTAATTGTTAGTATCTTCAGTCTCTCATGCTGCTTTCTTTTTCCAGATAACTCATATCACGAGCATCAACTCAGTTGCGTCTCAGGAAGTCATTTACCAGATGTCTAACCAGAATCACATTCGTGCAAGCTCAAGCCCTCAAGTTGTCCCTACAAATGCTGATCCATCTCGTCGGCCATCCCGCCAGGCTACGCACCTCCCAGCACACGCGACCTCTTCGACACCACATGCTAGCTATGCCAACGTCCCCGGAAGTGCATCAGTGACTCCTTACACTCCACTCGGGTCTTTTTCTACAGGGATGGGAGTCAACGCCGCTAATCTTTGGGGCAATAGATGTACGCATACGCAACACATGTCGCCATTGTATAATTCTAACACTACTATTTCAGGCCCTTTGTATACAACGTCATTGGTGCGTTGACATATATTATTAGTTTTCTCTGCACCATTGCGAATCACTTCTTATAGAAAATCAATTCGACAAGTTACTCCAAGAAAGAAGTACTCACTGAAGTGCTCATTGACACTGGTGAGTGGGCAGTCCACTGGTTTACTGACCACTTCAAGTATTATGTGCTCACTATGTTCATAATATTCAGGATCTCCTAACAGGCGGGTAAATATGCCTACAGATTGTTCTATACTGACTCCCCCCCACAGTTTCGTCTTGGGAAACCGCTACTGTCTTCTTACTATGGGCAAGCGTCCAGAAGATGAAAGCACAATACGACATTGGCCCAGCCTCATCCCCAAAGCTCACTGCCCCATCGAGCACCCATGGATCGATGAACATGGGAACCTCAATATTCAGGCAGAAACTATCCAATATATGGCTAGGTTTTTTGACAACAATACTACTTGTACGTTTTCGTAATTGCTTTTAATCTGTTCCTGCAACCAATTGAGCACATATATAGTGATATACCTCGAAAAGGACAGATCCTTTTGGAAGAAATGGATCGCAAGGGTGAAACTCTTCGATTTCAATCAATCCACACTTGATATCACCAGAGAAGAGCCCATAAGCAGTTTTTTCGGCATTGGGGTTGCCCGCACGGAACCTTTGACTGAAGAGCCGTATACTGGAATACTAGGGCTCTCATACATGGAGTTGGTTGAATCCTCTAGTTTATGTGTTGATCCAACTAACACCACTTGGTTCCAGCTTTCAGCCAAACTTTTCTGTGAACAATATTCCGTTGAATGATGTGAGTATGGATGAAACTTTGCTGTTCCTTTGTCGCTGAAACTGAAATACCACTAGAATAAATCGGCACCGCCATCCTTCCTGTCCATGATCAGGAACAAGCTCAGTCAAGGCTTATCTACTGGAGTATGCAATCATGTTATCACATACATACGGCCCACTCACTGAATCTACTCCAGGCTCAGGGTGTGGGAATGTACTTTGTCTGCACGGGAAAGATAAGTGGAACTGGACGCTCGTACGTTCTCGGTCATATCTTTGCAGCCAAATATAGAGCTCATGGACGTCATCATGGCAGAGTCCTAGTCATGCCCGATTGGCCACTCCCTGACAGGACAACTCACCTAATGGACCCTACCATTCTGGACTCGTTCCAGAGTCTACATGTCGACACTGGCTCACCAACATGGGGATATGGAAAGTGGGTGGCAATTCTCATGGAGATTGCAATAGAAGTACTTCGCGAGGACAATACCTGGGAGAAGCTTGTCTCTGCTGTTCACAACAGTCGTCGGCCTGTTCATGTTGCGTTAGACACTGGTACGTTTTGGCGTTTGATATAGATTTACAGCAAATAATTGACACTGGAAAATCCCAGGTTCTTCCACGTCTATGCTGCCGACTGACATGCTGTCAGCACTTGCTTCGGGTATCAGCACTAACAAGGAGCTCGTAAAGGATGCTCTGAATTCCCTGAAGCCGGCATATACAGTAAAATCCACCGTTAACACCGCCAGAAACAACATCCGCGTTCGGTACTACTTCCAAGGTCGAGATGGCGCCCCGGAGGTCGAAGTGGTCAGTCACGGTGAACACGCCCTCTGGCATGAACACACGAAGGAAGGCGTCATCTGGCCGACGGAGGATTACTTCAAGGCCATTCCTAGACATGGATTTGGAACAGGAGAGGATGCAGGGCTTTTCGGAATTGTACGTCTTTCATTGAATCGAATGGGAACCTTTGCTGAAAGCAATGATCTCGAACCACCAGCAATTCTTCAAGACAATGATCATTGGCCTTCATACTGGTCAAGGCAGTGCGCCTTTCATTCGGATGAAGGAAATGACGCCGTGGAACCATAACATTACGGAGTGAGGATCGTGGAACGGCAGTATTAGCTCCAGTTCACTTTGTAGGATAGTTGGATCAACGAGTTCGAATGTACTATTACAATGATGAGATATCCGACAATGTGTATCTACCGAGGTTGGCACCGTGCACGCGCAGACCACCAGATTCGAGGCACGACCCCTCCGCGTCTTCGTACGTTGGTAAAAAAAAACAGCGCCCCTCCACAGCTCCCGCTACAGCTTCTCCGATCTCCCTGCACCTTCGTGCTTCTGCGGGAGTCGCGCGGGCACTGCAACCCGATTTACTGCGCACGTATGTGCAGCGAGCAGCTGAAGAGACACATCGCATTGCGTGTGTCAAGCGATGAGCAGGCCCCAGTGCGCCAGAGCAGAGCTGCTTTCCAGAATCGCGCGCGCACGGCGTCCCAGTCCGCGTCAGGGGAGAGCAGCGGGGGCGTGTAGAACGCGGCGAATTCCGGGTGCACGGCACGGTTGGGCACGGGCTGGGGAGGTCGGTCGGAGGCCAGCGGCATGCGTGGACTTGCAGACGGTGCTTTTAGCAGAGGAGATCTACCTCGGAGCAGCAGGGATCTCACATGGTGACGGTGATGAACCAGCGGCGGAGAGCCTCACATTCGTACTTGACAGTTCACTCTATCTAACCGCTGGACCAAAGTATTATCGCAGTATTTTTTTGGAAAAAGAGGCGATAATGAGTGTTACATCAAAAATCTGCGAAGGTAGACGTACAGTATGGTTGGATCGTCGAGGGCCGAATTCGTGTGCACACTGTACTTAGGACGTCTTACCAGTGGCGCTGCGTCAACGGTTGAGCTATAACGCATTTCGACGCGTGATGTGGCTGAATATGAGGTACTTGTCGTGCGCCAATTCCTATACTAACCAGCATTTCCCCGTTTCAAGGCTATGCTCTTCGGCTTCCACCAGTTCACCTCGAGCAAGGCGGCCTCTTCCGAGATCCCTGGAGGACGATGAGCTATAGGAGTCGGCGACGGGATCTTGAAATTGAACATGCCTTCAAACTACCACCGATTTATTGCATAAAACGACGCTATTAGCATGTGGTCCATGCTGCCGCATAAGTTCGCAATCGGGATTCTGAGGTGCGCGCTTCGAGACACCAAGACGGTGTTGACTTGAATAACAAGAAGATGCTCTCATGCTCCTTCTTTATTTCTGTGAACTCCCAGTCGGCGGCTCCGTGCTCTGAATACACACGACAGAAGCACCATGGAAGGAAATGGGAGTCGACTCAAAGAAGCACCCACCTCGAGAAGTCGAAGAACTCGAGCCTGGAGCGCAAGGCGAGGACGACCAGCCTCTCTGACTGGTGAGCCGCCTTATAATCCTCGTGGACTCGCATCGAGGCCGTGGTATGCACGGCTTTCACGGGGAGAGCTTTGAAGGTCGCGAGTCGAAGTTGGACTCGTAAAGGCGTCTATGTGGCAGCCTGGGCCTGGGAAAGTCGGATCACACGTGACACAACTGACGCGTCATGGTGTCGGGCGTCGGGCACGGTGCAGGTACGTCTTTCTCAACTGTCCCCGTCAATCATGTCCCTTCCACATCTCATTCCTGGGAAATTGAGCTCTGGGGAACCGGGCATGATGTGGAGTCCACGCACATCCCCAAGCGCGTTCACGCGCCTCCCGCGCGTGTCCGCCGTCGTTTGCATGCTCTCTACTGCAGTGTGAGTGCCCCTCAACGCTGCTGTCCTGACTTACGCGCTCATGCCAATCCCAGTCATCGCTGTCGGTGCTAAGATCTTCTACGCTACCCTCAGTACGCTTTGCACGTCATGTACTAAGCAACCCCCTCACTGCCCTGCAGCATTCTCGGCCTACCATCGCTCTCTGCTTCCCCACATGCATTGCACGGCACGGCAGACCGACGGCGTCACTCCGTGACCAGCATCCAGGCCATCTCCAACTTGGGCCTCGGCGGCGGCTACGTCTACATTGGTGCCCCACCATATTCTGGCTACCATCCATCGATTGGACGACAAGCGAACGGTGCCTTAAAGCTCATGGTCGAAATTAAGTGGAGGTACCTTAGTTTTAAACGTATTTCCACCGCTCTATGCAGCTTTCAGATAGCTGTTGTGGATGGGCGGGCAGTGGTGCGTTAGCAGCGAAGTGCTGCTCCAGCTATTACTGGACGCTGACGAGTACATCCTTGGCATTTCGTTGGATCCAGTCACTATTTTCCTCTCAGCTCTATTAAGCACGCCTGTTCAGTTCCACGTGGCCAAACCTTCCTCGCTCACGATACTCTCTCGGTTGAAGCCTCGTCTCCCCATCTGGCCCGTACGCATCTCCACCACTTCACACGCTGTAGGGGCTCACCACGAGCCACCTGCAGATCGACGCCGCGCCACCACGACCAGCTGTGGGGACACCTACCCCTCGGCCTACTCGAGCTTCGGCTTCGCTCGTGGCCGTATCGGAATCTGCACGCTCCTGTGCTTGTCTCCGAGCTAGTGCAGGCCGATCTGGTGTAGTACTAGCCGTTCACCCCGTTCATGACGATGTCCCACATCGTCGGAGGGTGTTGCAGGGCATACGACCGACCTACCGAATACTCAGCCATGACGGCAAAGGCGCCCTTCTGGAGACTGCGTCGACGTTCCCGGCGCTGTAGTGGCTGACTTTCATCCGAAAATACGCAAACGACGACGAATTCAAGCATACGTGGGCAAAATTGTACGTTCTCCTTATCTTGACGATCACAGGGGCTGACATGGAAGGTCGTCCAGGCTCTCGGAGGAACCATCATTACGCTCGAACTCCCTGTCGAGAATGCGCCGTCGCGGGAGACCGCCATTGGCCCGTATATTATGCTGACCGTACGGCATCTAGTCATGCAGAGATGCCTTGTCCTACACCTCCGGAGATTCTGCTGGCTCCTAGGCGACACTCTCAAGCCATTTTGGTCACGTTTCCGGGACGCGAAGAGCTCTTCGTTGCGAATCCCACCGCGGAGGATCAGCCGGAGTCGCCTCCGGCTCTTCACTCGCTTTCCCTGCCTCCGCTAGTCGCTTGTAATGCCGCAACCGCGGACCTGGGGAAACTTCGCACGGAGCTCAAAATGGAAGCGACGTTTCTGAGCACCGCGGGTATGCTTCGTGTCCTTCAGCAGCGCCAGACTCGGTGACGTCCAGTAGCGAGCCTCTTTTGGCAACGGAGGCGCCCGAGTCCCGAACACCGACCTGCTCTCGATGACTTTCAGGTTATGTCCGATCATCTTGGGATTCTAAGCACTTCTGCTCCTCTCTTCTTTGCGCTTCGAAACTGCTTGGACTTGCTGCTGCCGATGGCCTCAAGGCTCCAAGACCCCAGTAGAGAACGCGCTGCAGCCGTATGTTCCTCACACCACGTTCCCGTGGCCAGATCTCTAATACATCCTCGTCCCAAGTTCCGTCGTGGGTGACCGCGTCACATCTCCCGCTAACGCCCCGCACCCTGCCCGTTTTCGACTGGCTGACCTCGGGTGGCGCGGGAGTAAGGTCGGGCGGTTCCCGCCTGCGTTCGAGCGTCGCGCAGGTGCTCCGTATCCTGGAGTAGTGCCCAACGCCGCGCTCCACGTCTTCGGGAACACCAACACCCTGGCTTGACCGCAGAAGAACAAATCAAGCGCCGACCGGACGTATGGCACGTGGTGAGGAGCTCCGCCGCGGTCATGGAGACTGTCTTCCGAATTTGCAGCGCATACCACCGGGGCTCTAGAACTCGGATATCAAGCCGGCAAAGACGAACGTCGCTCATGGGCGCCCATTGGTGAGTGGTGCATAGTCTCTTGAGGTTCTGTGCACTGACCGTTCCAATAGCATGACGTCGCTACCCCGCTTTTCTTCGGCGAATTTATACGCCGCCTTCGAGTCCACCAGCCGGACAACAACATCATCCATGTCATCGATCGCGTCCTCGATACCAACCCCCAGCTCTGCGAGTTCGGCGCGAGTACATACCCTCCGTTCCGCAGATTCCGCCCCCTCGTTTGCACTCCCACGCATACCACACCGCACCCCTATTCTCACAACGTGGATCCAGACCGTGTGTCGCTGACTTTGATCCTCTTTGGCTTTAGGGAGGCTTCTGCGTCGACCCCTGCGTCGGTCGCGGCGACGGTGAATGAGACCCCGATGGCTTCAGCGCGACGGAGTGGCTCGCGTCGGCGACGTCGACGGGCACCGAACAGCGTGAGCGCATGCCCCACGCGCCCCCGCGCACTCGCCGTGTCTTCCAAACAACATGCGTCGAAATTGCGTATCATTCGCGCTTTCCCATATCGGATCTTCACGAGCCCTTTGCTTACGACGAGTAATTTCGCTTCTACTACGAAGATTTAGCCAGAACAGGCACTTTCCATGCCTGAGATATGTTGAACACTCTGGATTCGGACCCGTTTATGGTGTGCTCAGCATTGCCGTCCTGCCAGGCGTCGTGTATCTGCGGGCGGTCGGGGATTCGATATCATGCACCGCGGGGGATGAGCATATTTTTTGTGCTCGCGGGGTACTTGTATATTACCGCCATCAGATGCTGGATGCTTGCCTCATTTAAGAGTGGACATCTCGCTGAGAGTTTCTCTTCTGGAACCATCTGCACAACGGACTCGTCACAGGATTGCCAGGCGTCGTCACGCTAATGCGAGTGCTTCAGGCTAGGCGTAGAGCAGTCCGTGTCTACACGCGTTGAACAGAAATCCACCATCTGGTGTAGTTCCCTCCCGCAGCGATATTTACTCACATATGAACCGACCAGCTGCTCCCCGCCCAGATGCAGGAGACCCAATGCTCTCACCGAACGCCGCGCGCAATGATGGCCTTGCCGTACGCGACGCACCTTTCCCCGCTCCAAATGGCATCTTTTGTTGTGCCTTGTTCCGCCATCGCTCTCTGTCCCTCATCACAATCATTACCCAGATCGTTTTGCTTTATCTGCCCTTCATCCTCGCGTGACGACGCTCGATTTCTGGACAATTTTAATACAAACAACGTCGTATGCATTGAGATCCTCATTTAACTTCGATGCGCTTTATCTATTCACGTCCAAAGGGCGCCGCACGAACCATGACGAGCTTTGTAAAACTAAAGCTCGTCTTCTAACTTCTCTACAAGTGTAACTTCTCCATCATGCTCACCGCCACGAACTACCGTAAATAAATACCAAACAATGGCATCGTCATAGGGCATAAGACACACCGACTCCAAAGTCGGAATGAAACGGGCGAAGACTGAGGCCGCTGCACGGATACGGATGAGGAGTAGCTCGTTCCAGTCCTGGGTGAGCTCGAGCGCGGCGGAAAGCTCCGCCGCGACTTTCTCCTCAGCACCGCTGAACAGTTCGGCGCAGAGCCTCCGATCGAGCACTATCCAGTGGAGGAAGATACGGAGATGGCGAAGCGAGCCGCTGCGCCCGAGCGCCTTAGCAACGTCACGCTGCAGACGGCTATGAGCTCAAATAAACGCAGGAGAGTGACTGTGGGCATACCAAGGGTCGCGGAGGCTCGGGTGTATTGTCGTGCCCTTCATAATCCACCGTGTCGTCGTAACGATAGATCGTGAGCCGCTCGAGGCGAGGGAAGCGCTCCGCGACTTCACAGAGAAGCGCGTCTTCGACGTTTCCGTCTCCCGTGATTATATACTCCAGCTCGAGCGTTGAGATTCCGGTTGCGGCGCACGCGCGGATGATGCGGAGGACGTGTTCGTCGACGGGGACGTACATAGACCATCGGAGAAGGTCGTTTCTGCCGTGTTTGTAAATTCCAGGATTGAGCGCGTCTATGCTGTGCGGATGAGGCCATGTACGCAGGCGGAGGGTGTGCAGCGTCGAGGGGAGATGGGCCCATATCTGATCGTCAGGCTGGGGTTGAGTGACGACAAGGTCCTCGAGGAACGGCCACGGCATCGCTCCGGCGGAGACGTCCTCGGGCCAGATGATACGATCTCTCGTATTCACTCCAATTGTAAGCAGGCTGCGGACGACGCGGAGGTGGAGAAGTCGAAGCTCGGGCATCAGTGCGAGAACGAGAATGAATGTAGGTCGGGGTCCCCCTTGGTAGTGCATTCCCTCGATGACGAGCTCGCGTAGACATGGCCAATTGTGTTGCGACAGTTCGGAGAAGGGAACAGCTTCCATGGGGAGATGAAGGACGCGGATACGCGAACGCAGTTGAGGGACGAGCAGTCGCAGTAGAGTTGCCTCGCGTTCGTTGCTCCTGGAGTTTTGGCGTAGAGGGAGTGGCTTAGATTTGAACGTGGTTAACGTGGCGACGATCGTCGGACAGTCCCAATACGGGGGGTCGTAGGGATGATAAAGAGAGCCAATGACCTCGAAATGGCGGAGTTGGGGGATACGCAGGATGGATTCGATGACTTTCGGAGGAACTCCGATCTTCTCACCGTCTATTCCATTGGGGAGCATGTTGGGAATGCCGATAATCACTGCGTTTAGCCGAGGAATTGACCGCAGAGCGATCGCCAGAAAGTCCGCCACGCGCCACTCGTGGCTGGACGCGTCTTGAATATGCTCTGATCCGACCACGTCACCGTAGTAGCCTTTGTAGCCGCTATGTGGCCTGAACCTACGGAAAGGCCCGTGGAGGAAAAGTGTTCTGATCGCGAAGTGGTGAAAACTGCAGCCCAGATCATTGAGCGGGGGAAGAGACGTACCGAACGTATGGCCAAAGATGATCCGGTATAAAGGAGGAAGGGCTCTGTATCAGATCCTTTGAAGACGCTTTGACATCCCGGAAGAGTGTCGGTAAGCAGAGGCTTCGTACCCACACGCACGTTTGCGCGAGGGACGCAAGATCAGTGAGTGGCGAGTGGAGTTCATCAATGATTTGCAGCAGTATGTCGTCCTCTAGATGGCGCAGCGTTCCTGGTTCAAGTCTTTCCAACACGGCCATTCTTTTTGGAGGACTCTGAGATGAGTTGACGAGGCGACCGACACAGAGCTGCAGTGGGAGGCTGCAGCAGTGTAGCGGCTCAGGCGTGCGCTCGATGGGGCTCGCCACCCGTGCTCCCCCCGGCCACCGTCGCCCCCCGAACACCGCCATCCAGGTCCGCGGCAAGGCTGCCGCTGGGTATTTAGTCCGAGCCTGACTCTATTTAATCTAGTAGTGAATACACTAAGACGTCCACTTCTCCGTCCTCCTTTCTCCTCACCGTCTTGCGCATGTAAGTATCTCGGCGCGCTGGATGAAGTACACAGTCTCCATCCCATGCACCACTCCGCAGGAAGCGAGAATTCATTGCGCCGAAGTTCACGTTCAGTTTCTTGTGGACGATCAGACAAGGAAGAACGGGGTACTTCGTCTAGAACCTGACGCTCAGCGCGCCGCAAGTCGTGCGCTCATGTGACATGCAGATGAAGATAAAGTCAATGGGGTGGGTTTGCGTTCAGATATGTCCAGCAAGATAATCCACTGAAGCAGGCGTACGCACGAGCAGCACCGGAGAGAAACCATGCTCACTCCGCAGACCCGTGTATCCCCAGGACGAACCGACGTCCGCTGCGAGCTACATCAGGAAAAACCCAAATCCCTATTGAGGGGTAAAATATTGATAAGCCGATATATGCGAAAATACTGCCACTGTTCCAACTCACCGCAGTTTACAGACACTATCTCCTTCCTTCTGGCCGCTTATTGGGTGGATGAGGTATAATTTGACATGTTTGAGTGGGTGTGTTGGATATCTGTACATGTAGGTAGCCAATAATGATATTTTCGACTGGATCCCGACGATTAGTATGATGCCGTGTGGCTTCCCCTGCTGTTCACACACACACAGATTGGACACACGGAAAGCAGCCATTGATTCATGATCTAATCCCACATTCTACAATACTGATTCGTCAATGAAAACTTATCTGAATGTTCGGTGTCCCGGTCACCCGTCTCTCCGTGGACATGCTACATGCCTTGTGCGATCAACACATTTGCGGGCTGGGGCGGTGGGTGACAAGGCGGGGAGCCCGACGAGCAAATGTGCCGGTGAGGGTTCAGCACGTAGCTAGGCGAGTCCGGCGCAGCGATCGCGGCGTTGCTCGCGGAGTGCGTGCGCGGCGTGTATGCATGTCCCTAGTTTGAAACGACGTTAAAATCGGAGGACAACCTGATGATGACGCGCTCGAGCACGTCGAGGTTGCCTTTCGGCGCGAGCCCGGGGAGGAGGGCGACGAACCAGGGCATGTGCGCGGGTCCGCGACGAACGCTTCAAGGTACCACTTCGGCTGCGGGAGTTCCGCGTGGTTGTACTGTGCGTGGCGGTCCGTTGTGCGAGGACGTGTGCGAGGGGTAGTACGTCGTGCTGTCTGGATGAGCACGCTTGGGGCGAGCCGGGTGTAAGCGTTGACCGTGGCGCCACATCCGACAACAATCGGATTGAGGCGGAAGTAGCTGTCACGCTCGCCGGAGGCCGTGCAACGAGCGCATTGACAACTTGGCTGCCATCGTGGAGTCAGAAGGTCACACTCACCCAGGCGCGCCCACGAGTCGATGACCACATCGTGGACGATCTTCGCGCCCAGCACCCGGTAGTAGAGAACTTCGAGGGGCCTCGTGGCCGAACAGATTTGAAGGGGCGTGCTCGATGCGGGGGATGGTGACGTCGACATCGACGACCGCGCGAACTGTGCGAGGACCCTGCGCTATACGGCGTCGCACCCGCGTGCCCAGGAATGGGACAAGGGATATGCCTCTGTGGCAAAGCGGCTGTGTCATGTTGGTGCACATGGATGTTGGCGCAGACACGGTGGTGTATGGGATGGAAGGCGTGAGTTATGGCATTGATGATGGGAGGACGTACATACATAAGATACGGTCTAACGTACTTGAGATATCGTTAGACTCGAACCCCTTGAGGGCGGCGATTAGTCGATGGCCTGACGACCCTCGTGCGGCTGGGAAGCGTGCTTGTAAGCATTGGAGGACAGCGAGAGTGGCGGCGAAGACGACGGAGGTGTGCAGTCGTGAAGTTTGATGAAGGAAATACACAATGAAGTTGGCGAGGGGAGCTGAAGCGCTGAGGAGGCTGAAGGGGTGTATTTGGACAACGGACGCCGGTCTGGATACGAAGAGAAATTCGTGCGCGCGCAGAGCTTCGCGGTTTGTTTGTGGTCGTAGTACGGGACCTGGTTGGCGGAAGGTGGGAGATTCGGGGTACGGACAGAGCGCGGGGAAGGCACGGGAACTCATAACAACATGGTGCGAGCTCAAGCCAGGGCGCCGGATGACAGGCTTGGGCCGCTTCGTGAACGACGAGGGATGCATGTAGAGCAGTGGAGGAGGAGGAGGAGGAGGTTGGAGGGACCGGTACATGTGTATGTAGCGCCCATCCGCAACGCGACGATGCGCGTCCCCTTGGCAAGGCCCTTGGTGACAGTCACGGTGTCCCCGCTCCGTGCCAGCTGCCACCACCACCTCTCCTCCTCCTCCTCCTCCTCCTCCTCCTCCTCCTCCTCCTCCTCCTCCTCCTCCCCTCCTCTTTCAACCTAGCGGTTTTGTTGCTCTCCGCGGCCCAGCTTCCAGATCTCCACCTGCCACTTCACCAGTCGCACCAGGTCTTTCTTCGCCCCCGCGGGCCGGTCCAGCGCTTTCGTGCACTCGTCTCGGTTGCGTACGACGTCGACCACGACCACGACGATCTACGTGACGACGACTACTTGGCCGGCTCCTCCCTAGATTCGTACGGGCCCCGTGGACATAGACGAGACGTCCCTCGACTCCTCCGTTGAGAGCCCCTCATCTCTCCGCGACGACACCGCGCCTGAAGGTCGCGCATCCGACATGCGGGTTTCGGGCGCGCGAGCTAGTCCGGGCAACGTACATGTTCACGGAGCCCAAGACTTCTGACAGTGTCAGCCTGGACAACTTTGGCATCTAGGCGGTGAGTGTCTTAATCTTATGACTGCATGGACCCGCCCTGCGAGCGATGGGGACCCTAGCACCTGGCCAGTCACGCCCCTTGGGCCACTTATCAGCCAGGTCGGTCTCGTTCGTGCTACCGCCAAAGCCCACCCCTCTGCAGAGGTCAACGCGTCTTCGACCGCGGTGGTCGTTCCTCCATCTTGGGAATCTGTGAGTACCCCCGTCTTGATCTCCCGCTCGTGCCTCTGCTCACCTACTACCGCTCTTCTATCTCCGTCGGCAAGTGCGACGAAGAACACAAGTCGGACGACACGCACCGGCGCGCGGCCAGTTCGACGGACCCGGACATCGACATCGACCGGACGTGCCTTGGAATCGCAAACATCTTTGTCACTGGTGAGGTAGTGTATGTGTACTTTCATCCGTCTGTTCTCCTTAGCTGACTTGTTTTCTCCCCGTGCGTGCCCTGACCTCTCTTCTTCTATCGCTGCCTTGCCTCTGTTCATTTTCCCCCATACACACACGCACAGACCCCCGCGCGATATGCGCACCACAGCCACATCTGTCACTGGGACGGCCTCGTTGTCGTCGTTCACGTCCACGTCCTACCAGCGGACGGCGACAGCACGAGTGCCAGCATCCTCCCCAGCGTCTTCCACGGGTATGTTGTCAGTGGACAGAGAGGCCCGCGCGACGGAGAAGAATCGTGCGGGAGGACGTCTCCAAGGCCTCAGGTCTCATGCATGGGGGTAGGGCACGTTCGTGCGCCGTCGAGGGTGCGATCTGTGAGAGGACGGGCAAGTACGCGAAGAGCTGCGCGTGCGCGTGCTCGTTGGTCGCGGTGGTAGCGGGTGCGAGTGCTTGTGGCGTCCATTCCGTATTCGCGCATGCCCCGCAAAGGAGGTCCAGTGCTTGAGCATCGCGCCCTTTCTGTTCCTCCGTAATTTATGTGCGCTTCTTAGCAGATCAGGCTGTGGTACCGTTTACATTGCGTCATCATTTCTCGTTGATATGTACTACATCTATGTCGCTGTTGCTATGCATCCGATACTGAGCCAATGTTCATGATTGTGCTATATTGTATGGGTGATGAGTGCGACTACTCGATATCCAAGCTTGAATCAGTGATCTACGGACATGGATGAGACTAAATGCGCCTGGTGAGGGCCTGCTCTCACGACTAACTCTTCCTTCTCCATGTAATGGTCTCTCATTAGCAGATGGGTAAGCGAAAAATAATACTTCCGAATAACGCGATAATCTGGCTCATTAGCCCTCACAAGCCTCAGTAACATCTCATTATGGATTTGGGTTTTTCCTGATGTAGCTCTCCTCCATTGTCTACCCATTCACCTCTCCTTTCGCCTCCTTCTCTTCCTCCATTTCGATCTTCACGCCCTCCTTCTCCTTTCACACCCCAGAAGCCACCTTCTTCTAACACGTGCTCAACACAACATCTCTCAGACGACCTGGCGGCTTGTGCATACTCAGCTGGCTGCAGAGCCGGAACCAGTGCGCCAAATCCTTTGCTTCGTGAGAGTCTGATGCAAAGATACAGAAATCCAACATGCAGCCGCGAGTGAGATACGCTTGCAGGGAGACACGAATTATTCATCGTAAACAAATGGATGCCAAGAGTGGAGTATCCTGAATACATCTGCACTCGCGCAGCTACCACATACATATCATCAGGGTCAGTGCGGTGTTCGGATCACACCTCGGATCCGGGAAAGCGCGAAAGATACACGATCTCGATACAACCTGCTCGCACCATCGAACCCAGCTTCTCCCGTTCACACGATGACCACGATACCCGCCAAGACGCCGACCATGGTGGCCGCGATCTGGAGGATATGGCGAGTGCGCGGGGGCGCATGACGCGCCCCCGCAGCGCTGCTCGTACCCGTCGACGTCGCCGACGCGAGCGACGCGGTCGCGCTGAAGCCAATCGGCCCCGTCGGGGTAGCCTCCGCCGTCGCCGCGACCGACGCAGAGGACAGTGCAGAAACCTCCCTGAGATCCGAAGAGGGGTAGAGTCAGCGACGTGCGGTCTAAATTCGCGCTGGGCGGACAGGGGTGGGACGCGGGATGCGGGGGAATGCAGAGGAGGAGGCGGCGTCTGCGGAATGGAGGTAGAACTCACGCTGAGCTCGCGGCGCTGGGGTTGGTGTCGGTGTTGAAGAGAACGCGGTCGATGACGTGGATGACGCCGTTGTAGAGGAGGACGTCGGGCTGGACGATGAGCGCGGTGGTGCCGCCGGAGGTGACGTACTGGCCGGTGGAGTTGATGCTGAATGAGAAGGTCTGGCCTGCGGCGGAGATGCGGTCGCCGCCCACGAGGTTGGGGGAGTAAACCGTAGAACCGTTGATAAGCTGGGATCATCGCATGAGCGAGGAGGGATGAGGCTGCGAGTGGGGTGAGCGTACGTGATTCTCGAGGAGCGCATCGAGCGCAGGGGTGTTGACGCCTAGACCAGTTAGCGCGCCCTGGGCGGCGGCGAGACCAGTGTTGTTCGCCGCGAAAAGCGTGAAGCCGTGGAGGCCATTGTTGAGGACGACTTCCAGCGTGATGTTCGCAGTCGAGTTTGAGGTCGCGTTGAAGAAGTCGATAGACACGCTCTTGCTGACGCCCTGGAAACCCGAGAGCGCATCGCTATCCTGGGGGACGATGGCCCCGAACGTCCCGGGGATTTCAAGTACGTGATTGATGACATTCACCGTGATATTACCGAAGACGGTGGTGTTCTGGATCGTAGGGTCGAGCCTAGTCTAACGGTAAACTTCAGGAGCGTAGAGAAGAGTATTGTGTCGCACCGTTGGTTTAGGATGTGAAATTTACCATCCGAGCGGTTGGCCCACGCAAGTGCCTGCGCTTGATCTCCTTCCAAGCTGACGAAGCGCGAGTCGTTGAGCAGTGTCCTGCCCAGAGTGACGTTGGGGTAGTTTGTGACGACGCCGGAGAAGTTCCCCTGAACGATGTGGTAGGAAATGATGTCGTTCAAGATTTCGGGGTTCGAAGACACGTTGGAAGGAATAGCGGCCACTGCGTGCCACATCAGCGAGTGCATCAGTCGGCACGGCGAGGGACTCACGGGCTTCGTTTGAGGGGGCAAAGATCAAGAACGATCTGCCACTTTGGAGCTGCGTGAGGATGGCGCCACCAGTGGTGGTCGTATTGAGCCCTTGAGTGATGTTGGCGAGAGAGGTGAGGCCCGCGGCGTTAAGGGCGGCGATGAGCCCGGGTACAAGAGTGGCGTTCTGAGCCCACACGACGGGGCATGCTGCGAAGAGTAGCGTGGCTGCTGAGAAAAGACGCATGATAGAGGTCGTGAGATGGTCGTGAAGGGAGGGCGGACGGAAAGGCGGACGAGGGGGTGCGGCATATATACTTGCCGTCCCCTGTGCGTTCATGGTGACGACAGGCAAGCATACCGTGCAGTGCGCCCAGAACCCTGGGAAAGGCATCGAAGACCTCAATGCTCTTGGGTTAAGCCGTTTCGGTGCCCTAGATCATCGTGCCAGACGTCCAACTGCCTGGTTGACGTCATAACGAGCAAGCATCCGACGGCCGTCCAGTGGGTCCGCCGAGACGCAGTCGGCTCCTTCGGTCGAGTGAATTCTGCGAAGATCGTCCAGAATTCAAGTGACGATAGGCCGCTGAAGGTCTGAAGGTGCGTGAGCGGCGGATCTTGGCACATGTCCTTCATGCGACTGCGCGCAGATGATCGCCGCAGGAGAAGCGCCAGTCAGAGTGCCGCGTGCGAGGGGTACTGTAGGCTCCGCAACATTCAGGGGGGTCGTCCAAGAACAGAACTGTAAGACGCACGTCACAGGAGCGCCAGGCTTGGAAAATGTACGCGCAACACCGGGACAAGACGATCTGCGGAATCAGAATGCGCGGTCGAGGGCGCTCGCGAGTCTATCTGCCAATGATAATAAGAACGAAGAACTCCACATGCGTGAGCCGGAGAATTACCTCGATTACAGGACGTACATATAGGGTGCAAGTCCGCCGAGACACGCCGGCGCGGAGCTGATGGCTACGTACGCCTTCCTATCTCAAGTAAGTCCTCAGTACCAGTATAGAAGGATTTCTTGCTGGAAGGCAGAATTCCTGAGCGTTCTCTGGACTGTGTCCGTGCGCGCATATCGAGAGAGGTCGATGTCGCTTGGAAGGTAGTGAAAGTCCGAAGGCAAGCCGATCCAGCGCAGTCCAACCAGAAAAAGGCCACGCGGGGCAGCTGACTAAGGTGATTATGTAACAGGCCGCAGATTGCGTGAATGCCAAAGTTCGATTCCAAGGTGTAACCAAACATATGTGTAGCCGTGGTATAGTCATCACGCATCCTGCGTCACTCGCGGTAGCCCCATTCAATATCTTCGTCAACCCCCACCAGCGCGACCACATCCTCCAGAGATATCCCCGCGCACGGCGCTATGCACTCGAACTCCCCGAGCTTACAAGGAAGCCCTTCTCCGACCCGACCCGCCTCGTCCAAAAGCTCTCCGACACAAGCCTCGTTCTCCGACTCGCGCGACACCCGCGCCCGCGCAGCCACGACCCGCCGCACGCATGCCGCCCGCACGTCGTCGCACTCCGCGACCACCAGGCGCCGGAGCCGCGGGGCCACCCATCGGCCGCGCGCGTGCGGACCCGCCCCGTGAAACGCGCCCCAGTGGCCGCCGGTGCACGTCCCGGGCGCGAGCGCGCAGACGAAGTCGCCCGCGCCGGGGCAGCTGGTGAGGATCAGGTTCTCGACCGCGGGCAGCCAGGAGAGGAAGGCGCCCGCGGCGGTGGTGTCGAGGATGAAGCCTTCGAGGTGGAGAAGCTTGAGGCGCGGAAGGCGGAAGGCCTCCGGGCCGTTGCGAGACATGGACGTGAAGAGGAACGGGAGGGACGGGAGTGGGAGGGCGGCCTTCCCGGGTGTGAGGATGATGCTGTCTTGCGGGCGACGGGGAAAGACCTGCGGGGAAAAGTCGGCGTCGCAAACTAGCTCCAGCTCTTCGAGCGCGGGGAAGCTGAGCCCGGAGAGCTGATGGGAGACCGGCCAGAATCCGAACGACGGGGTGAACTTGGCGTTTGTGACAACGATCGAGAGGGACCTGAGGTTGGAGAACGTGAAGACGCTCTTAGGGTCGTTCCACGGCGCCTTTGGGCATTCGTGCGGGTCTTGAGCGGGGACGCCGCATGTGCATACTCGCGTCGACATGGACATGCTATTGTGCGTCGGCTGCGACTTGATCGTGAGCCAGAGGGCGGAGAGCTGAGGCATCTCGAACATGCGAAACAGCCCCCGGAGGAGAGCGCAGTCAGAGAGCCCTGACCACTCGAGAACGTCGACAGGCAGCGTGAGGGCGGGCCGATTGTAGGATTGCTGACCACCCCGAAAAACGCCAACGTCTACCGAGTGGTCAACCTTTATGATAAGGTCTTCCATGATGAGGTTCTTGAGGGAAGGGGCTGAGGCGAGGAGATCGTACAGGTGGGAGGATCGGAGGCCACCGTGGCCAGCGAATGCGAGCGCGTTGAGCATTGGCTTGATGCGGGTGCCTAGCACGACAGGACTGAGACGGTCGAGGATGACCTCTTGAAGAACTGGAAGGTCGACTTGGAAGGAAGGGGTTCTGGGTAAAGCCGGGAAAATTGGGGCTTCCAGGTAGACGGCTTGAAGGGCCGGGAGGCTCGGGAGCCCGAAGAGGTACTGGAGGTGGTGGATCTGGTGTACCGCGTCTTGGGACCACTCGCACTCCAGGTTTTGTAGCCGCGCGGACGTCGCAACGAGTTGCCGGACCGTCTGTTGGGTGGCTGGCCGGGCGGCGCGTGGGTAGGCTCTTGGACAGTATGTCACCGGACCACCGCGCGATCGCTCCAGCACTGTGGGCAGAGCGGCCGGGGACCATACGCATAGCTCGGTCCAAAGGCTTGCAGTCGTCAGTGTAAGGGCCCTCCACACTCCACAAACATGAGAGAGGATAACGGCGGCTTTCGGGTTACCCCAGACCGAGAACTTGAACACCAGGAGGAGGAGCTCGGGCGGAAAGTGGTTGATGTTGGTCTGAGACACAAAATACAAGATGGTGGCGCAATCAAGCCTCCGAAAAGACCCACCAGATGACAAACACTCACAGAAATAGTTTTCATCTCATCGGTGCGTGTGACGCAAAATGGTTGAAGGATAAAGTTCGAAGCGATGGATAGGATGGGAGGTGGGAGCGTTTGGGCAGTTTGGTGGTCAAAGCGTCAACCCCGGCAAGAAGGGATGGGCGCCGAAGTGAAGCAGCGACGATAGGAGGAGCGTTCTGAGATGTGGGGACCAGCAAGGCAGATGGAGAAGAGCAGGATGGGCGCCAAGTAGACCAACCATGACGCGGGGTAGACCCCGAGCGCGTAGCCGATACGCTCACAGGAGAACAATGGCCAATGCTTGCACGTGGCTGTTCAAAGCGGCGACCTCGTCGGCTGCGTCAACCACTCAACGCATGACTTCCGCGGGCCACAACGATTGCACTGGAAGCGAGATCAGTCAGACCCAATGTGAAGTGTAATATATGATCTGAAACTCACCTCGAGCCCGACGTCTGGTCGGTCGACGGCGACTTCCGGTACGACGTCGTGAAGTCATTGGATGCCCCACACCGTGCAATTGTGTCCGTGTCGGTCCTCGACCGCCCCAAACAAAGCGCTTCGCCTCGCTGTATTGGATACCATAGTCAGACGTTGTCCCCCTCTGTTATCGTCGTGCGCGGACTCTCAGCATCTGCCAGTCCTCCGGGAAGCACGATTGGTTAGTTGTATTTGATCGCGGGCTCCGCTACGCAACATGTAGCAATAGTGCGCGGGCCGCACGCATAGTACACTGCCGGCGCTTCAAGCTTTGGGGGAGGGCGGTATCGCTGGGACACCGCGACGGCACGCACTAGCTGCAAGTGGCACCCTTGTGCGCAACCGTCGTCTGAGTGTGTCTGTAGATGAGGTACTTCAGCCACTGCTCGTACACAGAAGAGGAGGAACTCCCTACGTTGAGAAACGTGCTACGGCGCGTCCACCTTGACTTGATGGGCGCACGCGCCAGACACGCCCAAATGGTAAAATCCGCCAAGTTTATTCAAGGGTCTTCGACCACGCGAAGCTGATGAGCACGTGCTGACATAAAATCTTTCATATGTTGCACGCTGCAGGTACGTGTGCAAACAGACGTGCACGAAGCAGGGACTCTTCGGTCCGTACTCCCCATGAGAGGCGCAGAACGACGCCGTCCAGGAACGTCTGGATAGCATGTTAACGTTTTGGTCGAGGGAAACAAAGAGTCATGATACAATGCTCATGTGTGGAGCATAGGTACTGGCGTTGGTCCTCATAGCTGTACCGACCACACACCCATGATATAAGCTGTGGCACAGAATTATGGGGCCTGACAGTGCACACCCAACTACTAGAAGTGTGAATGGCAGACACTCCGTCCCTGCTATTCACACGCCTAGTTCACACATGATACCGTGATCGGCCATTTTGCAATGCTTTAGGGGAGAATCCCGGTCGGTTTTACGATGGTCGGTGGGCATAGAATACGTGACATCGCCGAACTCGTGACATACCAAGAGTGCATGAGCCAGAGAGCATCGACTGCAGGTGGGCAGTCGTAAAGTGGTGCACTATGTCGGTCGTTGTATGCAGTCTGTACGCGGTTTTTGCGCGCTGTGGTGCTTGCGGAAGACACAGGGTGATGATTGATACAAGTACTAGAGCGAGAATTTACAGAGCATCTGCCGCAGAGATATACAATACTAGGAGAAATGAGGATAGGTATTCAGCGCGCAAAGCAAGGCAGTAGAACGCACCATTGTTACCGCGAATGAACGCGTCCCCATACCGGTTCGTGATCCTGCCGTTCGCATGCTCCTCCGTCTGCTCGAGCGCGATGTTCATGTAGCCATCTAAGCACGACAGTATCCCTGAATCCAGCTGAGTCACATGCTCGTGTACTGAGGTCACCCGAGTGGACATACCACGATAATCCACCCCCGAGGTAAGTCGGACGACCACACGCTTCCCGACGACGCCCTTGAGAAAGTCCGTGGGCGAGCCAGAGGTAGAGGGAGGAGGCGGCGGCGAGGGCTCCGCGGCAGCAGCGGGAGGAGGCGGAGGAGTGGAGTCGGCCATGTGGTGGTCGCTGTCGGCGGAGAAGAGGAGCGCGGCGGGCGCGACGAGCTCAGCACACGCGGCGGCGACGGAGTGATGGTGAACAGGCGCGGAAGAAAAGTCAATCAGGGTCACGCGCGCTTGTTTGCCAAAATCTTGCGCTCACCAGGCACCGCGCGAATCCCAGCGCTCGGAGCAACCGCCATGACGATTCGGATATGCATCCCTCTTTGTACTGGCGGTCTTTCATCCCCTCCTCCTCCTCCTCCTCCAACACCGTCGACGGCTCCCGCAACACCCTCCACACTCGCGAAAACGACTAGGCCTTCGGTCACGATTGTCGACAATGAGCGACCGTCGGCGGTACGACCCTGGCCTCGGCGACGAGGATGTCGATGGATCGAGTGACTCCCTCTCTCTCCGTACCCCACCCCTGTCCCCTCGTTTGCAACCTCGCACTCCTCCGCGTTCTCCCCACCTCGAGCCTCAAAGTCCCCCACACTCTCCGCGCCTTGGGCCTCAAAGCCTTCCGCGCTCTCCCCGGACGCCTTCTCGCAGCCCACGCCGCCTTCACGTCCAGCTACCGGAAGATCCCGGCCACGATGCTGACGCGCCGGAGAAGTTGCCGCCGCGACAAGAGACGCAACCTGAAAAGTCTCCCGTTCCGTGGACGACACTCGTACTCAACAGCGTTACCTCAAGCTTCGCGTGGGTCCCTGCGTCGATGACGCGCTCAAAAATGAAGCCCGTCGTCCGTTGTGCCGTCGTGTGCTGGGTTTCTGCGCTGCTTATGATTATCAGGCAGACCAGGGAGGTCATGGGCTCGGTGCGTGGTTTGTATCTCGGACACGGTCTGCTCAGCTCATGTCTCGCACTTTGTTTATAGGGCAGCTTTTTGATTCTCGTCGGTGAGTCTCGATGAACCTCTCTATATGCGCGATTGCCTCGCCACTGGTGGGTCGGCTGCGGTTTCGCGTGCAGTTGGTATTCCAAGCTTCTTGTGCATCATGTTGCGTCGCATCTCTCACGCTTTCCCAGCTGTGGGGCGACACGGTAAGATTTGTGTGCACATATATGCACTATATGTGGGGCGGGCTCTCCGTCTTCCACATCGACGCTGAGAGCTATTCCCGCTATTGGTTCCCTCTTTCTTCCGGATACACATCCTGGTCTTTCCCTGCACGCGAGCCAGCGCCCGAAGGAGTCATTCCCGAGGACAGCGCCTGCTCACTTCCACTCAAGCTGTTGTTTTCACGATGACCCTTACTGACAAGTCTGCAGCATCGTTTTTAGACACCCCTCATGATCCGTTCTTGGCTGTGCTCGAACGTGAGATTACACTGGTGCTGTTTGCATCACTTGCTTGGGCGTAAGTCATGACCATCCGTGCTCACAGCGCACTAATCCTCAGCCCCATGCCAGGTGGTCCTGTCTTGGAATATTTCTCGCCAATCTCACTAGAACAAACACCGATCGTAACGCCACTCTCTCTGACATCCAGTCTGCCCAATATCTCGAAGACGTCCCCACCATCATTCTCGCTGTATTCATGTTTCTCGGATCTGCTTTCTTCCTCTTCCTCAAGGCGAAACTCGGGCCAGGACCGTATCTGTTTGCCACAATCTTCGCATGTGTCTGTATCGACATATCTATCACGACATCCGCTCTCTTTCCCTATCCTATCTACACCGTCGGAAGGACGATCATTGTGCCGTTGGCGTTTCATGCTGCTCTCTGTATCTTCTTCTCCGCCGTAATCTTCCCCTCCACCATCACTTCACAGTATGCTCGAACCGTTCAGGGCGTCCTAACGCCTCTCAATGGATTCCTCGCACAGCACCGTGCTGTCCTTGCCCTCGATCCCGGCTCCGAGGAGTTCAAAACCACTGTGACAAGCATTGTCGGCGCCCTTGGCAAATCTGAAGGTGGATTGGGTGCTGCCGGCGCGGCCGCCCGTCTCATCGGGCAAGACATCGTGTTCAGCCGCTTTTCCCCCTCTAGCATTGCAAGATTTCAACCTCAGATCCGTCGCCTCGTTACGCGGGCGAACGGGCTAGACATCTTCTTCACTCTCATCGACCCGACGCGCGAACGCTTTCCCGTCACGCCAGGCCCCTCGCGCCCGGACACCCCTCGCAGCAGTACGCCTTCCACCTCGCTCCCGGGAACGCCTCCCAACGGGCCCAGCACACCACCGGGCACGATGCGCGCTGAGGACGTCGACGTGTTCGAAAGGCGCCGACGCCATCTCCAGATGCAAGCTGTTACGCGCACGCGCTCCCACCGTTCGCTTTCGCGTGTGCTCCACCACAAGCTCACTCGCCACAAGGAAGCTGACCACGACCATCACCTTCACTTTTCGTTGTTGTCACTCGCGCAGAATCTCACTCCGCAACGCGGCTCCGCCTTCCTTACTCCTACGGAGAGCGCTGTTGGTGTTTTCGAGTCCCAGCGGTACATGGCCCTCGAAGCAACCCGTCTCTCAGACGGGAACACTACCGAGTACACCGCCCAGTTCGTTGCCCTGCTGGGGCAGTCTTGCGACCCTCTCCTCGCGAACCTGCAAGAGGTCCTCAAGGGCGTAGACGAGTGGTTCCTCACTGCGCGCCGAACCAGCTTTCTGCGCGCACGCAAGGTCCGACAGATCCGCGCGGAACGTCTCGCCCATTTGGAGCATCTAAGCGCGGACGCGAAGGAAGCACTACGGACCTTCACGCACAATGAACGGCGAGTTGCTCCGCCCCTCGTGTACGGTGTCGCCAGCTGATTGGTATCCCGTACAGGCTTTCGGTACTGGATCCGTATCGCTCTGCCTTCGATCCTAAGCACGTCCGTGCCGGGGGGAACGGCCAGGAACCACCTCCACATCGCTATCTCTTCCATTGTTATATGTACCAGTACCATCTCATTCGGTTCTCGAGCATTCTGCAGGAGATTGTGAGAGCTCCCTCTTTCTCGTCTCTTACCGTCCGCTGACACATTTTAGCTCAATGACATCATTCGGCTCGAGAAGTCTTCCCAGCGCTCCCAGATGTGGTGGCCTAGCGTGCCCTTCAAGAGATTCCTCCGGTCTGCACCGTGGACAGAGGAGCTGGAAAGGGGGGACGACGAGGATCCCGGTATGAATTTCTGCGGTGCTTTGGGGTCCGTGTCGCCGACTTTTCTTTGCTTTAGACGTCGTCCAAGGCATTCAGTCCGACTGGTCGGAGGACCTTGGCTTGGCCAGCAAGCGCGATCCCGACGCGCTTCCACCTCAAAACGCGTTCCAAGAATGCATGATCAAGGCGTACGACGTGATTCACTCAGTCGGTCGCGGGAATTCTCTATTTGCTCTCAAAGCTGGAGTGTTGACGAGTGAGCGGTGCCGTATCGTTCGATGCGTCGAGCCGTTGCTGATTGTGGAACAGTTCTCCTGTCTATCCCGACCTTCCTCAAGAGCACGGCGATGTTCGCGGAATGTATGTGCTCGCACCCTGGCTTGCGTCAGAGTCTGACCTGTCCCTCGCAGCGGAGCGCTTCTCCTGGGGCATGTAAGGGAGCTTTCCCATGAGTTAGTTCTTCGGCTGATCCCACAACAGATTCATGGGCCAACTCACCCTTGCGCGGTTCCGTGGCGACACAACGTTCGGCCTCGTCGCACGTATATTGAGCACCTTCATGGGAGGCCTCGTCGGCACGGCGATGTGGTATATCTCCCAGGGAAACCCGTTCGGGCTGGCAGCTACAATCGGTGTATGCGCGCCTTTCTTCTTCTTTTGGCGCCTGTACTGGCCGGTGCCGCCCATGACGAGCATCATCTTGTTTGTGACTGTCGGTCTGGTATGGCCTTTCTCAATAACATCCCTTGTCGATGCTTACACGAGCTCTGCAAAGGTGGTCGGCTACTCGTGGCAGAATGAACAGCCTACTTCTCTGGCTCAACCGTTCCGATATACGGGCGTAGAGCTTGCTTGGGTGCGTTCTTTCGTGTTCCACCTTTCCAGCGGGGCTAACACACGTCCACTCAAGCGGCGCTTCGTTCTGGTAACCAGCGGTGTTACTGCAGCCTTGTAGGCGAGAATCGCCTTTGCCTGCGCATACATTCTGAACTCGTGCCAGCCTGTTCTCGTTCCTTCCGCCGTCCACGACGCTGCGCAAGTATCAACGCAACATGATGTCCACCACGGTTGCCGAGATTGGCACGGTCTATTGTGCGGTCGTCTCCTTCGCGAACACGCGCGAGAACCAGGAGACCACAAGACAGGAGATCGTGCAGAGCCTTGTCGCCATCCGGCTGAAGCTGAAACGTTCCCTCGTTCTAAGGACGAACATCGTCTATGAGGTGCGTGTCTTCGCGTCTATCCATGGTCCCCCGGCTTATCGTGCGATAGTTTTCCCTGCGCGGCAGATGGCCGTCTCAAAGGTACAAGAAGATCCTCGACTTGCAGTCGTGCGTACTAGATCCCTATGCCTCGCATCGGCTCTGACTCTGGTCTAGGGAGATCGCGTATCTTCTTTCTCATTTGATGTCTGTCATCGAGCATCTGCATCCGGCGTGGTCGCGGGCGTTCCTGAGGAGAACGAGGTTCACGGACGCGGATTTTCAAGGCGACGTTCTCGCGGTCATTAGTATGTCTTGCTGTCGATGGCCCGACCTGATCCTAACCTTACGTCTTGAAAGGCATGATCTCGACCGCGCTCCGAACTGGGAATCCGCTGCCGCAAATCACGCCCTGCCCCCTTCTGGACAGGTACATGCTCCACGCGCACGGACTAAACGTTATCGGGCACGAGGCCGACGACGACTACGGTCTGCCGCGGACGATGACCATCGAGACGCTCGAGAACGAGCAGTATCTGTGAGTGCCGCCCAGCCGTGGTTACCCCTGACGCTGACGAAGGACCGTAGCTGTTTCTCCGTCGGGGCCACGACGGCGTTCGGGATCGTCCTGCGCCTCGACAAACTCATGGTCGCCACCAAAGAGCTCGTCGGAGAGCAGTACCACATCCACGGCATTGGCGTCCCAGAACCGAAGATCCCCACCCAATCCTCCGTGGACCGGCCGGGCAAGGACGTGTAGCGCCTGCGCCTGCACTCGCGAATGCGCGGTGCATTCTCCGATGCCTCCGTGTTCGGAGGTTTCTGTCTGGTTTCTGTTCCGATCTAGAGTCGCTCTGTCTTGCTTCGCTGTCAAGTCGTAGGATCGCTTGTTTGTTGTTTTCACACCCCGTTATCGCTATGTCGTTGCTATTTGCGTCGCCTTCTTGTTTAGAGTCCCCCACTCCCTCCACAGTGCCGGAAGTGGCACTGAGTCTGCTGACTTTTGAAGTCGCAAGCCGTCGATGTCGCGATGTCGCGATGATCCACTTCGACCTTCTTATTCATTTAGCTCACTATCCCTGCGCAGTTGGGGCACCTTCGCATCTCATCTCTTGTCACTAGGTAAGTACTGACGATCTTCAGGACTTTCTCAGTCAGCTCAACAATGACGCGCAAGGCCTCCGACTGAGGCGTCTCGGCGTTGACCTTTCGCTCATCGCAAATCTCCTCGGGATTCCCGACTCAATATCTGCGATCATCCTAAGTGTGGTGTCCTCTTACTAGCTCTCCGTCCTTTCCTTCCTTCCTTCTCCCTCGTGGCGTCGCCTCACCACAGTGCAGATTGCATGTCCAGGCACGACAGTATGGAGTCACCCGGGATCCTGTCACCTACTTGAACGTCGCGGTGCTCCTCGACCGACGTGAACCTCGTCGGTAAGGCTTCGCGCGCTATCGTAAGGGCAAGGGCAAGGCGAAGAGCAAGGGGTATGAACGCGCTCGTGAGCCAGTCCGTCATACCCTTGCATGAACTCAGTCACTAATTTTGATTCTGTGGACAGAGGACCAGGTGTTGAAGATCAGACCTCGCCGCCGACTGTGGGGATCGAGGCAGGCGCCCCTTGAAGCCATGCATCGTTCGAGGTTGGTGGTGGAAGGCGTGGTGCAGCTGTTTATCGACCGGATGGCTGACACGGAATTACACTGGAGTCTCCCAGTCGAGGAACCCCCGCCAGCGCCTATCGGGCGTTAAAACGACGGTGAATTTGTATCGCGCGAGCTGCGTACTTACGTCCATCTGATACCGAGCACCGTCGACGACAACCTCGTGTAGCCAACACGCGAAGACAGCCTTGTCAAACACGCGCAGTGAGCATCACGGATCACCGCCTCATTGGTTCAACACACTCCCGCTGCCGTTGTGGTGCCGGTGAGTGCCCCAAACGTACCCGCTTGGTAACTCCGCGCATCTTGCTCCAACTCCCCATTCTCGTTCTCCCCGCGTTTGCGGAGCTCTTTCCTTCCATTCGTTACATTTCGTCTTGATTGTTCCCTTCTCCCTCTCCCAACTCGTTACCCGTTGTTGGGTCGTTCGTGTTTGAAGCGCCGCAAGGCACATCCCCGGCGCTGTCAAACTCCACCGATCGGATCGAGACGCCATGTACCATTCCGTCTGTCAAGCCCTGGACCACTGAGCGCCACGCTGCTTTAATGAACCGCAAGGCTATAAGCCGACCCCTCGTTCTTTTGCCTCCCTTCGCCTTTTTTCCCTGCGGTCTTGACCATGTCCCGCTATTCCTACGAGTCTGGCTCGGAAACAAATTACGATCACGAAGACGACATGAAGGCCTCCCTTCTCCCGATGGTCCTGACTGCCCCTACCGACTCCTGCCCTCCCTCCTCCCCCGTCTGGGCGCGTCGGTACAACGTGACGAGAGCGTCGCGACGCCGCTTCCTGCTCGTCGCTTCCTTCATTATATGTCTGGGTAGCGTCCTTGCCTTCTTCCGCTTCTATGAGACATCCGAGACGCTCGTCGACCCCTCGCGTTTACTGCTTCCCGTGAGCGATCCGGTCCCGCCCTCCGACTTCCCCAACAACATCAACAACACCAACACCACCATCAACAACAGTACCCTGCCGCCCTCACACGACCAGTACTTGCCAATTTCCTTGAGGCCGGAGACATATGTACGAGGCAAGCCTACAGCGCACTTCCGAGGTGAGTTTGCACACTTCTGAGGGATTCTCGCCGTACCGACCCCATTCCCTCAGACAGTTTGCGCGACGACGTGAAGTACATGACGTCGTTCCTGGGTGCTGGCTTCAGTGCGTGACTTTGCCTCCTGCGACACACATTCGCTCACCGCTCCTCAGCAAATGACCAGATCACCTTGGTGTGTGTCGTACTCCATCGGCGATGGCACGCAGCTCATTTCCGTGCAGGGCAACTTGATCTACCTCTCCAAGATCTCCGGGCGCGTCCCCGTGCTCCCTCCACTCACCTCCCACATCGATGCTCAGAAGGACCCCCTCGACTTTTCGCGCATCTTCGACCTCCCTCGTCTGACACGCGAGTCGGGCATTCCAATCCTGGAGTGGTCGATGATCAAGGACCTCGACCGGGCGTGGAGTGAGGGCGTGGTCGACGAGCTCGGGTGCTGGAACATCTGGCAGAGGCAGGACATCACCGCGGACGGGCCCCGAAGAACCTACACGTCAGAACTGCTGAAGCTAGGTGGGTCCTTGTGTGCCAATCGTTCGCGGGACGACTCTTGACTCCCCACAGACCTCTCCCACACGCTCGCGCCCGGGTGGGTGAAACTGATACCCAACTTCGAGCACGACAAGCACTCCACATTCTGGACGCTCGCGAAGCTGCTCTTCCCCGCCGCACGCGCCTCAGCGCTCGCCGACCCCGCCGAGCACCCGACGCTCCCAGCGCACTCGGGCGCGCGCCTCCCTCCCGACGAGCAGATGGGTTGCATCGACTACCTCTACTACACGTGCGCGCAGGAGGTCAGCTCCCCTCACGCTTCGCGCGTATGTGTCGCTCTCGCTCACCACCGCGCCCGCGCCCACAGGCACTCGACTTCGCGCAAGACTACTCGCCGATGTGGCGGGACGTGATGACGCACGCGCACTGGACGCCCGAGGTCGCGCGGCTCGGCGCGTCCCTCGTCCGCGCCACCCTCGCGCCCCACGCGCCGCGCACCTCGCCGCCCCCGTCGTTCATCGCGCTGCACGCCCGCCACGGCGACTTCGCGCAGTACTGCGACCCCGCGGGCCCGCGCGGCGCGTGCTTCGCGCCGCTGTCCGCGTTCGCGGCCGAGGTGGAGCGCGTGCGGGACGCGCACGAGGCGCGCACGGGCGTCCGCGTCGAGCACGTCGTGATGACGAGCGACGAGCGCGACCCGGGGTGGTGGGCGGAGGTCGCGGCGATGGGCTGGCACCGGGTCGACGTCGGCGCGGCGCGGACGCCGGCGGGCTTTGGGGAGTGGTGGCCGGTGATCGCGGACGCGGTGGTGCAGAGCATGGCGGTTGGGTTCGTGGGCACGGAGGACTCGACGTTCTCGCTCGCGGCGCAGCGGCGGGTGGCGGAGTGGAACGGGGGCGAGGTCGCGATGGTCAAGTGGCGTTAGCACCGTCGGTCGGTCGTTTTTATGGTGTAGTGTATATGTATTGTGGACATAATCACCTAGACATAGATGACATCATCAGGTTAGGGCTTTGCTTATACTAGGATTCCCACGGATATTACATGAGTCAATAATGCTGCTCAGATCTACTACTTACTTGTTACCGTCGCTGCGGGCTTCGTGGTCTCTTCCCTCACCCCCATCCACGATCCGGTACGAAAACCTCTTTAGCCTCCACTTTCGTGTCGTGAGCATTGCACCAGTGTATGTTGCGTAACAGACTGATGACACGGTTGACATTGCTAGATTCGTATATACTAGTATGGCTGAATCTACAAGCGAGTCAATGAGCATCGCCTCCGCTCCCTTCAACAAACCCTCTGCAGACCTTATCTTGCAGACCTCAGACAACTTCCAGTTCAACGTATGGAAGGTAATCCTTATGGAGGCCTCTATCGTCTTTGCCGATATGTTCACGCTGGACGAGATACCACACGGCTCCGCCTCTGACGGCGCGGCATCACATCAAGCCCCCGCCGTGAAGCTCACCGAAACCAGCGCAGCCCTGGACGGCTTCCTCCGTATGTGCTACCCTCCCCCGCACCCCACGTTCACTTCTATCGACGCCCTCCGCTCCGTCATGGCCGTCGCACACAAGTACCAAGCCGACGGCGTCTTCCAGGTGCTCAAAGAAGCCCTCGTCCGCAATTTCGCCGCCACCCAGCCCGTGCTCGTCTACGCCATCGCCGTGTACTTCGACCTCGCCAACGTCGCCAGGACGGCCGCGCGCCACTTCCTCGCGGTCCCTTCCCCCGCGCCGCCGCCGCCCAGCGAGCTCTCGGAGGACATCAACGTCGCCGGGGCGTACCAGCGCCTGCTCGCCTACCGCCGCCAGTGCAGCGACGCGATCTCGGACATGGTCCAGAGCAGACTCGCGTGGCTCCCGCAAGGCGCCTGGCAGTTCCTCACCTGCACGCACTGTCCGCCGTCGGCCGTCACCAGCTTTTACCCCGGCAGCAGCGGCAGCGGGCAGCCGTTGCCGGCACATGCACAGGTGCCGAGGATGTGGTTCTGGAACCACCACGAGCGCATGGGAGAGCTGTTGCGGGAGCGGCCGTGCGCCGCGGCGCTCAAGCGCCCTAGCCTGCTCGAGCAAGGGATCGTGGAGGTGGCTCCGACGTGCGGGAACTGCAGGTTCAGCGCGCCTCGGCTGCTTCGGCTCTTCAACAAGGAGTTGGGGAAAGAGGTGAGGCGCCGGATCGCACAAGTGAGCTCGCCCTGGTTCTCTGGACCGCGCTGATAGACTGACGCGATACGGCGCAGATTCCAATACCTGATGTTGTACTTACGTCGTCTACTGGGTGGATGCAGGGTCTTGATATCTGAGGACTTTGTTGGCGGAGGGCAAGAAGATTCATTGAGGGAAAGGGTCGACCCAAGCTTCCCCACGTCGGACGGAAATATCTGTAACGAACGTTCGACGGTGCACCTCCCTCTCGTTCTCCGTCCCGGCGCTCCAACTCGGCTTATCCAGAGCAGCCAGAGGCTGAACCAGCGAACTCGCACGGAACGCGAGCTCGACCTCCACGACCACCTTCTCCGCCGTGTCGGTATCGACGACCGTGAACTTGAACGCGCGCGCGAAGTCCGGCCACGACGCGACGTGGTCCACCGCGCACTGGTGGTCGCCCTGGCACTGACCGCCGCCCGGTGCGCCGCCGAACGTCGGGCTCAGCGGCGTGGTCGGCACCGCGCCCGAAGACCCGAGGAGGACGACGCGCGCCCAGTGCGGGCCCGTGGACGGCGCGCGCGCCGTGTACGTCCGCGAGGACATCGGCGACGCGGGCAGCGACGGCGGCGCCGCATCGCGGTCGCGGTCGCCGCCGCAGCGCCCGAGGAGCACGCCGAAGCGCGCGCGTGCGAGGTCCGCGCTCGTGCTCAGGACGAGCGTCGTCGGCGTCGCGCCGTCCCAGTCCGGGGAGGCGTCGCCGCCGGCAGGCGCGAGGAGCTCGAGGTGGTGGCGCGCGCGCGCGAGCGCGTGGAAGGTCCAGCGCGGGATGCGGAAGGGGGTCGTGAGGCTGCGGTTGAGGAAGATGCGCCGGGCGGGGGGAGAGGGCGGCGGGCGGTGCGCGAGGTAGATGTCGCGCCACTTTGCGGAGGCGGGCTTGCCGAAGAGGAAGAGCTGTCCGCGGGAGGTGTCGAGGGGGACCAGGCGATAGGATGAGTTTTCGGAGGTGGTGATGCAGGGGTAGTACAGTGGACGTGAGGGGTCAGACGAAGCAGGAGATGCGGTCAGGAGGAGACCTAATTGCTGTCCAGTTGTGGATACCGAGCAGAGGAGGACCGCCACGGCGATGCTTGCTGAAAGCTTGATGACGGGAACCCGCGCGTGTACTCCGTAAGGAGTAACAGTGAAAATGTGGAGGCCTGCCACCTTCTTGCGCATGACCCGCTTCACCAGGGACTGTTGGGATGCACTACATCAGCGCTAATACGTCTGGAGCGAATGAAGGACACTCACGTGTCTATCGCCGGCCTTGAAGAACTGCTGAGACTCCGCGTGACAGACTTGACGGACGTGTGCGCATGTGACGAACACCGATGAGGAAGGAGCGAGCAAAAATGAATGATGACTGTCGAGGCTCGGAGGAGCTTGGAGAACCAGGGACGAGGGGAGGGTGCCGGTGTCGTCAAGATGATGACCCCACGCGAAGAGTGACATGTCGGTGGACTGCCTCATGATCTCCTCTTGAAGACGACGGAACGCGTTGCTCCCTTCGCCGTACAGCGTAGGCATGTTGATCCCGAGAATGCCCATGAGGCAGTATGCCTCGTCCTCGACCTTCGTCGTCCGGCGGGTTGCCGCCCACGATAACCTCTGCGCGACGCTCATCTCCGTGATCTCCTGCTCGTGGCGAAGGACCTCCCGTGGGATCTGTGTCACCTCCTCCAGTAGTTCAGCGAGATCGCACTTGGTGCCGAGAACCTCCCAGTCTTGAGAGAAGAAGACGAGAGACTCGGGCGCGAGAAGCTCCTGGAGGGTCCACCCGCGCTCGTGCCATCTGCTGATGCGGAACCGATGTCGGCAGACGGAGTCGTTCTGGACGTCGCCGGAGGGGACGTCGTAGAGGTAGGCGAAACAGATCTCGGCCTGAGCGTAGTATCGGAACATCGAATTGATGGACTCGGAGAGCTCGACGTCGTTCGACTTGTCGATGCAGCACGTGTCGTTCCAGGCGTACTGGTACCCTTCTTGTTCCGCGAGGATGCAGCACTGCCGGGTTTTTGAAGAGACGTAGTCGCGCGGGCATGAGCTGGCTTCACTACAGCGGGCATAGAGCTTCCGAAGGTCTTGAAACGTGTCCTCAGCGACGTCTGATTGCCAGACATGCGAGAGGATCGCATAGCCGCCGGGGACGGTTTCCGGACTGTCGAAATACTGTAGCTCTGCGCGAGATGTAGACAAGAGCCACATGCTGTTGGACAAGTGAGTACAGAATGACGGAAAAAGAAGGCTGCAGATGCACCTCGAGGGATGTTGACGTTAGAGAGCGGCCGCCGGCGAGCACTCTGAGAGCACTGGGGTATAAATGTGGGCATTTAAGGCACATTGGTGTGGTGGTGTTTGGACGTACCGTGTCGACTGTCACCTGTATCGTCTTCGATGATGCCGTCTAAACGCCACGAGAACCGCGCAAGCGTCATTCTGCAAACGAGTACTTATAACAGCAACAACGGCGATCCCACGGCGAGGCGCTGCTGCTTACACCGATCACGGAGCTAAGTAAATATTCTTGATGCGATCGGATTGAATGTATCATACCAACTCGCTGTGGAACCATTAAATAATGTGAGAGATCCTATGCAAGTAGGCGACTCAAGGTTCAAGCTCAAGCTGTACTAGGGTGTAGCCGCCGCCCGGATCTTGGCACCCAATCAAACGGAACCTGTTATCTCTTGGTCGATAAGAAGTCCGAGAGCACAGGCCACTTACGTTGTGGGCGAGGCAGTGTTGACGCGTTGACGTTGACCGCTCAAACCAAGTACTTTGAAGTCATTGCAGCAACGATAGACGGGCCCCTCGCGCGAAAATCAGCACACAGCCGATTCGGGCATCAGCAAAGGGCGTATCTTCTTGTCACGCATCGCGGCGTCTGACCGCGCTCGGCGCTTCCTGATAAGGACATACCATCTTTTGTCTGCTAGACGGCTGATGGTAATACATGACGATCAGTCGCAAAGCCTATTATAGATGGTATCGAATTGCAGTCTTATTGTAAACTGTAACCTTGCGAGACGGTTTTCTGCAAGGCCTGGTCGTCAGACTTCTCTACAAGTACTTCACAGGTACATGCGCAGGTATGGAGCGTGAGAACGCTTTCATCGCGTCCTATTTCCGAGGCGCGTGTGCGGAGCGCGTCCTCACCGGGACCATCTGCTCTCCTCCTCAGGTCACGCTTGACTTCTCCAAACATTCCCCAGACGCATGTCTTGTTCACTGCGCTTTCAGCCTCTCTTCTTTCTTTGGCCCTCCCGCAACAAATTCACTACTTGTCGACATCGTATCCAAGAATATGGACATTCGGTGAGTACATCATCTCACGCACACACTCGACATGTCATAACGTCGGTGGCGGGTGACGCACGCTCGGGTCGGGTGAAGGCTGGGTTTCTGGGGATCTGTGGGTCAATGCGTGGGCGAGTGGCGGGGAATTCTGAAGCATTTAACAAGACTGGCGCGCCTGCGGCATTCTTTCCGGACGTACCATCACCACAGACGGGCGAGCCACTGAGCCACTGACATGGTGCCAGGTGAGTCCTTCGTCAGGCCACTATCCTTCTGCTTCCAACCCTTCCTTCCATACTTCCACGGCCATTCAATGTTTCACCCCGTCAAGTCAGTCATATTCCTGTGTCGATATGCCTTGCATCTTCGATGTAGATGCCACTCGGTGCCACTCGCTTCTTAGTGAGTCCTATCACTATTACCGGTTCTATCCCCGTCCCTAAAACACCAAATATGCGGCACATTGTCGTCTCCACAAGCACATCCAGGGGCTGTATTCAATCGTCCAAGTGATCCTCGACATCGGGACGACGGGATCTGCTCCTCCCTCGCGCTCTTCGCCCTGGTGCAAGTCACGCAGTTCCTCTCGGACCTACTCCCGATGTTCACGCTCAACGCCAAGTAGCTCGACAGGATCCTCGCCTCCGCGATAAACCGGGAAAGCACTGCGCCCGCAGCCATGCAGGATGGCGCACGGCGTGGTCCCGATGAGCCCTGGAGCGCGTGCACGGTCGTGAACGTGCCACTCGTCTCGAGCGGGGTCCCCCTGGGTGTTCTACTTCCGCCCGGGCACCGGCTAGGGGTTCCTCCTTCTGACGCCGCACGGGGACGGTGCCGGGAGCGACGAGACGGACGGGGTCGACGGCTCGGCCCGCCTCGTCGATTCTCGCCGCTATCTACCCCCATTATCGCGGTGAAGGGTGCGGTTGTGTCGGGGGGCTTGAAATAAGCACAGGTATGTCTGAGCGGCAGCCGATACTGTTTCCAGGTTCTTGTCCCCAGCCTCCCGGCGGCCGGCCCCCAGCCCCCGCCAGCACTCCCGCAATGTATGCCGTGTCCCAACTCGACGGATGCGCCCGGATCCATATTTTGGGTTGCCTGGTTATTGCGAGCAGCCTATGCAATGTGAGTTTCGACGTGTGACCTCCGTGCTCCACACTCTCACAGCACAAGGGCCTACAGGCTCGGATTAAATCTCGATGAACTTCTCTCCGTGCCAAGGGAGCTAGTAGGTGTCCAAGAATGCGTAGTCGCGCCCGGTGGGCGGCCCCCGCCTCGTCACGGTTTGAGTTGAAGCCCGCGCTCCTATTTAGAGCGCACCGGTGTCCGTAGCATTTTTACTTTGTGCTTGATTACATGGCATCTTTTGAATTATCACTGCGTACTTTGTTCCCTATTACCTGGTGTGCGTTGCGATATGAACCTACCCTGCCATTCACGACAAGGCGTCATAATCATTGCCTGAGATGACCATCCCGCCCCTTGTCCATGGTAATCCTCTCCCTCTTGTATTGCCATGGGCCCCCTCGTGTATTACAATGCGCGGTGGGAGAAGACAATTGTCCGACCGACCGGCGTCTAGCAGGCGGTAGATTGCCATGCCAGATGACTGATGGCCGTCTACGGCTACTACCCTGTCATACGTGATCTGTCTTGCGATTGCTTACCATGCAATATGGGTGTTTATCACGCATTGCAACACATTATCTTCAAATCCCCCATTTTGCTGATGGGCGGAGTTCAGCCGCACAAGGCGCTTAGAGGGACGCGTGCGCAGGAGACGTGTCGGAAGATGGGGAGGGGCAGCGCCCGTATAGCCGAGCTAGCGCGCGTCCGGGCGTTTCTGGCGTGCGTCTCTGTTATCTGTGGCGCAGATAGGGAGAGAATGTCAGGTGATCTGTTCCAAGGCGCCTACAGAGCTCGGCGGGAGTCGGCCCAAGTCCCCCGGAGGCCAGACCCGCCCTTCGCTTCGAAGGGGCTGCACAGCTCGCGCTAGCGAGCATCAAAAGGTCTCGACCAGGAGAGACCCTTGGTTGTCGGCCTTCACATTTACGGACAGCGTCAGACACCCATCATTTCCCGGTCTGGTGCATTGCGTAAAACGGCCGTGAAGCCAATTGTATACAAGATCCTCGACGAAGGCTCCCCCAGACAGGTGCTGGAATGTGGCTGATATGCAAGAATACACATTCCCATAAATCGTCTTGAGGAGCGATTGGGCAAAAATGGAGCAGTAAGGAAAATAAATGGACATTAAAAAAACTATTCTCAAGACCTTTCCCCCACTCTCAATAGCTACAACTTTTCGGAGACAACCCAGGTGTCAAAGTGGCTGCACATTGCGTGATGCTCTCGGAGAGTATGGCTGACAAGTTGAAATAAGCGCCAGAGAAGCGAGGCGCGACGTCACGCGACGTCGTCGACCGCACAGTCAGCAGGAATAGTCGCGGCGCTTGGACGCTCGCTAACAACTCGCTAACATGCCCCCATCAATTGCAACGGATGGCGGCAACTAATCGGCCACCTCGGGCGAAAAGGCCACGTCACTCACGCCACCTCGCCAAAGGATAGCAAACAAGATAACTGATGAGATTAGACTATCTGCTGTTATCTACACATAGACGCTCTTTTGGCGCTCGGACGCTCGCTAACGGGCGCTGCCCCTCCCCACGGAAGAGCGACGCGGACAAACAGTTGCCGGACCAGATGCCCCGTGATCGAACTCCGCCCGAATCGGCTGTGTCTATCGGTTTGTATGGATCCAGCTCACCACGGGCAGCAGGCTTCGGAGCTCGAACATGCTTAGAAAAGGCCTGTCAAAGGCGTCTTTTCTGCCGCCTTTTATGCACGTGTGACAAAGGCACTAAAACGGAGGAGAAGTCACCTGGGCTAAAAAGAATGTCGTTAATAGTGAAAAACTTTTGTTTTACGGGGTGGAGAAAAGCGTCGATAAAGACTCATTTCCATAACATGTGTTATCAAACGTACTTACGTGCTTGTTACCCGCCGGCAACAGCCCGGGAGCGGACCAGTTGACCGCAGCAACCGGAGGTGGTGGCGGGTGCGCAATGGATCGGAGTTCCTGCAGCGGCTTCACGCGTAACAGGACTTCAACGCATTCCTGGACAAGACACGATGTGCACCGCCGCGTTTCGGGTGCCCGAAAATACGCAAAAAATCACTCACAAGTGCATTTTTGGGACGCTTCACAACGAAAGCCTTCAAAATATTTTTTCGGGCACCGGAGACGCGGTGGTGCGCATTGTGAGAAGGGGAGCGCGTTCACATTCGCGGACGCCCCATAATGAGACCGACACAAAAGGCGACGACAACTCGAAGACAGACTCATTAGACGGCGCAATGCAGACGCGTCTTGAATGGCCCTTTGTACAATCAGCTGCCGCATCTACGCTCAGTGAGCGGGATACAATGTTTAAGAACTGCAGGAACACGATTTTAGACGGGCACAGTGGCACAGCTCAGATGAGGTCAAGGCTGAGCGCTGGAGGCCGATAGGTGAACAACGAACCCGACTTTGGTATGCTTCTGACAGTTCGCAGAACAAATATCGAGGTAGAACGGAGAGGGTATAGAACATCAGACTCACCATGAATTCCCGTATGCAGCACACCAAAAACTTGACCGCCCCCCATTGTGTTGATGAAACGCGAGTGCAGACTTAGGGTCAAACGGGAAGAGCCTTGGAATATAAAATTACCCGTCAAGGACGACATGGAGGAGGGACCTGCACAAAAAGAGAGCGCTGAATGCGTGCATGCGTTCCCAAGTGGATGCAGATCGCCGCTGGGGCTTCAATGGCTCGCATGGGCTCCTGTACTACTAGCATAAAATGGGGTGTATACGGTCCAACGCTCACAGTACTAGTACTCGACCGTTTAGGCCCTGGTCTTGGACACTCCCCTACACTGCTCGTCTCCGACCAACTGCAGGTATGATATGTTCACTGAGGGCAGTCCAGTACGTTTGCGATATGCGTGGGTTCGTATAGGCCCTCGGGGATGAAGTGGGGGTTCCGGGTGGGAGAGTTGATGAAGAGGTCAGAAGACAAGTCGCCTGGTCTCGAAGCGCCGAGACCCCTTCCCCCCTACCACCACCACACTCGAATCGTTCCTCGTTCGACGACGCCATCTTCTCCCTGTCTCTTGCCCCCAGGTCACCTCAGCTATAACGGCTAAAGACCGCTCGTCACGACAGGTATGTGTTTGCGTCCCTGTTTGATCTACTGGCCAAATTTCGAACTCCCTCCCTCAGACACTGCACTTCCGGATCTTGTTCGGCGCGCTAGGAGAACCCCGGGCGGATTTTTGATAACTTTGGGGTGCGTATAGTGAGCCTCATTTGAAGAGGTGAGCACACCACCATTTCATCGCCGGTGGAGGTGGCATACGACCCAGTCCGTTCACAGCATACCTCCCACAATGGCGACACGACACTCTCGTTCGGCAAGCATCCCTATCCCCCCAACCTCCGTTGCGCGAAACCTGGAGAGTGTAATCCCGCTGTCGTTCAACCCCAGTGCTCCCGCTCGACCCCGGCTTTCCAGCATCGGTACGTCGGCAAGCCCCATCTTCGCCCATCCCACCACTTCCCCCGCTCGATCGGTGTCTATGAGCTACGCCTCTGCCATTGCAACTTCTCCGAGAGGTCGCCCTACTGGACCTTCTCAAGCCTCCCCGACGCCCCTCTTTGAGCCCCGCATTATACGCGCCGCTCCCTCCCCCAACCCCTCTCGCGACGCGGCCTGCAATCCGGCTTCGGCTTCGCCAACGCACACGCGCCGCCTCAGCTCCGGCATCCGCGCCCATACCCCACACGGTCCCACCGCGCCTGCGCATCGTACACCCTCCAGTACTACCGTGGGCCATGCTCTCCCTCAAGGCTTCCCACGACCGGCATACCTTGAGTCGTCATCCTTGCGCAGCATGCTCTACACGGAGGCCCCCCGCATGTTTTGGGAGCGGGATCCAGACCAGCCCGATTCCCAGTCACCGCCCACGATTCACGATCAAGTGCAAGTCCGGCCCCGCCTGTCATTCCCTACCCTTACCTCGGCCGCGAGCTCACGCCCGTCGTTGACAGTGACGATGAGAGTCTCACGACGTCGCCCCCTCCGACTGTAGGCGGGGTCACAATGATCAGCACCAATACCGTCCTCATGCTCCCTACCCGTTGGAGCGAGCAAGAACGCGCCCCCTCCCTCAGCGTCTCCCTCGATGGACGCGAGTTGACCTTCACTGGACCTTCTTGCATGGGCGACCGAGAGGCTGGCGCGGCTCGAGCGAATCACGCCATTCCGCCGGCGTGTGGCATCTACTACTATGAGCTTGAGATTCTTCACCACTGTCCGCAAGGGTGAGTCAGTCGCCGCACCGCCCCTATTCTATCCCTTACGCTGTCACGACAGGCCCATCAGCGTAGGGTGCGTGTAGAGCCGCCCAGGCCGGGCGAGAAGCTGATGTATGCGCAGGTTCTCGGCGCCAGAGATCCGAACGAACCGCCTCCCAGGCTGGGAGCAGAACACCTGGGGATACCACGCAGAGGATGGCTGCTCGTATGCGGGCCAGAGGGAGGGGCACCCGTACGGTCCGAAGTTCGACAGTGAGTGCTTCCTTGCTCTGTCGCGCGAAGGACGATCACGAAGGGCCGTCGGCAGCGGGCGACGTCATTGGCTGTGGGATTGACTTTAGTTGCAACCGCGTGTTCTATACCAAGAACGGCGGTTTCCTGGGTGCGTGACCTGCAAAGTCTCCCCTCTCTCGTTACCATCGCTCACGCGACCCGGATGGATCACAGGGATGGTATTTGAGAACGTGGGGAAGAACACCGAACTGTACCCATGCATCGGCATGCGGCAGTCCAACGAGTCCGTCCGCGCGAACTTTGGCAGCGAGCCCTTCAAGTTCGCGATCGAAGAACACATCCGCGCCCAACGCGACTCTGTGTGGGACGGAATCATGGAGACCCCCATCGACTGGAGCCTCCTCGGACTCGGACCGCGCCGCGACGACAGGCGGAAGCCGGCGAGCTCCGCGAAGACGCTCGAGAAGGCTGTCGTCGACGACGAAGATTCCCGGGCGCCGCTGCGCAAGCTGGTGCTTGCCTACCTCGCTCACCACGGCTACGCGCGCACTGCCCGCGCTTTCCAGGCGCAATGCGCGGACCGTGCCAGGGCTGCCGCCGAACACCCTCATCTGCAACCACAGCCGAAGGAAGTCGACGAGGACGTGAAGATGGCAGTCGACGACGCGCCGGCGGTCGCGAGCGCCCCAGACCCGTCGCGCGCGGCTGGCGAGGGCGACCTCAGCTTCGATTACGACCTCAACACGCGCCTGTCAATCACGAACGCCATCATCCGCGGGGAGATCGACAGCGCATTGGCCCTGATCCGCGTGCATCACTCGACCGTGCTCGAGCGCGAGCAGGGCCTGATCCTCTTCCGCCTGCGCTGCCGCAAGTTCGTGGAGCTCGTCCTCGCCGCCTGCGACGCCACACGGCAGGTCGACGCAGAACGGGCGCGGGTCGCCGCGCTCTCCCCTGCGGCCTCCCCGCCGCCCATGCTTGACGGCGAAGACGTGGTGGGGCCGATGGATGGAGTGGGCGCGATGGACGTGGACGAACCATCGCCCGAGGCCCACCCCGCGCCGTCCACGGCGACGGCTGTCCCGACCGCGTTCCCCTCCGCCCCATCCCCGTCCGCGTCCGGTGTCGCACCGCCGTCGGGGCTGACGCTGTCGGCGCCGTCGCCCCCACCCGCGCCGACGCCTGCGCACACGAACCTCGCGACGCTCGCCGCGGCCGCACGCGCGTCGCTCAACGCGGCGCTCGCGTACGGCCAGACGCTCGACGCGGACTACAAGAAGGACACGCGGGCGGGGATCCGCGCGCACCTCCACCGCACGTTCGGTGTCGTCGCGTACGACGACCCGATCGCGGCCGGCGGGGAGGTCGCGGAGACCGCGGGGCAGGCCGCGCGCAACGCGCTTGCGGCAGAGGTCAACCAGGCCATTCTTGGTGCGTGGTCTCTCCGAGATGTTTTGCTTGCCTGCTCATTTGTGCGCCTGCAGAATCTCAGGGGCGTCCGGCCCACCCGGCGCTGGAGACGCTGTTCCGCCAGGCAAGCGCGTGCGTGACGCAGCTCGCGCTCCTCGGCGTCGGCGCGGCTGCGTTTGCAGACGTGCGCAAGGAGTTCGTGGAGGGGTGAAAGACGGGAAGAAGCATCCGTTTGGCAAACTATGTACACTAGCTGTAAGTTCTTGTCGCGCCGCTGAGGTGATGTGAGCGGCGTGGATCCCCTATTTCTTGCTCTCTCTCGCTCGAATCTGTATTGACGCCCTCGTTGTACTATTAGGCAGCTGTATGTACTTACTCTGAAATCTGAAGTCGCATTGAACATTCCCCTCGATGGCGTGCGGATCTTGTGTCAGGGGTTGACGTGTAACGCAGCTGCCGCTGCGGCGACATTCCTTCCAGCTCCTGACGGTGATTCTTCCACAGATAAAACCTATCTTCAGTAGGCGGCGGTGTCCCAACGTTCGCCCTCATATACACTGCGCCGGATAAGGAAGTGTCTTTGGTCTTCACGTATGTCCTGATTTGTAGTGCCAGCAGATCTGAGCGAGGCTAACGTCGGTGACATCAGTATGTCCGAATCGCCGTTCACAAACGAGTCTAATACTCCCCTTGTCGTCGCGCCGGCCCCTTTCAACAAAGATTCCACGGACCTCATCTTACACACTGCGGACAACGTAGCATTTCACGTATGGAAGGTAATCCTCATCGAAGCGTCTCCCGTCTTCGGCGACATGATCGCGCTAGGCAACACACCACACACCGCGTCTGACGAAGCGACGCCCGACGGCGCCCACCCTCCCGCCGTGCAGCTGACGGAGACCAGTGCGGCCCTGGAGCCGTTCCTCCGCATGTGCTACCCTCCTTCCCACCCCCCCGTCTCCTTTTCCCAGCTCGACACCCTCCGCTCCGTCATCGAGGTCGCCCACAAGTACCAGGCCGACGGCGTCTTCCAGGTGCTGAAGAACCTCCTCGTGGAGACGTTCTCCCCCGCCGAGCCCCTCCGCGTCTACGCCATCGCCGTGCGCCTCGAGATGGCGGACGTCGTGGAGGCGTCCGCGCGCGACTTCCTCGCGATCCCCGCCTTCGGGCCGTACAGCGGGGAGCTCGAGGACGTGAGCGCGGGCGCGTACCACCGCCTGCTCGCCTACCGCAGCGAGTGCCACGACGCCCTGGAGGAGATGGTCGAGAGCAAGCTCGCGTGGCTCGCGGACGACACCTGGCGGTTTCGGGTCTCCTGCACGAGCTGCGCGGGGTCGCCGGTCACGTGCAGCATCCCCGACTCGACCGCGGTGTTCGTCCCGCGGGCGTGGTTCTGGCACCACCACAACCGCATGGCGGGGGGCGCCCGTGCGGCGCCGCGCTCGAGAGCGCGAGCGTGCTGGAGCGAGGGATCGTGGAGGCGTCTTCGTGCGGCTTGTGCAGGGCGATCGTTCCGGAGATGCTTCGTGCCTTCAACGACTGATTGCGGGCGGAGGTCGACCGTCGCATCGACGAGGTGGGTTTGCCATGCTGCTCAGGGCCGTGTGGAGTCGCTGACGAGGTCGCACGCAGATCCCAGTACCCCAAATCCATCCTACCATATGATGTGGCCATAGCAGCAGTATAGTCAAGAGGAAAGCCGTGCCGACAGTTCAGCTGTAGCGATCACGATGTAGCTGGGGACGGATCCTGATGTGATTTGCATGTTGTACATAGAGTGCTTACTATAGTGAACCGCCAAGGATACCTCGACCGACAACCCTGCATGCTGTATGCGCATTGCGTTTATGGGCCGGATTCTGGGATGATATACATTTGATGCGACGACTTATGCTACAGCGCATGTAGTGCAGTAACGACTCACAGAGACACGGCCCCGACGACCTGGATGTACGCCGCCGCGGCCGCGAGCCCGAGCGCAAACGCAACGACCCACTCCTGCACCCTCCGCCCATCCACCTTCGCGGCACCCGTCCCCCGCCCGTCCGAGCCGACGTTCGAGACCCCGTTCCCGCTGGCCCCGGCGGCGACGGCGTCCGCCTTCCCCATCCCCTCGCCCGTGACGGGACCCTCTCCGCGTTCGGTGCGTCGCGCAGCGCCGGGATGCCGTCGATGCTCTGCAGGTTCTTCTTCGCCCAGTACGCCTTGAGGCTGCCCTCCGCGAAGTCGTCCGCCGCCTCCTGCTTCGCGAAGTAGTCGAGGAGCGCCTGTCGGTGTCCCTGGAACTTGTAGTACGGCACCGCGTATCCGCACGACTGGCCGCAGGGCGTGAGGGGGAGGGGCGAGAGGTGGTAGAGGCATGCATGGAAGACGCACCGAGCCGACTTTGTGCACATCGACAACGATCGCGGCGCGCGAGCCCGGGCGACGCTGCTCGGGCGGGACGAGCCGCTCGTACTCCTTCGTCCCGAACTCGTGTATCGTCCCTGCCCGCACCAGGATCAGCCCCCGCCGTCGCTGTCACGGACGTGGACGACGCACCTGTGCCGAAGAGCCGGACGATCCGCGGCGGGCCCTCGAACGCGGAGAACATGAGCGTGACCCGCCCGTTCTCGCGCACATGCGCGACTGTCTCCGCGCCGCTCCCGGTGAGGTCCTGGTACCAGACGCGGTGGGCGTCGAGGACGTGGAAGGAGTCGCGGACGCCTTTGGGCGAGACGTTGACGTGCCCGTCCGGAGAGAGGGGGGCGGTGGCGACCCAGAAGAGCTCCTGTTTGAGCAGCCAGGGGACGAGCTCTGGGGGGATGGCGTCGTAGAACTTGCCCATGGTGGTGAGTGCGTGAGTGGGAGACAGTGGTTGACTCTGAGAAGAGGGGTGAGGTGACTCGGCCTTCGGCCGATTAGCTCCTGAAGTCGGACGACTTTGACGGGCGGGCGCGAGCCTACGAGAACAGCTGAGCGGTAGTTACGAGACGATTGACGGTGGGAGAGCAGGTATGACTCACTTGAACGTCTCCGACCTCACTGTTGGCTGGGGTGGCAGCGTGATGGTCTCGTGGCAATGGTGCGAGGCATTGAGTTCATAGAAGACCGGTTTGAGCGCATGTGAGGCAAATAAGAGCACAGATGAAGGACAGATTGTCGCCCATATTGACCAAGCTGCGGATGAGCAAGACAGAGGGCGTACGACAGAAGATGTTCATGGTGGCCACGACCGTAGTGGTATGCTACATGATGTCCAGACGGTGTTTAAGCTCTGCATCGTGTTGTAGGACGTCGGTGCTGCACTTTGTATGTCGTGCTGGGGGACGGTGGTGTGGGCCGGAGTGGAGGCGTGGTATGCGCCAGTAGTGCGTGGCGAAAAGCATAGATGATGAATGAATTAATGAAGATGGATGGAAGATGAAAAGGAGTTGTGTGTTCCGCTGCCCAGTCGAGGCTTGCCAGGGCTTGTCTCGCCACAGAGGCGGCTCGACCCGGGCCGAACGCCTCGGCTCAATTCACGCCCTCTGATTGGTCCACTGATACCCCACGGCTGATGTAACCCAACGGCCCCGACTCGGACTTGTCTCGGCCCTGTCTCTCCCGACTTTCCTCTGTTGCCCGTAGCCTGACCTTGCCCTCTCTCCTTGTTCACGACAACGACATCGACGTGAAGATGGCCTCTACACTCGCTCGCCTGCAACGTGCCCACGCCCAATCTCTCCTCGCTGGCCCCTCCTCCTTGCGCACCCTCGTATACCTGCCCAGTCACCGTCATGCCATGATGTCCGCCCTCTCCCACTCCCCCCGACCCGCTCCCCCTCCCTCAACTTCAGCGACATCCTCGACAGCTTCCACCTCTTCTTCCACCCCCTCTGCGCCGCTGCTGGGAGAGACCCCACCCGCAGTGGTCCCTGCTACCACCTCCAAGCCCCCAAGAGCTCAGAACCTGTCCCCAGAAGCGTCGTCGCCCCAAGTCGCCGCACGACCCCCACCCGCGCCCAAGGCCGAGCGTGCACGGCCAAAGATCCGCGCTGCGAAGGCCGCGATCTCCCTCGTACGTCTACTCTCCATCCGCTCAAGCGCATATACCAACCCCACCGTTCCGCTAGACACCAACTGCTGTCGAACGTCTCCAGAACCTCCTCAAGAGCCCGACGCCCCAGATGATCCGCATTGGAGTGCGGAACAAGGGCTGCGCGGGGCTCTCGTACCACCTCGAGTACGTGGAGAAGCCGTCTAAGTTCGACGAGGTCGTCGAGCAGGACGGCGTCAAGGTCATCATCGACAGCAAAGCGCTCTTTTCGATCATCGGAAGCGAGATGGACTGGCAGGAGGATGGGCTGAGGTGCGTATATGCGGTGTTCTCGTCGCGTTCTCGCGCTCATCTCGTCCACTCGTGCGTAGCGCCAAGTTCGCGTTCAACAACCCGAACGTCAAGGACGCCTGTGGATGTGGCGAGTCCTTCACCGTCGGCTCGTAGTTCCCGGCCTCTTCGACGCCTGCTCAGACGATACCCTTGGACACGTACGAATTTTGACGCTCTTCCTGGCCATATTGCGTGCCCCTCGCGCTACACGCTAATATCTGCCGTACACTAGCCATTGTATCCATAGTGCATTTAATAGATGCCTCTTCACACTCACCGCCCATTGACAATGTTTGGATGGAACGCAGGCCCACTCAGTCAGCATCAAGCGCATGAGTCAGACAAACGACATAGCTGACACGTCAAGATTGCCAAGGAGCTCGGTCTAACAAACATTACAAGAGCGCTCGCTATGTGCCTCCAGACCTCGCGAGTCCGTCGAACAACTGAGGTTGTCGCGGCTTTGTGGAGCGGGGCCATACAGAACCTGGAACGAAGCGACTGTTGACCGGTATATGTGGAACGTGCGTCACTGTTCTGTTCTGCGCCCTCGCGGCCGCAGCCATATCATACGGCAGGATGGATTTGAGGTCCTGGGATCTGCGTGACACCACGTCAGCGACTCTGCATGGTTCCGACAAGCGCGACAAGCTTACTTCGTGGATGCGACGGTCAACTTCCGCCCGCAGTCTGTCGTTGAAGAGACGAAGCGTCTCCGGAGCCTTCTCCCTGCAACTGATACACGAAGACGCCTCCACGATCCCTCGCTCCAACAAGTTCGCGCTCGAAAGCGCGGCGCTGCAAGGGCGGTCCTTCAGCAGCTTCGCCATACGATTGTGGTGGTTCCAGAACCACACACTCGGGTCCACGGGCACTGGGCGGTCGGGATTTATGCGGGATTCAAAAAATGAAACATTGCGCTTGATGCGGCACGTGACCGACGACTTTGCGCAGTTCTTGTTATCGCAGGAGATTGTCATCCAGGGGCCTGGTGGGAGCCACGCGAGGTTGCTCTGGATCATCTCCTCGAGGGTGTCGTTGCACTTGCTGCGGTAGGTGAGCAGGCGATGGTACACGCCTGCGCTGAGGCCCTCGAGTTCCTCGGTGTACGGTCCGAAGGAGGGGATCGCGAGGAAGTCGCGCGCGGCCGCCTCCATGACGTCGGTCATCTCGAGGCGCACGGCGATGGCGTAGACGCGTAGGGGCTCCGCGGGGGAGAACTTCTTCACGAGGAGGTTCTTCAGCGTCTGGAGGACGCCGTCGGCCTGGTACTTGTGGGCGAGCGCGATGACGGAGAGGAGGACGCCGAGCTGGGAGATGGGGGGCCCGTGCGGAGGAGGGTAGCACATGCGCAGGAACGGCTCCAGGGCGGCGCTGGTCTCCGTCAGCGTCACGGCGCCGTCGGCCGTCGTTCCGTCAAACGCGGTCATGTCGCCGAAGACGGGAGACGCTTCCACGAGGATCCCCTTCCACACGTGGAATTCGACGTTGTCCGCGGTGCGCAAGACGAGGTCCGTGTAGTCTTTGTTGAAAGGGGCTGCTGCGACGACAACTTGGGGAGGTTCGAGCTCGGTTTCGAACAGCGATCCGGACATGCTGATGTCACCGATGTCAGCCTTGTTCAAATCCACTGGGATAACCGATCTGGACATACGTGAAGGTAGCTAGAACAGGCTTGCTTGCCGGCGGAGTGGCCTACGGTGAGGGCGAAAGGTGGGACACCGCCGCCGACTGAAGAGAGGTTTTATCTCTGGAAGCATCGACGCTGAGCAGCTGCGGTAGCTTGAGATAGTAGGTCACCGTTGGGAGCTAGAAGGAATGTTAGTACCGCAGCAGTAGCTTCTCTGCTACACGCCAAACCCTACTTAGGCTCAGGTTGGTGTCGGGCCGCCGTGCCGCGATTCAACCCGTGTAAACTTGCATGTTCAAAATCGAAGGGATGAGATCAAGGGAGAGAGCTGCATAAGTAGTAGTATCTTTGAACTTGTGGGCGTCGGCGGCGTGCAATGACATGTAGCACTCAGTCTCGCCGTTGCGCCGTGAGAGTACGAGTATATATGTAGATGTGCTATTCGTAATTCCGGGGCACGTCGGAGATGCCTGTGACAGAGGACGTGCGCACGCGGACCTGTGCGAGGCTGGGGTCCCAATGAAGCAAGTTTAGCCGGAAGGACGTCCCGCGATAAGGCCCTTGACACGTCTGACAGCGCACGTTGAGAAAGCGTCAACTCGGTCGACATCATTATTCGCACTCAATGGCAACGACAGGGAGCAGTAAGTAATATGGGCCATAACCAAACCGTCATCCGAATAACCGTGTGTAGTGGCCGAACGGTACGTGCGGAGAATCTCATCTAAGTTCGTTTCGGGTCGTGGTTCAATCTCGTGTCCCCGCGCAAAAGCAGTGCTCGGCGGGTGGTGTCTCCGGCGTCTCCTACCTGGAGTTCTGGACCTGGACGTACCACTGCTGGTCGGCAGCGACGCACAAACCGCCGTGGGCGTTGTTCGCGGAGTTGCAGTCGCCAGAGAGCCAGGTGACGAGGGAAGCCTGACGCACGGACGGTCAGCGCTCTCGGACGCGACAGATGCGACGGCCACGTACCCAGTCTTGGCGGCAGTACGTGAGAGTGGCGGTCGCGTTCTGGTTGAGGAAGTACGTGGTGCACGAGTGGTACTTCATCGTGATCTTGTCCGCGGCGGTCTGTTCGCAGAGCGCGTGGTCAGCTGCGCTCAAAAACCGGAATGAGACGAGGCGCGTACCCCGGCGGCGGTCGCGTTGAACGTCGCGGACTCGTTTTCGCCGTCGTAGAGGATGGCGTCTGCGATGACCTTGCAGTCGTCCTCGTTGGGGCCTCCGCCGGAGGGGCTGAAGCAGAAGGTGTTGCCTGTGGGGATCCCGGGTCAGCACTCGTGCAATGACGGGATGTAGTTTGAAGGACTCACACGACGCGCTGCAGACGTTGTTGACCGGTGCGTCAGGGACGGCGACGACGTCGTTCGCCGCCACCTTGGACGTCGATGTCTCGCAGTGCGAGTGGGTCATCTGGACGTCCTTGCCCTTGCCGATGAAAGTCTCCGAGACGACGGTCTCGGACTGGCACTCGATGGCGCCGGAGGCTCCAACGGTGATGGCGGAGCTGGACGCGACGAACGCGGCGAGGACGGGGAGGAGGGCGAAGAGCTGCATGACGACAGAGGTACAAGTCGAGTGGGGGAGAGAAGAAACGTTGAGCGGAGAGAAGGAAGGCGAGATGAGTCCTGGGTCGAAGGCCAAAGGAACGATGGAGGCCAAGGCAAAAACAGAGGACTTCTTATACCTACGCAGGAGACGCAGAACCTCAGCGGGAATCCGGGACCGGGTTATGGTTGCGGCGTTCTACAACGTTGGCCGTCGGCGGCTCGTCTCGGCTAGATGTTTTCGGGCCCCGCTCCGAGAGGTACTTACAGGTACGACGCCATCTTCGTCCAACTCACGTTTAGCGAGGGATCGGCCGACGAAGAGCAGAGCCGACGCAGCGGAGAGTGGCGAAACAGCGTCTTCTCCCAAGCGGGAAGGTCTGCCCGTACGTGTGACCGCTGGTCCCGTTCATCAGTCACTAAGGTACCGCTTCATTAAGTCGCTAGGATGCGCAGGGATGCGCGTACCTACTATGGGGGGCACACCTGTGGTTGTCAATTCGACATGGATGATTCCTTCGAGAAATATGCGGTATTGAGCAAGCTGGCACTTCATTGTGTTATGGTTAGCGTTCCTCCGGGAACCTATGTGGCCAAGCATGTGGCCAGACGTAGACGAACCTTATGTATAACATGCAATTTCGGGCTCAAAGGGTGTTCGCATCGGCCTTCGAACGCCGACCAACGTTTGAGCACTCGGTGGATGAACTCGAGCCGGTTTTGATTGTCGGCTCACAGAAAGAATCAAACTCGGCCTCGTGTAAGAGCTTGGCAAGTCTTGAAGTGAATCAAACTCGCCTAAGAACCGAGCTGCGAGGAAACCTCGAGTGTGTCGAATGATCGGCATGGCCGAACGTGCCCAGAGAGTTCGAAATTGTGGTAAATTTTCAAGAACGTTTGCCGGACTCCGAAGACGCAGCGTGAAAACAGACCAGGGTGCACATCTGACGGCGAAGAGATGCTTATCAAAATTTATATCTGCTATAATGACAGCATAAACCGTTGAGCCCCCGAGAGCAGGACGGTCACCCGAAGGACGTTGACGAGAAAACCTATGATTGGGGAGGACGTGACGGGCACCTATTCCGGCAGGGGTATCATATTCCATCACCCGCCCCACATTGGTGCGTCGACCGGGGTCGTGCCGTACTTACGGTGTGCGCGAACTACGAGGCGGAACGCCTCCGTGATGATGAAAGGCATCCAAACGTGCCTGGGGTATACATCAGTCTCACTGTCGGTTCGAGTTTTGATATTGTACGGCTTACTTACCTTGTCGGACCAGTGCGAAGACTTAGACACCGGGCTCAAGAGACCATAAAGTGAGACACAGAGAAACACTCAGGGTTGAAGTAGATGCCCGGGCTAAGCTGGCGAGCTCATTGACGTGGCCAGGCCTAGAAGGCGTGGCACAGGCTAATGCGGTCAGCGTTGAATAGACCACATGGGTTGTGCCAGGACGTACAGCGAGTGGGCAGAGTGGCCGACAAGGCCAAGCCAGTGGTCTCCGAATTCACCGTCGTGGGTCTCAGCCAGGGCCACGCGGCGGATACTTACGCGTGTCGTCGCGGTAGTCATAGATGCTTTTTACGGGGCGCATATCTTCCAGGAATCGATTCGAGGACAAACAACAAGGACCATTCGGTCAGCGCGGGGATGCCCTTGACCTTGCTCACCCAGGAGGCGCAGACCGGTGCGAAGGCGTAAGCGGGGGTATTGTTCTTGGGCAAGCAAAAGCGGCGATGTGTTTGTTTGCAAAGCGAATCAAAGCGAGTGGTCTCGGGGAACACAGCATCGGCCAGGCACGCTGGAACAATGGGGGAATTTACATGCTCCGCTATGGACACTTTTACAACTCCGATGGTAATCGGCTAGCGTAGTTAAAATTTAATGTTACCTTATATATCGGAGATTAAAACTTGTGTGAGGCGCGGAGCGCCGTGTGAAATTTACTGATGCACGAGGACAATAGCCCGGCAAGCGACAGTGCTCTCTTTTGTGTACCTCCACCACGCTTTGCTCCTCACGCGAGCGGGCGTATAAAGCTCCTCTGTCGTTTGCAAGTGGGCCCCGTGTTCCTTCCCACTTCTCGAACGAGCTGAGCTCTCAACTTCACGATCATTCTCCACGGCGAACCTCAGCCTCGACATACTTGCTTCCGAGCCTGTCTAACATATCCCTTCTCATCCTCCATACCCTCCGACTTCCTTCAGCATGAAGACCTCCGCTGCTATTGCCACGTTCACCGCCTCTCTCGCCGCCACGCTTCCTCTCGTCGCAGGCCATGGCTTCGTGAGCTGGGTCGAGATCGATGGTACGAAGTACCTCGGCAACGTCCCCAACAACTACAAGGGTGCGTGTTTTTATTCCCCCTCCGCGCGCACATTTTGAACGCGACGCGCAGGCCCCAGTCCCATCCGCCTCATCTCAGACATCGGCCCCGTCAAGGGCGCGTCCAACCCAGACCTCTTCTGTGGTCTCAGCGCGCAGCCGGCAGAGCTTGTCGCCTCCGCGAACTCCGGGAGCACCGTCGCGTTCCAGTGGTCGGGCGGTGCGGGCCAGAAGGTACGTGCCCTAGTTCGGCCGCACGGCTTGGAGGCGCTGATCGGTGCACGTGCAGTGGCCACACAACACGGGGCCTTTCATGACCTACATGGCGTCGTGCGGGGACGTCACCTGCGACAAGTTCAACTCGACGGACGCCCAGTGGTTCAAGATTGACCAGGTCGGGAAGAAGAGCGACGGAACAACTTGGGTGCAGGCGGATATCAGTGAGTTGTGTTCTGCTCCTCGTTTTGCACACATCCCGACCCGCGACCTTCTCAGTGAACGGCGACTCCTTTACCGTCACGCTCCCCGACAACCTCACCCCCGGCGACTACCTCATCCGCCACGAGATCATCGCCCTCCACCTCGCGGTGACGGAGGGCGGCGCCGAGTTCTACCCTCGTGCACTCAGGTCCGCATTGGCGGCTCTGGCACCGGCACTCCGAACGGCACTGTCACCTTCCCGGCGCGTACAGCGACACGGACCCTGGCATCTTCGACCCGAACGTCTTCAACGGCGACGACAACTACGTCTTCCCCGGCGGCGCGCTCTCGAACCTCGCCGGGACCTTCGACGGCACCGGCGACGCGATCACTGGCGCCTCGACCTTCCCTTCCACGAGCGGCGCGACCTCCACCAAGGGCGCGGCGGGCACGAAGACCGCGTCGGGCTCCTCCGCGACCGCGACCACGACAGCAACGGCTCCGCGGCCACCTCGGGCTCGTCCAACAGCCAGTGCAAGCTCAAGAAGCGCGCCGTCGCGAGGACGCGGCCGTCTTCCCGCGGCACATCTCGCGCGTGATGGCGCGGATGCTGCACTCGTCCGGGTTCTCCCTGAGCCCGCTCACCCCCTTTCTTCGCCCACGTCACCCCTCATGTCCACTCATGACGACACAAGGATATCCTCCCCCGCCGCCTAGTGCGGCAGCACGACGTTATCATTATGGTCTCGGACGGGCACTACTGATGAACTTAAATATGTTAGACGACACCTCCGCGATTGGTATGACGGGCCCTTTTACGACGCTACGTCTGCTGTATCTAGTATTTACTTATTGTGTCCTTACCACCACCACCGTTTGTAGCTCATAGCCGTCGGGTGTAATCGTATCCGCTCTTTTACTTTTTGCGTGTGGACGGCTTCGGTTGCGCGGCATGGCGGAAGGTATGACGTCATGGCAGTACCGAGGTTTGCATTGCAACTGACGGACGCCCTTGTTCACAGCCGCAACTACCGTCCCGATCCCCTCTTCAGGTCCGCGGAGCTCCTACGTCTGGAGCAAGGCCGATGTCGATGTTTGAAAGGCAGCTCTCCGGTCTGGGAGGTATGGTTTGTGCCGAAGCGCTGACGGCTTACAACGCGGTCCAGATCTCCTGTTCGGCAGCGGCTACTTCACGGGGAAGAGCAAGCCCCTGGCCGGAAGGTTTCGAAGACAGGATCCCGGAACTGTTGTCATAAGGAGAGCCAGCCGAGTGTTATGATGGCTATCGAAATGTCGGCTATGGTGTCGAGTTAGGGACGATTACTTAGGTACTTGGAAACTCCGATCCCATCGTCGCAACTGACATGTACTACAGTCCAATCGGACATGCTTTCTAGACCGGGCGATTATGCAGCAGCTTTCTCGTGGAAGACGTGACTCATGCGGGGAGCGTTTACTGAAGAACCATTTTCTGCATTCTGATCCAGGCTGCCAAGACGAGAAGGCATGTAGACCCATAGGAAACCGGATATGATTTCGCCCCGGTTTGCGCCTTTCAGAACATTCGCAAATACCTTCGCTGATTCCTTCGCACTGTGCTCTACAGCGCTCTTTCATGTACGAAACACGACGGCAGAACTACGTACGCTTGGAGGATTGGCATCCGATCAACGGTGCCAGTACGCTCCGGGAAGCGAACGTTGCTCCCGGACTTCCATACCCCGAACTCGCAGCTCTGCCGGTCAGCAAAATGCGGAAGTAAGAAGCAAGGGTGGCTACCCGGCCCCTCTCTTCGGTCGCGAGAGCTCCCCGGTAGCTGTGGCTGTACGATGCGGACACTGCGGACGGGAGCTGTCCACTGAACCGGCGGATATATCACATCCGTGCCTCCTCGTCGCTCGACGATCTCAACATATAAAGAGTGGCTCCTGACCTCCAATTTACTATCCTCTCGCACCCAGCTCACACTCATCTTTGTCATGTCTACCACGCATTCCGACGAGCACTTGAACGTTTTCTCCCAGGACTCTGCGCTTTCTCCGCTCGACCTTCCCTCTGCCATATCACCTTCACGGTACTCCCCGAGCACATTCGCGGAGCAAGACGCCTGGTTCCCTGGTCATGGTGTTGCCTCCATTCTTCCCTCGCCACACTATTCCCTCGCCGTCATTGCGGAGCAGCGAAACACCACTGCCGCCGCGCAATATCTCGTCCCCGCTGCTAGCTGCCTCTCGACTTCGCGACATACATACCCCTCCATCGCACAAACTCACCGCTCTGCCATCTCGCCCTCTTCGTCGCACACAGTCACGACAAACTCGTGGTCACCGATGACCTCCTGCACTCCCAACCCTCGCGTCGGCAGCTTGGACACCAGCGGCACGAGGCAGCGTATGCGCACCGCGAACGCGTGCGAGTGGTGCAGGAAGATGAAGAGGAAGGTGCGCACGGTTCTTTCTCCTTCGCATCCCTTCCCTGATGGAGACCGCGTCGTTCTGTTTCTCAGTGCACAGGGGAGACTGTCTGCAGCGTTTGCAGGAAAGGCGGGCATGATTGCTTCTACATACCGCGCCAGACGCGTAGAGGGAAGCGTGGCCTCGACGGCAAGCACAGGCGCCCCGACATCATCGCCCCTCTTTCTTCCGGAAGATCCGGGTCGAGGAGCAGCGACGGGATGTCCGTAGGGAGCTCCGTATGCAGCTCCCCGGGCGGTGGGCTCGTCTCCCTGACGCCAAGTCAGCCGCCGTCACCCGCACGCTCCTCGCAGTCGCCTGCCTCAGCGCCGCCGCCACACCCGATCCCCGCGCGACTGGCGCACAGCTTCTACGGCGGAAACTTCTCGGAACCAGCGTACTGGGCATCTATGCAGCCTAGCGCGCACCCCGTCTTCAGCAGCGTCTACAGCCCCGCGTTCCAGGGGCAACTGTACCCCGGTTCGCACATGCACCGGTTCGCGCCCGAACTCGGAGTACTCCAGCACGCGATCCCGCACGCACCGTCACCGCTCTCAAACCTCCCGCCTCCGACGATGGCTACCGGGCCATGGCCGCTTGCGTCCATCGAGGGCGCGTTGAACAACCAGTCGAGCATATTCGCCCACTCATACCCGTAGTCGTCGACTTCCACGCACGACATGGAGAGGGCGCAGGGGCTGGGGAGTAGACTCGGCAGTCGACAGGATGGATGCTCGGGCAGTTTGCAGGTCTCGTGCTGTTACAAAGTTGACAGGGATATATGATTATCTATTTCACGTCTGTGCCCCTTGCAGCCGTGTGCGAAACCGACGGTCGAACCGGCGTGCAGTCCGGAGCGAGTTGTCTCGGCGGGCTCGGATTCGATACTTTCAATGTTGCTGCGATGGTATTACGAGTGTGTCACCCGCGGTGAGTACTGATGCGACCTGACCGTCAACCGGCCGCATTACACCGGAAATTCCGAGTATACAGCAAGCAGACGTTACAGGGGCAATATGCGGTATCGTACCCAAACCTGTAGAGGCATTCCAGTGTCTTACGAACGTACCCGCCGACCGGCGCGGAAGATTCTCATGGGAACCACGATTTAGACTAGATTCAATCGACGACTTCGACGAAGAGGCCTACGACAGAGACAGGTAGGCGTGTAGATGAGAAATATGGGGGCAGACGAAGCAGTGACGAAGAGTACTAGGTAACAAGGAATTCGACGGGCGGGTATTAATCGGAGAAGGTGGTTCTCGTCCCAAGTACGCACTCGACGCAATTCCGCGTTGGAGGGGATTCAAGCCCTGTGATATCCAAGTTAGCAAACCGCGATCGTAGGTCACAGTCGGCGTCATTCTAACTCACCACAGCATGCCTAGTAGCAGTACGCGCCCTTCACCGGGTTCACGTACCCGGCAACTCCCTCGTACGAGTAGCCCAACAATGTGACCGCGTTGTCGCGCTCCTGCGCGTCGGTCGTGTAGAAGTGGTCGATCACCGACGGCTGGTACAGCCGGTAGAACGGCACGCTCCCGCACTGCGCGCTCGGGTAGATGTACGCGGCGACGCCCTCGCTCATGTACCCGAGCCGGACACCGCGTGGTCGCGCTCCTGCGCGTTGGGCGTGTAGAAGTGGTCCGTGCCGCCCACGCTGAAGAGGCGGTAGAGCGGACCGCGCCGGAGACGGCGGCGGGGAAGACTTGGGCGGCGGTCCCCTCGTTGGTGTAATTGAGCCTGGCGACGGCGATGTCGCGCTCCGTCGCGTTGGTGGTGTAGAAGTGGTCCGTGGCGGAGATTTGGTATGCGCGGAAGAGCGGCACGGTACTGTCGCAGCACTCGGGGGGAACGGTGGGGGAAGTGGTCTGGAGGAGAAAGGCGTGAGCAAGAGCAGATGGAGATGAGCGAGAAAGGCGATCCACTCACGACGGGCGGAGAAGTGGTGGACTGCGTGGACGAAGGGATCGAGCTGCTTGAATGCGTCGACGGTTGGACAGTGGTAGTGTAGTTGCAGTCCGTGAAAGACGAGTACGGGTAAGAGGGAAGCGCGTGCACAGAAAGAGCGAGAGCCGACAGGACAAGGGCAGCGAAAGAGGTCTTCATGATGATGAGATGGAGAGGTCTGAGGACGCTGGTGTAGCTGGTGGCTGAGTGAGATATCTGCAGCCAGGTGAGTCTTTTATCTTGTGGTGAGACGCGGGGACCCAGGAGACATACGTACCGTGTCTCTGGATGAAACCATTCGTGATGCTTCATATACTGCTAGAAGCACGTTGACTCGAATTGTAGAATAAAAGCGATGGGGTGGCTTCAGCTAGCGAGACTGCAAGAATGACAGTTCCGCATTGACGAGCACCACTTGAACGGACATCGAGAACGAATGACGTCGGAGCTAGTGCGCGCACCAGTCTTTAACACTGTCTAATCTCAGAAAGGAAGGTCAGTATTAAATGAGGATATGCCCATTTTTGTTCCTTGGTGAGGAACGGTGTGGGCTCCTCTGGCAAACCCTGGCGAGAGGCTATGGCAGGTGTTCACACGCCCGTCGGCGTTTCCCGGGCGAGGCCTGAAACCGGCATGAATCGGGCCGGCTTCTGACCTCGTCCAGAGTCTTTGGGCACTGTCTCTTCATCTATCTGCTGTAGCGTAGATGACTCACCTCTCTCTCTTCCTTCATTTCCTTATTCCGTCGTTACCCTGCTGTAAGTTGTCTTAACCGCACCTTCTTAGGCCGCCAAAAAGTCTCCTGGATACCAGTGCGACGACCGGTCTCGGGCTCCGAAAGCCTGGACGCAGTGTCATTTCATTCTGGGACCGTACTGGTTCTGTTTGGAGCTGATTTCGCCGTGCGGTCCTCGATGGAAGTTCAATAATCCTCCGCAGCCATTCTTGCCGCCTTGCTCGACAAAGCTCTATGCTCGCGTCTGTTCTGCACGCGATTCTGGAAGTATATGATACATCACCAATGGTTTCATTCGGAGACGTGGAACGCGGTACGCACATCTCTCCCGCGTCTCCCCGCAAGTTTAAAGGCTCACCGAGCCTCAGATACCTCACTAAGATCTCGGCTCGCGCGCTTCAAAACCTGGGCGGCGGATGGTAGATGAGTTCATAGCTACGCAGTCGCGGAGACTTGGTCAGAGAAAGACCGCCACGATGTCAGGAAGGTACCCGACGCACAGTAGGTGGTATTGTATAGAAGTAATTCCAAGGCGACGAAGAAGGGAAACAACTGAGTGTCGTCCAATTCGCCCGCGGGTCGCATTGATGACGCGAACGGCCCGGACCAGCCCGGACCCTGACGCGAGTTCCGGCGCTTGCAGTCGGCGAAGGCCGCCGCGACGTCTTCGAGCCTGGTCTTTCTCTCAGCTTCCATCTCTGCTGCAACGCTACACCTCCTTCTCACAAGGCGATTTCCTCCCTTCCAGTGAAGCTCAGCTCTCCCCATACAGCACCCGTCTCGTTGTCCTACCGGTTCCCGGACGAATCGTCGACCAGAAACTCGAAGATGAAGTCCATCTTCCTCCTCTCCCTCAATGACGACGTTCTCCTCGCCGTCTTCTCCCTCCTTGGTCGCGAAGATGCACTTGCGATGTCTTCTACGTGCAGAAAGGTCTATCGACTAGCCATCCCTCTCGTCTTTTCCGACATGTACTGGAGCAGAGACACCGACGATGACGAAGAAGACGGGTCTATAGCTTGTGCTTTTCGCGCTATATGCGTGCACCCGAGCCACTGTCAAAACTTCCCCGCATTTTGCGTCTCCGTCACTTTTCTCTCAGTCACTTCTCCGACGTTGATGTCCCATCCTGCGCGACTTTCTCTGCCACGCCTCCAACCTCCGCACCATTGATATCCACAGCTTCGAGTTCTTGATCCTCGTCGACGAACATTACTTCAAAGACATCGTTCAGAATTGCATCGAAGCAATCGCTGCATGCGCGAGCTCGAACATGCTGGTCTGGTTTATATCGGTCCAGACACGGTTTCCGCCCTGCCAGTGATGTTCTCCAGCTCGAAACTTGCCTCTTTGACACTTGTCTTCGACACAATGTACTACGACGACGACGACCCAGATTGCATCGATCTTGTCGATCTTGTGTCCGCTCTCTCCTTCATTCCAAGAATCCACACTCTTAGCCTATTCTCTGGCAGCATACCAACCAGTCCCATTCGACTACCTGATCCCGACCGTTTCACCCTTCCCTCGATCCGACACCTTTCTCTCCGCTGCCTCCCTCAGACTGTCCCCGGAATAATCACGCTGTGTCCTAGCCTCGTCAATCTCTCTCTACTGTTGTGCACCCAGGGTGTCCGCTTGGGCGCTGCCCCGCCTTGGGTGACGGACCGGTAGTATTTTCCACAGCAGCACAAGATCGATGGCCTTCCCGGCTGAAAGTGCTCGAAATCCGCTCTCCCACTATCATTCCAGGCGACACTGCAAGACGGATGGGGCGCGTTGAATCGTTATTGTTGGGAGATAGCACGTCGATCTCTGGGATGGACGACTTCCAGGGCTTCGTTTTCCTTGTCGAAGCGGTCAGACCCACCACACTTGAAATCCACACGGGATCTGCTCTGGGCGACCCCGCCCGCTTCTGGACCATTTTTTTCAACGTTGCCCCTCAACTCCGCTCCCTGAAAATCGTGGTGAATCTGGCGATTGCAACGTACGCGAGTACATGGTACATCTCTCGAGTCTCCGCATCCGGGTCGTGCTGATTTTCTCGCCCCGCTCGCCGCGCCAACTCAGGATCCACTGCTCGTCGCGCTGCGATCCACGTCACTCGTCCACCTGTCTCTCCACATCCCGCCCATTCAAGAAGGCTACCACGCATCGAGCGTCACACAGATCGACGACTGGTCACCCAGGAGGTCCGCCGGGTCGAGGCCCTTCGCCCGCTCCCGCTGCGCCTCGCGCAAGCCGTCCCGACGCTCCGCGTCCTCGCGCTCTCCTCCTGCCGACCCGGGTCCACGGGTTCGACACGAAGCAGGCACGGCGCACGCGTGGAGTGCAGGACCTCCCGCCGGAGGTCGTCGCGGAGCTCGCGCGGAGGACGACGTGGAGGGCAGTGGGGTCCGACGAGCGAGTTCGTCGACCCGGGCGTGCGGAGGATGCGGGAGCTCCGGGCGGAGATCGCGCGCGACGAGCGGTGGTGGTGGATCGAGGCCGAGGGCGCCGCGCGGCGGCCGATGGAGATTTGGCGGGAGGACGGCGAGCGGGCGCGGGCGTTGATTGAACGCGTGGATTTTGAGGCGAGGAGTCTCGACGGTGAGCTTTCCTGCGTTCGAGAGCTGTTCGCGCGACCGTTGCTCATCAGGCGTTCACGCAGGCTTTTTCTCGGACAAGTGCCGCTATGAACGGTAGCGCACATTGCGCCGCATAATGTATATCCCGTACGCTTAGAAGCTAGAACGAAGTATCGGTAATCATGGGGGGTAGATATGGTGACGGCGAAGCGGTGACGAGTAGGTGACAAGGAATTCGACGTGTACGTGTGTAGTGTGCGGGTGTCAATCGGAGAGGCGTTCCAAGTACATCGAGACTCCATGCGCCTTCCAATTCCCGCTACATGCAATTAAGGTCCTATGATAAGTATTCACATTAACAAGCCGTGATCGTAGATCACAGTCGCCGTAATTCTCACTCACCACAGCACGCTTGATCAGCAGTACGCGCCCTTCACCGGGTTCACGTACCCGGCAACCCCCTCGTACGAGTAGCCCAACGACGCGACCGCGTTGTCGCGCTCCTGCGCGTTCGTCGTGTAGAAGTGGTCGACCTCCGACGGCTGGTACAGCCGGTAGAGCGGCACGCTCCCGCACTGCGCGCTCGGGTAGACGTACGCGGCGACGCCCTCGTTCGAGTACCCGAGCGCGGACACGGCGTTGTCGCGCTCCTGCGCGCTGGTCGTGTAGAAGTGGTCGACCTTCGACGGCTGGTACGCCCGGTAGAGCGGGACCGCGCCGGAGGCCACTGCGGGGAAGACTTGGGCGGCGGTGCCCTCGTTCGAGTACCCGAGCGCGGAGGCCGCGTTGTCGCGCTCCTGCGCGCTGGTCGTGTAGAAGTGGTCGATCCTCGCCGGCTGGTACGCCCGGTAGAGCGGCACGGTGCTGTCGCAGCACTCGGGGGAGTGGGGGAAGTGGTCTGCGTGGAAAGGTGTGAGCAGGAGTGGTGAAGACGGGCGGGAAAGGCGAAACACTTACGACGGGCGGAGCAGTGGTGGACTGCGTGGACGAGGGAATAGGCGAATACGTCGACGTTTGGGTAGTGGTAGTGTAGTTGTAGTAGGTGGAGAGGAAGCGTGATGGTGCAGTCCGGGTCGAAGACGAGTACGGGTACGAAGGGAGTGCGTGCACGAAAGAGAGAGAGCCGACAGGACAAGGGAGCGAAAGAGGACTTCATGATGACTGAGATGGAGAGGTCTGAGGACGCTGGGGTAGCTGGTGGCTGAGTGAGATCTCTGGGGCCAGGTGAGTCTTTTATCTTGTGGAGAGACGCGGATTGAACGCGGGAGACATACGTACCGTGTCTCTGGATGAAACCATTCGTGATGCCTCATATACTGCGAGAAGCATCTCGGCTTAAAGGCAAACAAAAGCGATGGGGGAGCTTCAACTAGCGAGACGGCAAGAATGACAGTTCAGCATTGATGGGCACCGCTTGAACGGGCATCGCCGGAGAACACATGACGTCGGAGCCAGCGCGCAGCAGTCTTTAACACTGTCAAATCTCGGAAAGGAAGGTCAGTATGAAATGAGGATATGCCCAGCCTTTCTCCGTCGGTCTCTTGGCCCCTGGGGGGAAGGTACCAACCTGACCGAGTCGCACCGGAGACATCTACGCCCGGCGCAGCTTCTAATAAGTACTATCAGTAGTGAGACGGCAAGAATGACTGCTAAGTGCTATCGAGAACCGCACGAAAACGTGAGACGGCCCCAAGATGAAATGAAGAGGCACTCACTTTCGCAAGGGGAGGTCCAATCTGCTTGATGACTTGGAGTAGTTGGCAACCCGCAAGGCGCCTAGGAGTGGGGTCATGCGCAAATTCCCAGACCGGCGCTTGCGCGGTTGGGGGTCCCCGTCCAGTACAGCTGAAGTTCTACTTACCCGCCCACCTCCTGCTTCGTTCCGCCGACACTCTTGTCCATGTACTCGTCCAGCTCCAGTCTAATTATCAGCACTGGCCTCCTCCGCCTCAACGACGATGTCCTTCTCGCCATCATATCGCTCCTCGACGACGTGCGCTCCTTCTGTCAAACCTGCAAGCGACTCTACATTCTGGCGATACCCTCCTCCTTCGCACACTCTCGTCTTGCACCTCCGAGTGAGAGCGGACTTGTCTCCTCAAGATCCCTCTCCGATCTTCTCTCAGATCCCTGTGTAGCTGAAGGCGAACCCGTTCTCGGAAAGGCCATCGATTATCTTCTCGCTCGCGACCCCATTCTTCATCGTCCTCGCTACGAATACCTCCGCAATCTCTCAGTGGACCCCACATACGACACCGGAGACTATACCTGGGACATCGACTATGGCGTCGCCGGCCTCGTGAAAGTGCTCTTGCAAGCCCCCCGTCTCCGTTCCCTTCACCTCTTGCAAACGGACGAGCTAGCGGTACGCCACCAAAAGATATTTGCGACCTTCCCTTCGATACCACTTCTATCCAACCTCCACATTGACGACTGCGGCCCACACACGACTCGGATGATGTGTCAAGTACTACCTCGTCTCCGCCCCGGGATCCTTAGGTCCTTTCGCTTCGGGCTTGGCGACTCTCTATCGGGCCCTATAAATCTCTCGGACTACTCTGCGCTGCTCTCGACGCTAGCCGTCTTGCCCAGTCTTGTCGACCTTTCCGTCAACTGTACTGAGATCGATCGGCCGTTGGACTACACACGCCCCGCTCCGCTTCCAGTCCTTCCCCAACTTCCCAACATCCGCTCCCTAAACCTCATGATGTGCCCGCCCGAGGCCGTGCCTTTCTGTCCGAACGTCGTGAGCCTCCGCATTGAATCTTGCGACGTCAACGAAATCGCCGACCGTTACAAATGGCCCGACCTCCACAAGCTCATGTCGGATTTCATGTACTTCGAACCAGACCCGCCTGTCCCAGACCTGGACCTGGCTGGTGGGAGCTTCAACCGCGTCCGGCGAGTCTCCGCGGACCGCTCATTGTCCGTCTCCGGGAAGAATCTCAACATGGACTCTATTACGCTCTCGGAGGGCGTCCGCGCGCTGCGGCTGCTTCCCAAGATGTCCAGCCTCGAGATCCACCTCTTGTTGCACCCTGTGAAAGGGGAAAACGAGGATCCGTGGAACGAGGTCCCCGGCGGGCTGCGCGGCATGCCGGCTCTCCTCTCTACGCTCCGCCTCCGGTCTCTGGAGCTCACCATACGTCATCACGAGAGCAACCTCAATTGCGAGGAGCTCCGCTTCACCTCCTACCAGTCTGCGACGGTGCGCTTTTCACTGCCCCTTCCACGCTGAGTACACCGGTCGCTGACTTTGCTCATCCTTCCAGGATACGCTCATCAGAGTGTTCGCTCACCTCCCGCTCGTGTACCTCAGCCTGACGCTTCACTCAAGCGTGCCACGCTCAGGCTCCTGCACGTTGGCGGCCTTGAGGGACGAGCTCGGTCGCGTTCGGCTGGTGCACAAGCTGATCTATCGCGATGTGCTTGCACTGTGATGAACCACCGGCCCACAGTGCGCGTGCTCGGGCTGGGCAGTGCTTTGGCCACGGTCCCCGATCGGACGAGGATCGAAGGGCCCCTTGGCGAGGTGGACGAGCTGGTGAAGGAGCTCGAGCAGCTGAACAGAGAGCCAGTGGCGCAGGGACGATGGTGGCGGATCAAGTCGAACGGGCCACAAGTCGAGATCTGCGCGATCCGAGAGGAGGTCGCGGCGAAGGCAAGGATTTTCATAGAAGGCGACGGCTTTGAGACCGGGGCGAGCCTCGACGGTGCGTTTTCCTCTCGTTTCGACGCGTTTGAGCACTGACACGAGGGCCTACCAGACTTTTTCTCATCCGAGCATGCGTAGGTCTCGTACGGCGCGTGCGACGCTGCCCACGAGAGCGGCCCATCATGACTCCCCAATGTCGCAGGGTGGGGCACAACGGGGACAGGGATCCGGTTGGGTATCCATACACCGTGTACGCGTACAGTACATACAATCCAGGACCAAGAATCCATAGCCATGCGATCTCGTCGAACAGGTCGCGCGCGGACTTAGACTCCTTGCGCGCATCTTCTGCCTCGTTGTTCGGCGTATGCACCAGCTTTGCCTGCATCGTCCAGCCGGTCTTCGGTGCTACCTGCTCCATGTCTGCGCTGGTCGGCGTGTTCCTCTCGTCGAGCTCCTTGTGACAGCACCTCGATCTGACGGGTAACGGAGCAAGTAGTCGCTGCCATGAAGATGGTCGGAACTGCCTAGCGTTCGTTGTAGCTGTCGACATTTCCGTCAGCCCTCGCGCGAACACCGATGGTATGACGTCATTCGCATTCCCTTCCGGCCTGCCCTCTTGACGTTGACCCTTGGAAAGTACCGGCGACGCGCACTTCGCCTCACATCCGACGAGTAGATGGCTGCGTAGCAGCTCCGGGCAGTGGGTCAGGTCTGAAGATCTGAAGAGTGTAGTGGCCCGCGGAATCACTGTAGCAACAAATGTCACGCGCGAGAGGGGACAGTAAGGTTCTTAGGTCGTAATGCTAGTGATCGTTCTGTACATGCCTCCGTAGTTAACGGGCCTGTGTCACCTTTCAAGCGGGGCGAATGGCTTGCTTGTGCGGCCACTTGTCCACCACAGCGGCGTTCTTCGTCAACATATTGTACTCTTCGCCATTTCCCTGCAGTGAACCGCATTAGTCTATACCGGCCCGGGCCTGCCTGCAAAGAGATCTGCGCGACTCACGATGATCGTGTACGGGAATCCAGGCCTGAACTGCGCGACCGCGTCGAGCTCCTTGATGTGCTCCGGGGAGAGCGCGATGTTGAGCGCGGCGAGGTTCGCGAGGAGGTGCTCGGGCTTGCGCCCGCCGATGATCGGGAAGACGTGCGGCGCCTTCTGCATGATGTACGCGATCGCGACGGCCTGGATCGTCTTCGCGCCCACCTGGGGAGCGATCTCTTCGAGCGCCTTGCAGACGCGGCGCTCGTCCTCGGTGCGGAGCCAGGGGCCGAGGGCGGCGCGGCCTGCGCAGGGACGGTGTGAGCGTGAGGAACGGAGAGGGAAGAGCGGCGGGGCGCGTGCCTTTCTCGCCGGACTCTTCGCGCTGTTTCTCTTCGGCGTCGGTGCGGATCTTGCCGCCCTCGACGACGCGGAAGGGGGCGATGGCCAGTCCTGGAAGCAGAGCGAGACGGGTCTGTCGGCAGGCGGACGGGGTCTGAGCCGGTGGAGCGCTGACCTTCGGCCCTGCACATGGGCAGGATGTCGCGCTCGAGGTCGCGGTCCATGATGCTCCACGAGCCCTGGTAGATGCAGAACGGCGTCTTTCCCGCCATGCGCGCGTACTGGTTCGCCTTCGAGACGACCCAGGCGGGCGTGTCGGAGACGCCCTGGAGGAGAGTGTTGGCGCGCGACAGAACAGCGATGTAGTGCACGTACCAGGTACAGGACCTTCTCATTCTCGACGAGAGTGTGGAGGCCGTTCATAACTTCCTCGACCGAGCAGTCCCAGTCCCACTGGCACGAGTCGTCAGATAGTGTCGAGCTCAGGAGCAGCAATCGACCCACCCAGTGAACGTAAAGGATGTCGATGTAGCTCGTGCGGAGCTTCTTGAGCGAAGCGTTCACGGAGAGATGCATCGACTTCCTGTTGTTGCCGATGTAGTTGATCTTCTGCCCAACGTCGTCCCGACCCCTCTTGATGTTGGACGTGTACTGTGACGCGACATCGATTAGCATTGATGACGAACCGCGCGCGACCCGCAACGCACCTTGGTCGCGAGGACGATCTGGTCGCGCACGCCGCGCGCCTCCATCCACTCGCCGATCCACTCCTCCGAGCGCTCGTCCTGGTAGTTGTTCGCGGTGTCGATGAAGTTGCCCCCGGCGCCGTAGAAGGCGTCGAGGAGGGCGAAGCTCATGTCCTTGTCCATGTGGGTCCCGAAGAACTTCCCCCACCCGTCGCCGATGCTCATGCCGCCGAGGCAGATGGGCGATACGCGCACGCCGGCGAGGGGCGAGAGCTGACGGTAACGACCGAGTTTTGTCGCGGGTTCTGGGGCGGGGGGGTATATGCTGGCCATGGTGTGCAGGATGAGTGGGAGAGTCGGCTCGTGGACGGGTCGATGCTCTGAGTCTGCGGGGCAGAGGGGGCAGAGGGGGCGGCCTGAGCCTTTATATACTTCATTGGCTGCTGTCAAAGCTGCGTTTACCCTGCAATGTGTCGTTAGAGAGTATCAATGGCAGTCCGCCGAGGGCGAACGTACACCAAGGATTGATCCACCTTCAACGCCGATAATCCACCTTCAATGCCGATAATCCACTCAAACCCCGACATTTACCAAACATTTACGGTAGACGTCATATCCGACCGGTATACACAGACATTCCCGCTGATGTGCATCCACCGCCGCTGGTACGTGCACGCGTCCGTCAGACGCCCGCGCGAGATCCGCGCCCTCGCGCACTATACATCCTCGTCCCGCGCATCCTCGTCCCTCATCCCTACGGTACACCACACCGACCCTCGCGATCGCTCCGCTTCATAGTTAGCTACACACCCACACACGTTTCTTCTCCCTTTTCGCCCCTTCGTATCCCCCATTCCACGGCCTCCATGGTCAGCCACACTCGTTGCCCCGCTCCGCCACTTGTTGCTCTTATCTTCCGGACGCTCGCCATGACACTCAGACTTGTAGACAGGTTTCGGGTGCTCGTTTCGGTCGTAGTCACACTCTCGCGCGGGCCGCATTTGCATGTATTTAGACTCGACTCGCACTGGTTGCTATCCAGTTCATTTTCCCTCGCATCTACGTGCGTGTGCTGTGTGCTCACCCCTCGACTTCGTATCTATTCGACCTCGCCTCTACCGTATCGTCTTCGTCGCCTATCGCCCTTCGCCGTCGCCCATCGCCCGTCGCCCATCGCCCATCGTCTATCGCCGTCGTAGCGCCCGTGCGCGCCCTCTCGTCTCGCGTCTATCGTCTCTCTGCTCGTCTTCCTCTCCTCTCCTCCGCGTTCGCGCACTCCGTCCCCTTCCTCCTCCGCGACACCCTCGGACGTCCTGTCCCACGGTGTTCGTCCCCTCTACCGACTTCCCGCGCTTCACGCCTACGCGGACTCGACCTCAGCCCTCTCCCCTTGTTGACTCTTCCCGGAGTTAGCATCACATCACCGCCACCAGAAGCAAGTGGGTCCCCAAGCTGTGCCGCAGTTTCGGCGGCTGGCGAACGGCATCCTCCGGTGAGGATCTGAACCTGCTTGAACATGGAGTATCAAGTGGCGTTACTATCCCCGCCAAAGGAGTAATAACGTCCACCTCACCACAACTGTATCACGATTCAATGAGGAATAGACGTTGTGTGTGCGGATAATGCCACCAGTCAGGCGTGTGGAGGTATCAAATTGACGAGCACGTACCCTAGAGGCCGGCACGACGACAAAATTCTTCGTTGTGCGCTTACATAAGTTCCACCAACATGACCCTGAGGCCGAATCCAGACGCACGTCGGTCTTTCCCGAGCGGAGCGTAAATCCTGGACTGGTCACCGGCCCGGATGGTTTCCAGCGTCTATCGCTTTTGTCCAGAACGTCTATCGCCGCCTCGTGCTGGCAGCAGATTCGGTATGCCTTCGCGCTCGCTGCCTGCTCGCCCTCTCGCCGCTTCGTAGATGGGTAAGTATGGATCTGTAAACTGAGTCACGCAGAGTGCCTGCGGCTTTGCGGCGACCGCGCCCGAGAGGACGACTAGCGGAGATATACAGCTGGTGAGTGTCACTTCCTTCTCTTCGGTGCCCTTGAAACCAAGCTCGCCTGCAGCGTCTGCTCCTACTAGCGCTAATCCAGGTGAGCAGCGCCTCTCCCCCTTCGTTATATCGCTCTTACTAACATCGCGATTGGTTCCGTTCTTACAAACTATCTCGCCCAGAATATGCGGCACCGTGTGTTCATCTGTCGCACTGACATGGCGCGGGGTTCTGGGTCGGATTCCCCGTTATCATCGTCGTTGAGCAGTGACACAGACCTCTCACGTGTCCGCATTGAGAACATTCAGCAGCTACTCCGCTCAGCGCAGCCTTACAGCCGGGGTATCTGATACGCTCCGCATCTACACTCTAATATGTACTGAGCTCGTTCTACGACTCGGGTATCGTCACAGTCCTACGGCTTCTCCTCGCTATCACACAGCCCTACGGAACGACAAGGTCAGCGCGGCACCAGCCTGACAGTCGGCGGCATCGGTACGTACGCCCAGAACGCGCACATGGTCCACATGCACACGCACATCGGGTTGCAGAAGATCGGGCGGAGGCACCCCATCACAAGCTTGCAGTCGTGGCAGCAGCGCCCGCAGCGCCCGCAACGGCCCTTCTGAGGTTCGTCGTCTTCATCGTCATTGTCGTCCGGGAATTTGGGTCGAGTCCCGTCCTGCCAGTATTTCACCGCACGATCAGCGCCGGTGTCGTTCAGTGAGCGGGGAGAGCGAACGCACCTGCGGAGCAATCTTCATGGACTCGACGCCCCGGGGCTCGGTGCCGTTCGGTCCGCCGATCAGTGCCTCGGAGTCGGAGGCGTCGAGGACGGCAGGCTTGCTCGTTGTCGAATTCATGCTCGGAAGTCCCGGGAGGTGAAGCCGATGTTGATGGTTGAAGGTGGCAAGTGGAGGTGGGGCATTCGGGACGAAGATGTTCGCTCTGAGGTGCAGACTTTGCAGGCTGGGTGAACTCGAGTTCATATCTACTGACGGAAACCGGAAAGCATCGGCGCTTAGGCTGTGTGCCGGACGTCGGGCGACGTTGCGACGATCGGATGTGGAATTTGTAGACGATGATGCAGTGCTTGAAGTGCTTTGCACGGCGCGGGGCTCGTTTCTCCGCGGCCTTACGGACACGGAACATCGCGTAACGCCGTAAGCAGTTCAAACCCGCGCGAGACCGTCAGGAACCGACGATCCAAGCGGTGCACTAAAGAGTACGCACCGCTTTATGTAACAGCCGTTGTCATAACAATAATTAGGCCCTCTGGAAAAGTGTGCGGTAATGGGGATGGCGGCTTTCGCGTGCAACATTGTCCGGTCGAACATCTCAAGACGTGTTGCCGAGGCGAGCCCAAGTGAAACTCCAGGTTGAAGTCAGCTGTAAGAGGCTGTAAGTATGTCCGAACTGTGAGGGGCGCCCATCGTCATGACGCGACATAAAACGGCTCGCAAAAGGCAGAATTGCGAGTCGGTATCCGCTATACACGACCTGTGCCGCCAAGCACAAACCACTCCGGTGCTTCGCAAGCCGCTTCCGACGTGCACGGACTCCGAAGCACCTGGGATGCTGGCCAAGGTACAGTAAGTACTTGCTGTTGGGCTTGGGAGTCGGAGGATCTGGGAAACCCGCGCACGGCCCGTCGCCCGACGCTGACGGCGGTGGCAGTCCGCGGGCACCGTGCAACATGCGCGCCGCGGATGGTCTTGGCAAGATGAGGGCGCGCCTCAATGTCCGATTCATACATAATCTACCCGCCGGCGGCCTTTCTAGTATTTACCCCCGAGCGCTACAGTACATCGCCACCAACTTCGTTACCGCGCCGCCACTGCTTCACCCGCTCTCCGCCCCACTTGTCGTAAGTACTTCCCCCAGGTGACATCCACGTCCTTGAACTCGTCCGTGCGCGCCGAGTCCGCTGTGTGTCCCGCGCCACGCGTCTGGGAAATACAGGGATCACTACCTGGTAAACAGTGTCGCTCGAGAGGCCCGGGCAACTCCTGGCGACATTCGAATGGCCCAGGACAAGACGGCGCTACTGCCTGATGTGCATCCACCGGCGCTGGTAGGTGCGCGCGTCCGGTCAGATCGTGATCCCACCCCCACCGGCCCAGACGTTGGCGCGATCTCTCCGCGCCCTCGTCCCCGTCCCAGCCCCACCCTTGCCTCTAGTGACTAGGGCGCGCCTCCCCGCCGCGCTATGTCGACGAGGGTTCGTGTCAAGACGCGACACGCCGCGGGTTTCCGCACTTGCCTCCAGTTTTCGTCAGCACCCCGCGATCTCGTCCCAGTGGTCAACGAGCAGGTAGAGCAAGTTGCCAATGCCCATGCGTGTGAGGTATTTACCTCTGCTGCCTTCCGCATATGCGTTGCGATCGAATTCGACGACGAGATGACGGAGACTCGGAAGCGCCCCCTTCCTCGACCGCCGCCGGGGAGGTTCGTCATGGCAGGTACGGCTTGCCATAAGGAGCCCACTTTGACGGCGCTGAGACGGAGGGTGTCAAGAGAAGGATTTCCGTTGTGGAGGGTGGCGAACAAGATTCTGGGGAATTTACAGAAGGGACTGAGAGGACGTCGGTGAGCTGGAGGGATCGAGGATTTGGGAACCAGTGTACCGGCCGGCTTCCAACGCTCAACTCCTATCCCACCGGGGAGCCATGTGGCCGTCTTTGATGGACGAGAAGAGCGAGAGCGGGATGGGCGGCGAGGACTGCGTCGAGCCTGGCGACACATCGTGTGCTTGTCACCGAACGGGTTGTGTTGAGGGGGCACTGTGAAGCTGATGTGGCGAAAGAGACGGGATTGAGCTCTGTTCACCATTACCGGCAGACTAGGGGGCAGTTGTGGAACATTGGAGACAGCGTCGATGATGAGATTGCGGTGCCAGTTTGGACGACATTGTGGGGAAAAAGGACAGCCAGTGCGAGATGGACGGTCCGGGTATCGCGGGCCGTATTCTGCCGATCACATTGTATGTCGTGCTGCAAGCGCCAGCGACCTCCGCCCACGCGTGAGCTGCTTGCAGACTATTACCAGCTCGCCTTTGCTGGAGCGTGCTGCTCGTCCACCTCAAACTCATCCGGTATGTCGCCTCGCTTCGAGCAGCAATGTGCAGCGCCTGCTGACAGAACTCGCCCGTGTCTTCCATCGCCACAGGCAAGGGTCCCGTTGCTGGCCGCTCGCCCTCGTCCCAGCGTCCACTTCTCCACCTCCCCACTCACAGACCATCACCGCCCTACTTCCGATTGAGCACGAACTCATGTCCAAGCTTCTCCCCGGTGGCGGCGCCGACACCCCAGGGCAGCCACGCGACCTGTGCGTGCGCGTGGCCGAGGGTCCTCACCGCACTCGACGCGAACACGAGTGATGCAAGCGTCCAGTAGAGAGCGCGATGAAAGGCACCACGAACCAGCCGGGGCTTGGGGTGCTCGCGGCATGCGAAGACAACACCGCTCCGCTGTGGGAGGAGCATGTGTGCGACCAGTGCCGGGTTGTGAGTGTTTCATCCTGCCCTTGCGTATCCCCTCCTCCGCAGAGTAGGGTCGCTTGTGCTGCGCGACCGTGACGTGTTTGCAGTCGTCGCCGACGTGGACAATAGTTGCACGATGCACGATGCGTGATGCACGACGCTGCGTTCAAAGCTTCAGGCGGCTTGGCTTCGTCGTGGTTCTTCTCGTTGGTGCGAAGTTGATGCGCGTGTACAATTCATGAACCCTGATGTGGAAGGCGGGTGAGGGGGTGGTATACTGCTCGAATATATCCCGGTGGTGTCCACCGAATGAATAGGGATAGAACGCACGAGTGGACACACGCGCGAGTCGGGGTTGGTCGCGGTCGGTAGCAAACTCCTGACGGGCGGGAAACGTCGATGTAGGGCACCTCGCTCCTAAAGCCAGGTAAAAGCATACATTCGGCACTGTGTGTGCTACCGCTCATATCGGCACTTCGCGGAGTAGAATCCTGCACGCGTCAACGATCAGCCCCCGCGCACGCAGGCAGGTCAGACGCGACGAAACGCTCACCGTCGAGGCTCCTCGCAGGGTCAAAGTCCGCGCGTCCGATGAGCTCGCGCGCACGCTCCCCGGCCTCCCTCCAGATCTCCACCGGAGCGCGCGCCGCGCCGTCGCCCTCGACCCACCACCACCGCTTGTCGCGCGGGACCTCCTCCCGCAGCACCTGCAGCCTCCGCAGCGCGGGGCCGACGAACTCGCTCGTCGGCCCCCACCGCCGCTCGACGGCGTCCTCGCGCGCGAGCTCCGCCGTCACCTCCGGGGCGAGGGGGGTGCGCCGCGCGAGCGCGCGCGCAATGTCGGACCTGGGGAAACAGGAGGAGAGCGAGAGGACGCGGAGGGTCGGGACGGCCTCGACGAGCCGCAGAGGGAGCGGGCGGAGCGCTTCGGCGCGGCGGGCCTCGGTGGTGCGCCAGGCGTCCGCCTGGGCCATGCTCAGCGACGCCTGGAAGTATCGTGTGATCGGCGGAAAGTGGAGGGAGAGATGGACGAGCGCCAGGGATGCGGATCGCAGTGCGGCGAGGAGCGGCTCCTGGGTGTGGCGCGCGCGGTCAGCGGGCGGGGAAAAGAGCGGGGCGAAGACGCGACGGACCATGTACTCGTGCACGTCGCACTCGCGCGGCGCGATGCCAATCTCGAGCGAGCGCAGCCAGGGCGCGGCACCGCACAGCATGTCCCAGACACATTCCCGGTCCACCATCGCGGCTGCCGTGTGGAGCTCGAGGGAAGTGGGCCGGACGGCCGAAAGCAGCTGGAGGAAGTCATTGAAGAGCCCTGGGTCGGAGATCGGCGTACTGCTCGCCCCGAATGCCAACGAGCCGACCTGCCCGATGCGCCTGGCAGACAGGATGAGAGCGGGTGAGACGACGTTAAGCTGCTTGAGCCCGGTGGGCCATCGGTCTTCGTCCGCCATGGGGAGTACCACGGGCTCGTCTGTCTGCGAATAGAGTTGCAGAGACAAGCTAATGATGTTCGGACACAGGGTGATGATCCCCGGGACGATCTGAGAAAGACGGCTGAAAGAAAGGTGGCGAATGGAGGGAAGGATGGTTTGGGCTGCATTAGGCAGTCGGAGGGGATCCGTCAGCACGAGGTACGAGATGAGGGCGAGGGTGTGCAGGCTCTGCATGGAGGCGAGGCCGGAGACGAGGGCTGAGAGGTCGATGCCATCAGGCTCAACATACATCTCGTCGAATTCAAGTGTCAATGAGGTCAAGTACCGACTTGATAGCATCTTCGGCAGAGCTGCCACCGTCTCAGGACCGACATCTATCAGGCTCGCTTGCTCGAGGTTGTGCATGGCGCCGATAGCTTCTACGAGGAGTGCGTCTTCGTCTAAGAAGAACTCGAAGTTGTGAATAACAATAGTGCGAAGATTGGAGGCCTGGCTGAGAAGTTTGCGCAAAGGAGGAACATCGACATCGCAGAAATGGTGGAGGGTGAAATGGCGGAGGTGCTGGACGCGGGGGACCTGGGAAAACGGCTCTGGTGCGCACATATACCGCGACAGTGCGTGAGCTTCGGAGGCGTCCTCTTCGTCCACTTCGTCGTTTCTGTGCCAGTACACGTTGGTGAAGACGCGGGATATGGCAAGGGGGTAGGCGCGTCTGGAGGTGGAAGAGGTCGCGAGCGCATCGCTGCGGCCCAGGAGGGAGAATATCGTGAGAAGGATCTCGTTGGGGAGAGAGAGAAGGGAGGTGGAGTCCATTTTCGAGGCCTGTCCTCACCCGCACCGCTCGTACGGGATGGGCCGTCGGTACGGGGACCCGTGCTAGTTAGCTGTCTAGGTCTGGCCGGGGTGGGTTTGGGGTGGGTGGAGATGAGTGGGGGGAGGGATGCGCAGACGTCGAGGCCGGCATCGGCGTCTACGCGTCTTTCCTCTTGTCCTCATCTTCGCCTAATCTTCGCCATGCATCTGCCTTTCCGACCCTGTATACCTTGCGTCGTCTGAGCACTTCAGCCCTTGTAAACGATCAACGGCCCGGCTCTAGCATTCAATCTGCCCTGGACGGCTTCAAGCTCGAGTCGTTGATGGATATGCAGAGGCGTAACAACGCCGTCAGGCCTCCCAAGCCACGATGGGGCTCGTAGACGTGTACCTGCGGTGTTGAATGGTGGCTTTCTTTGGTGCGTGTCCTTGCGCTCGTGTATTGCGCCGTATTCCCATGTTTTTGTACCTTTCACTGGCGTCCTCCAGGAGTGGATGGCCCGGTTCGTTAGTATCTGTGTCCCCGAAGCAAGCCTTCACTCAGTCATTTCCTTCACTGCACCTCCCGCCCGAATTTCAGACCACACGAAACGCCGTTGGCAAGTTCCGCAATGTCGCGCTGTCGTCGTGAAAGCCAGTGTCCACCTCCTATAACACCAACGACGGTCCTATCGGGGGCTCGCTCTTCCCGAGCCGCCTGAGCACAGCTGGTCGGAACACCAGGCGCGGAAGCGGTGGGAGAAGGCTGCACACGTTCTGCGCCGCGACGCGAGAGCATAGGCAATCGCACCTTGACCTCGTACCACGACCATCTTTTCCGGCGTCTACCCCCTCCCTGCCGACGCTCCCCCCTTGTACGATGTCGCCCTCTAACAAGAAGGGCAAAAAGAAAGCAAAGTTCGCCGCCGCTATCGCGCGCGAGGACTCCCCACCACCACCGCCCGCCGCCTTCGATGACTACGGCGAACCCATCCCCACCCACGACCTCGGCGTAGACGAAGAACGCCGCCTCGCCGAGGAATACTACGCCGACCCCGCCGGGTATGATACAGCCCACGGCACCTCCGATCACCCCTCGTTGTTCGAACACATCGACGACCTCCCCCTCCTCCTTGACGACTTCCAAGACCAGTTCGACGAAGCTGTCCTCCTCAACCGCCACATCAAGGACCGCTTCGACACCGACGGTTCTCTCCCCACCTTCCAGCACGACGACGGCTTCCTGGAGCTCCCCGAGCTCCTCCGCCTGTCGAGCCAAATCGCCCAACACTGCTTCAAGGGCACCTCCACCCTCCAGGCATACGTCAATGCGGCGCGCGACTTCGACCTCCCCGCCCCCGCATTGACCTCCATCCTCTCCCTCAACGGGCCCTCCATACTCGCGGTCGGCTATGTCGCACAATTCATACAGGAGATACTACCCAGCCTGGTGGCCTCCCTCACTCCCCCACCCCCCGTCCCCGCACCCGCACCGCGGACCGACGCGGCCACCTCTCCCCCGCCGTCCCCGCCCTGCCCCCTCCCCCACGCCGATGTGCCGATGACCGACACTCCCGCTCCTGCCCGCGTCCCGCCGCCAACCCTCGACCCTACTGCGGCCCCTTCGCTCCCACACACGCCCCACGGCACCCCCCTGCACCGCGCAGCCAGCCCCTGAGCCCGCGCCCACGCTCCCTCCTTCCCGCCTTCCCCCGACCTCATGGCTACGCCCACGCCCACGCCCACACGGCCCCCCTCCCCCGTAATCGTCGGGCACACCGGCTTGGCGGCCCGTCCCCCAAGCCCCCCTCCCCCAACGTTGACGTCCCGGATCCCACATGGGTGAAGGTTGCACGCAGGCGGGGGAGGGCCGGGCAAAGCCCTCGCGTCTCCCCCAAGGGGGTGCGGCCGGCCGAGCCGAGCCCCCCACCAGCATCTGGCGACAAGCCGAGGCCTCCCTCCTCCCTCCACGCAACGCTCGCAGCCCTTCGACAGCGTCGCCCTGCGGGCTCCTCCCACGTCCTCTACTTCCGCGAGGTCACCCCCGACTCGGCGCACCGGCGCAGCTGGGCGGACGCCCGCCTCCTGGACCTCTTCCGCACGGAGTGCGACACCCCCATCGCCCGCATCTCCACCAACGCCGCGCGCACGCGCTGGTCCGTCCTACCGACCGCGCCCCCGCAAGGCACCCGCATTGACCTCGACGCTCAGGCGCAGGTCATCCACTCCCACATGGAGGCCGTCCTCGGGACGCCTCTCCGACTCTCCCGCTACCAGGACCGGGCCACGGTGCTCTTCTCACAAGTCGAGTGCCGCGACTCCACCCCGACAACGACTTCGAACCGGTCACCGCCCGGGAGGCCCTCGAAGCTGCTGTCGCCCGCTCCGGGAACCGTGTGTGGGCCTCCGCGCTCACCCACGTCTCTCCCGCTCCGAATGCGATCCGTTGGGGCCCCCATGACCCCGACGCCACCACCGCCACCCTCTTCGTCGACATCGTCGACGACGCCCACTTCCACACCCTCAAGGCCGTTCACGGAACGCGTCTCCTCTTCAACAACGGGCCCCGCGCGTGCACCCACGCTCGCCTCGCCCGCACCCGCCCCCAGTGCTCGAACTGCCAACAGTTCGGGCACGTGGCCCCTCGCTGCCGTGCACCCCCGAAGTGCGGTCTGTGCGCAGGCGCCCACGAAACCCGCCTGCACGCCATGCGTGTGCCGGGCCCCACGCAACACAACAGGAAGTGCGCGAACTGCTCCGGCAGGCACGCCGCCTTCGATGCCATGTGCCCTCGCCGGTCGCCCCACGACGCGAAGGGCGCAACCGCCCAACTGCAACCCAAGGGCCGTCGCCCTCGTCAAGAACGTCCTCTGGCAACTCGGGCGTAGGCCAGCGAAGAGTCTGGGTTCCAGACGCGTACGGCGATTTTCGATTGGATATGCTCGACTCCCGGTTCGGTTTCATGGGGCACCTGCGGCTCCTTTCCACACGTCAACTGGCTCATGCCGAGGACCCGCGCCCACGGGCGACAATTGAAAGCGGGACGGGCCTCAGCACCGCGTTAACGTTACGGTACATACGTACACCCTATGTGACTCGGTGGGATAGACAGAACCAATCTCATGAATCATTTCCAGAAGCATTCGATCATGGTGACTGCGTCCGCGGGATTACAAACATCGTCTGCGCTCATACAGCACGTGTGCTCAGGAAGTAGAGTCGGCGGGGTGAACGCATGACACGATGCGCCGCCGCCGCGAAGAACAGGCGCGAAGGGAAGGAAAGTAGGGCACGGGCGTGGATGCTGGAGTGCATTCCATGAGCAACCCTGCAAACAGGCCCATCGCGACCGGCGCTCAAGCGCTCACCGTCGAGGCTCCTCACTGGCGCACACCGGGCGAGATCTCAAGATCTCATGTCTCGATACTACCGAGAACGCAACGACATCACGTCTCCGTCCAAATCCGAGTGAACAAATGCTCCCTCACCTCATGCCCGCTTTGGCTACTCATCATCACTGGCATCGTGGACCCTGCCCATTTGACCCAAATCCGCGCCAATGGAGCCGAGAGCAGAGACCGCGCCGGCGGGACGAGACCCGCCGAATCCAAACTCGCAGTCTGACAAGGTCGAGCGGAGAGGATCGCCGGGCGCGAGCTTCATCGTCTGTTGATGCGCCTCCTGCAAATCCAACAGGAAGCGGGAGACGAGGATCCCGGTGAGTCTGTTCGACATGTGGTTCGTCAGCAGCGCGTCGCTAGCAATTGAGCGGCCCACCGCGGATAGAAGTACTGACGGATCTGTGAAAACCGTGAAGAACGATCCTTGCGAGAAGGTGAGTTGCTGCGGGCCAGTCAAACATGAGCGCGCGGATTAGGATGCTCGGAGTTCATCACGTACGGCGGCCAAAGTGAACGACATGTGTAGAATGTTCAGGATGAGAAGTGCGCTGTGAAATATATATGTCAGGTTTGGCATTCGTGGACCAGATGGTTCAGTGCGCACACGAAGTACAAGGTTCCTGTTCACAGAGGATCATGAGTAAGGACGGTGCATTCTTCCGCAAATGACTTACCGTTCCAAACCAGAATGTCGGCGAACATGCGTGGCTGACCCTCCGATCTGCTGAAACCCCAGGCCCATTCACGCGGAAAGACAGCGTCTTCCACGTAAGAACCACCAGGATGCAGTCCGCGGCGATCAAAATGAACGAGATAACACACCCCTTCGCGAGAGAGCGTGAGCGATTGCATCGAATTTTCCATACGCCGCCGACATACCACTGAGACTCGTCCATCAGCGTCCTCGCGTTGTTTTATAAAAGAGCCGCGTACCTGATCAGAAATGACTCTGGAAACGTCCCAGTGTCCGTCAGGCAACCCCACTGTGGGTCGCTGACCCCGAAATACGGCTGCGAAAACGTGGCCTGTGCGCATCAGTCAGGAATCGCGCATGAAGAGACACGGTCGAAGAGACGTACGAAGTTGAACGCGACTCCCACGATGGAGAGTACAAACACTAGCACGGCAAGAACACGGCTACCGCTCAAGGCCAAGGTGCGCATTGCGGAGAACACTGTCCCGCATGTGAGAACAAGTACTGAAACGCAGTCGGTACGCACAAGCGGTGGGGATCCCGTGCACGCATAGCACCGCCATGGTTAAGCGCATGAGCTGTGTGCAACTGGGACTCGATTAGTGTGCCTGGTATCTCTTCACGTAGGAGAGGATCTCACGTCTGTGGTGGACGATGTCAGCCGCCCATCGGAAGACGGTAAAGCCGGGAGTGGTACGCACCTCGTCCGTGAAGGCATGATATCCAATGAAAGTGAGGAGTGGCCAGAGCAAGAACGAGTATCGGTTCAAGAGGAAGAGAGCGGTCGCGCTCGAAAACGGACGCATCCAAAAGAAGTCGATCTCTCGACCAAGGTGAGCATAGTCGAACGCAAGCACAACTAGCAACCGTGAGCCGACCGGGCCCACAAGAGCCGGGGAACGACGGACCAGCTGCAGCGAAAGTAAGATAGCTTTCGGTATACCTGCGTGAAAGCAATCAGCACCACAAAGCTGAACGCGATGGAGAACAGACTCACAGATCCTGCTCTTGCTGGATCAACGCCGCGGCAATGTCGGTGATATTCTGTGAAGACATATCACTCTCTCTTGAACGATGTCAGTGCTCCCACGTGAAAGGGGTGAGAGACGAAGCGCAAATACGGGAATCGCAACTCGCCTACTATATACGCTTCCCGATGTGATACCGCCTCGGAGGGTTTGATTTGAATGCCTTCTACGAGCTGTACCCAACGATAGATGGTTGTCATCTATACCGCGGTGCACTCCAGCGCAAGTTCGCGGAAAGGTACTCACGATCACCAAGGGATCAGATGACGCGTACAGCACACACGCTATGTGGGAAATAGACGTTAGGGTTGTCAACCGATCGTCAACAACACCTCCGAGGAAGCATTGCCCTGGACGCATAGATCGCAGGGCGCTGCCACCTGTGAACGTGCGCCCGTGCGAGACCAATGGTTGTTTTTGGATGACGGGAAGGGGGCGGTGAAGGACCGGAGGGGACCACAAAGACGTGAGAGGATCGACAGATTGTCGGCGGGGGACGAGACGCCGCTAATTACAAGATTTGACAAACAGCGCGAGAGGTGGGAAACGCACCAAGCCTTTATTCCTATAATCGGAGCCGCCCACACGTTCGTCGCGGTGAACCACAAGAACGAGAAATGGTACTGACCATGACCAGCGGGGGCACCGGGTGGTAGAAACCGACGAACATAACGCTCCGTGCCGCGAAGACGCCTGCCGCTGAGGCAATGTTGTTCCTGATGTCATCGCCCGTGCGCAGACGACGTGCGGAAACACGCACCTATCAAGGCAAGAACCCAGAACGCACTGCCCGACATACAGAGAGCTGCCGGAGCTTTCCTGGGCCGGACGAGGATCGCACTGGAGCCGCACAGGATTGCCGCAACGACTGCGGAAATCGTTCTTCGCGTAAAACGCCGAGTGCCGGGGCGTCTCTTCGTGCATTGCCGGGACCGATGGTCGTAGAGGAACATGTCGTGCTTCTCAACGTCCTGGCTACGCTTGTGAGAGGTCGAGACAGACGACGATCGGTGTCTTGCAGCGCGAACTAGGAGCTTATGAAAACGGCAGTGTATCCATGTTCGTCCAGAATACATGAGATGAATGGTACATTCCTCACCGACGACCTCGCATGCGTGCCCTTACATCGCCACCGACGAGTTCCAGTTCCCGCCCCACCACCGCTTCACCCGCTCCCCGCCCCACTCGTCGTACTCCGCGCGCGTCACGCCCACACCCTTGAACTCCTCCGTCCGCGCGAAGTCCGCCATCCCGCGCCACGCGTCCAGCACCGGGTCCGCCGCCTGCACGATCTCCAGCGGCATCTCCGGCGGCAGGATCGGGCGCAGCGTCGCCCGCAGGCGGTCCGAGAGCCCGGGCAGCTGCGACGGGCCCCCGGTGAGGAAGACGTTGCGGACGAGGCGGCCCTTGTCTTGCTCGGGGAAGCGCGCGAGGACGTTCTGCAGAACCTCCCCGAGCCCGGCGGAGTCGACGCCGGCCATGGAGGGAGAGAACCAGGCCTCGGGGACGCGCCAGCGCTCGACGGACAGGTGGATGCGCGACTTGCCCTGGACGTCGCCGTCGTCGTAGCGCGGTCTGAAGGCCTCCATGAGGGCGGATTGTTGGGATGTGAGGGCGGCGTGCGTGTGGTCCTCGGTGAATGTGGGGTCGTGCTGGAGGAGCTTCTGCTCGACGGCGGCGAGGTTCGCGAGGTCGTCTTCTTCGTCCGAGGAGGCGCGGCGTTGTTGATCTTGCGATATATCGCCCAGTCGGCATCGTCGGCGCCAAACGTGTCCTCTGAGGCAAGCAAGGTTGAGGGGGTGTATGCGCTCCGGAAGAAGAAAGAACTCACCGCCCGCTGCCTTCCTCCTCTTCTTCGGCATCCGGTCGTCCGCCGCAAATTCGCGATGTTCTTCATCCTCGCCTGCGCAGCCGCGCTCTTCCGGTCCAACAATGCGGCTTTCCGCCGGTTGCGATCCTTGATGCGCGTCATGAGCGACTCCTGCTCTCGCCGAAGCTTCGCAGACCACCCGCTCAGGTCGCGGTCGCGCTCTTCCCCCTCGCGCTTCTCCGCGGCGGCGATCTCCTCGCGCTCGCGCTCCTTCTCGCGCTTGGCCCGCTCCCGCGCTTCGTGGCCCGCCTTCATGAGCTTCTGTTTCTTCTTCTCCTTCAGACTATCCTCGTCGAGCTCATCGTCGGGAACATCGACCAGAGGGAACGATGGAGGCTCGTCCTGGAGAGCCCGTCAACGAAGGACCGAGCACATACACGCACGTACTCACCTCCGGCTCCTCTCCGTCCGCATCCTTCCTCCGCGCCTTCTTGAGGTCGGCCTCCAGCTTCTTGATCGTGCCGTCGAGCGCGGCGTCGTTGGAGAAGCCCTCCTCTTTCAATGTCTCCGCCCACTCTCGCTTCGTCTCCTCGTCCTTTCGCTCCCGCACGCTGACGAGGTGCGCTAGGTCTGCTCTTTTTGGAGAAGCTACGGCAGACCAAAGTCAGCACCAGCCGCACAGTCACGCACAGAGGGACGCCAAAAGGGATCGAGGCTTGCGAGAACCCCGAGGAGTGGACCCAACGCCGTCGCTGCCGAGATGAGATGCCAACGTACCTTCTCCATGCGCGACTTCGCCGCCAGCTCCTGCAGCTTCCGCCCCTGCTCCCTCCTCCGCTCTGCGATCCTCGCCAACTCCTCCTCCGTCTTCTCCTCCGTCACCGGAGCGTGAACGGGAACTGGATGATGCGTTCGCACGCGCGGATGTTCAGTGGGTCTTTGAGCTTGCGCAGCAACGCGTTGTAGTCCGGCGAGAACCCGCAGAAGGTCTGCAGTATCCACTGTTGTCGTCCACAAAGTCAGTGGCTCCATGTGGTAGACGGTCTAAGGAGAGAGAGGGTACCGTACGTTGCAGTTGGTGTTGGCGATTTTGTTGGGGAACGTGGGGTACTTGAGCTGGATGAGCTTGAGCATGTACTCGGTCGCTGGGACGCTCCCCAGTTGATTCGCTTCGCGTGGCTCATGAGCCCTTTGCCGTGGAGGATGGGGATGACGGATGTTGAGGCGGTGTTGAAGGAGACGACAAGGCCGTCGCCGTGGAAGGGTACGGGGGGAGAGGGGATGTTGTTGTGGTAGAAGGACATCACGGAGTCGACGCAGAACGCAACGAGGGGACGGAGTATGCTCGAACATGAGCTCGGAGGTCACTGGAAGGGAGTATGAGCGTGAAGCAAAATATGCGGGACCGATAGCGCGACGTACGGGCTCGTGAATGCAGCGGCGAGGACAGTCGCTCGGTCATGAGAATTGGATGGTCCACCATCGGGGTGTCGATACCCAGGTGGATAAACGCATAGTCAAGCGCGTTTTCCTAGCATACACGTAGCATAAGGGCGCATATAGCCAGATAAACAGCTCGATCACTACCAACGCGTCGAAGTTGAGCAAAACGTCCCCTTCCCAAGCCGACTTCGCCTGCGACCGCGCTCCTCCTTCGATATCAATCCCTCGCCGAAGAGCAGCAACGGCTTGTTTGTCCGCGCTCCTTGTATTTCGCTATCGTGTTGATACCAGACCGCGGTGTGTTGGAGGTGCAGAACCCGAAGCGCAGGTTGCTGGACCCATTGTCAATGCACAGTGGTGTGTGCTTGCCGCGGTGGTCATCGTAGGACGCCGGGACGTGGACAATGGGTAGAGGTTGTAGGGGCAGGAGAGAGATATGAGCCTCGTCCACCTCCATGGCGGACATGATGAGGGCAGGGGCGAGGTGGGAGAGTGAAGGCATCATCCAAGCAAGTGTGCGCGAAGTAGACCGCGCGCTCGTCCGGGCCTTCTGGTCGATTGCCATATTTGGGAGCGACGTCGAGACACGACACAAGTACGCATGGCATAGAACAGGGTAAAAATACTTTGCAAACCGCACAACACTTATAATTTCATGATAAATAAGTAGATTGCTAAAGAAAACATCAGCTACGCTCTTCTCCGGTTCAGGAGGTCGAAGGCGGGGCCGAAGATATGGTACGCGGTATGTACGTCTAGTGTACATTGTGCACATACGATGGAGCGCAGTAAGACGCATATGGAGTACGAAGGTGACAGCGCCAGATACATTTCATAGGCTTACGAGCAACAGCCTGGTGTAGGCTGGCTCGAGGGCTGGTTGACCTTGACGGAGCCCTCGGCACCTTGTGAACCAGGCCCAGCGCCCACAGCATCTGACTGTGAGTCGATGAGACGGGTCTTGATGTCCCTGAGTAGAGGATGGAGGGTCAGCATCGTTGACGGAGCGGAGGGATATAGAGGGGTATTGAATTGTAGACGCTTGGACGCATGTGGGTGACAGGGGGAGGGACGTGGTGGAAGAGGGAAACAACATGACGAAGCTCCTGCGAGAACTCAACAGCCTCCTTATGCAGCGGTGACCAGAGACATAGGCCATAGATACGTCGACCCTCCCACCACAATCCAATGCGCAATGAAAAACGGCGAAACTCACCTCGCGAGCGTGAAGAATGCCTCCTCGACGCCATCGTTGATCTTCGCCGAGGTCTCCATGAACTTGATGCCGAGCTCGTTGGCGAGCTCACGACCCTGCTCCTCAGTAACGGCGCGTTTCTCGGACCAGTCGGACTTGTTACCAATGAGAACCTTGTTGACGCCTTCTGACGCGTGCTGGTCGATGTTGGCGTGCCATGTGCGGATATCTGAGGGCAAACAACAGCAGTCGACAGACATAGTATTATGCATCATGAAGAGAAGAAAACAGATGACTGATGAGCGACAGATTTTGTGCGAGGGTGAATGAACGTACTGTTGAATGAGCGTTCGTCCGTGACATCGTACACGAGGAGGATGCCCATCGCTCCGCGATAATAAGCTGTGGTGATCGTCCTGAAACGCTCCTGGCCGGCGGTATCCCACTGGGAACATGTGCGTAAGGTTAAGTGGAAGAAGAACAGACGACGTGGGGGCGCACAATCTGGAGCTTGATGCGCTTGCCGTCAAGCTCAATGGTGCGGATCTTGAAGTCAATGCCGATGGTGGTGATGAAGGAGGGCGTCCATGCGTCGTCGCAGAATCGCAGAAGCAGACAAGACTTGCCGACGCCTAGAAACCATGTCTCTTCAGCACCTCCTATAGCCTCTACGCCGTGCTTGCGTACCTGAATCACCGATGAGAAGCAGCTGAGAAGGCGGCACGGATTAGCGGGCTGTGTAGGTCCCAACGAAGCGGAATAGAAGACTGACCTTGATCAGAAAGTCATAGTGAGGAGGAGGCATGGTCTACAGGTCCGGTGAAAGTGTGAAGCAAGTAATGGACCCTTTCCGGCCTTCGGGACAGAGGACGACGGGGGAGGGACGAGGAGGTGGCGAGAGGAGCTGCGCAGCGCGCTACAAGCGACGCCCCAGCATATGGCCCTTGCCACGTGCAAGTTGCAACTGCCTTTTCGAGAGAACCAGGCACCTAATATTTGATTAATGTGAACTTGAACTTGGACCTGGACCTCCACGGCACAATAACAAAACTTTGGGGCCACTGGCCACCCCCTGTGCCCACAAAGCAACCACGTATTATTTAGCTGCTTGTGTCTCTTATCCTTGCAAGTCTGTGTCCGTCGCTAGGACCAAACAAGGATCAGCGTGCGGCGAACAAGGCGTCTCTCCGGCGCTTCCATGACTGATAAGTGCGAGCTTACCGGGGAGAAACCGTGCGCAAACGCCGGCCGTTGACGCAAACGAGCTCACTGCCACAAACTGCCTCTCTCCCCTCGACCATGACGATGGGCTCGTCCTCGACCGTCCTCCCCGCGACGACCGACCACAGCTTCTTCTCCAAGCACCTCTCCTCGACCTCGGCCTCGCACCCCATCGTCGCGACTCGTGTAGTGACCACCCGCGTCGTCACCGTCCCAGCCCAGCCCCCCAGCGCTCCGCCCCCACCTCCTACCCGCGCGCCCTCGACGCCCCCGACACGCGACCTCGACGCGTTTTCCAAGCGCAAATGCGTGGACATCCTCCCCAGAAAGAGCCCGAAGAAACGACGCGTCTCGCCGTCGCCTGAGCCGAATCCTGCGCCCAAAGCGACACCTGCACCCCCACTGCGTCAGCGTCCGCGGCCACGATCCAGTGCGCTCTCCACCTCCAGTCGAGACACGTCCCTCGCGCCGTCGCTCCCTGGACCATCTCGCGGCTCGACTCCCAGCACGCGGGCGACGTCGGTGGTCAGCGCTGCCACGCCGCAGCCACCACCACCACCACCGCGGGAGTGCTGGACCGATGAAGACGGAGAGCCAAGCGAGGGCTTTTTCAGCTCGGAAAAGGCAGTGGTCCGGTTGATGAAGAGGCGATATATGACCTGTAAGTGCTTCTCTTTGTTCTTCGTGGCGTTTTAGCAGCCAATCAGTTCGTCGAATGGCGGTTGTCCTCATGCTGCGGCAGTACGTTACTGGTTGAGTTCGAGTATCTGAGGTACATCTGTACGCGTCCCGTGAATCATCTGAGTCCGCGTTCACGACCAACATGGCACGCTAGCGCCCCGGCTGGTCCTTTCGTCTACGCTCACTTGATCCTCTCTCATGCGTGTATTCCGAACCTGCATCGTTCTGTTCATGCATATATCTGGCTGACCTTCTCGTTCAGACTTCATAAACCCCAACGACCCACACGACAAGTCATTTGAGCCACATGAAACCAACTACCCAGTCGCTACTCTGGAATATCCCAATAAGAACGCTTGTGAGAGGTATGCCGCAACTTGTGCCCGACTATATGGCATACTGAGAGGACACCAGGTATATCCTACTTGCTCCTCGAGACAAGGACCATTATAATCCCATAATGTGTTTGGAGTCTAGCCTCTACACCATGATTCAGCGTACGTCCGCTTGCTTTGTCTCGTGGCGTCGAGTACTGACCTGTATGCCAGACTACCTAACCCCAGAGCAGGCTGAGCTCCTCGGGTCCATTCCTAAGGAGGAGATTCGCGGTGACGATGCTGACGATTCGGACTCGGACGATGAGTTCTCGCGTGAGCCTCTCTGCCCCTTATCCGACGCAACCCCACCTCCGTTGTCCCGACCATCTACCCCGGGTTCGATCAAGAGCTGTTCCTCCGGCTCATCGGTCCACTCCACCGAATCTTCTCTCTCTGGAGCGTCGTCCCTCTCCTCCGTCTGCGCTCTGTCTTGCTACGCCAAGCGCGACTCTCCCACGGACGAGCCGAGAACGGACCACCTCCGCCTCCTCCGACGCGCCATCAAGGAACGCGACGGTCCCCTCTTTCTCAAAGTCGTCGACGCGATCAACGCCCTCCTCCGGCTCTTCAAGCACCCTCCAGCTCCGGTCGATCCGTTTGACGAGCCGCGCGAGCCAATGCACGCCGTCGTCCGCTCCTGGCCGCACATTCCGGACGGCGTCGTCAAGCGCATGGTCGAGGAGGTCTACCAGCGCGCGGTCGGCCCTCGCATCAAGGAGCTCAAGCGCTACGAAGCCTTCTCCTCCGAGGTGTACGGCGAGCTCATGCCGCCCTTCGTCGACGACATCGTCCGCGCGACCGGCCTCACCGCCAACTCGCTCTTCCTCGACCTCGGCTCGGGCGTCGGCAACGTCGCGCTGCAGGCGTCGCTGGCGACAGGCTGCACGAGCTACGGGATCGAGATCCTGCCGGGGCCAGCCGGTCTCGCAAGTGCGCAACTCGCCCAGTACGCGCACCGCTGTCGGATGTGGGGCGTGCGCATGGGCAAGGTCGAGCTCGAGCAGGGGAACATGCTCCAAAGCCCGCACGTCGACGCGCTCGTCAAGGAGGCCGACGTCGTGCTGGTCAACAACAAGGTTTTCGACGAGCCGCGTGCGTCTCCTTCATTTCCGAGTGCCTTCGTGGTCCGTGATGCGCGGGGCGCTGACATGCGGTTCTTCGCAGTGAACGAGGCGCTCAGGCAGAAGTTCCTCGACCTCAAGGAGGGCGCGATCGTGGTCTCGCTCAAGTGCCTGATGGGCTCGGTGCGCTCGAGCGCACGCACGACGGGCGAGCGGAGCTCGTCTCCCGCCCTCAAGGAGCGCAACGTACGCCGTCTCGCTTTCCGGATCTTAGCACCACTGCTGACGCGTCGCACAGCTCGACGACATCGGGGAGATCTTCACGGTCAGCGTGCGGCGGTACCACCCCGGCTACGTCTCCTGGGGCGGTGGCGGCGGCGAGTACTTCCTCCAGCGGATGAACCGGGAGGACTACGCGCGGCGCAAGACGCAGTTCGAGAAGACGCGGACGCGGACGAGCGCGCGGGCGCGGCGGTGGACCGGCCAGGACCTATATTAGATTCGCAGCGCCCCATCCAGCAACGTACGCGCCTCGCTTTCGGAGGCCGTCGAACGCGCGAAGTGGGCCCCCTCATCGCCGGCGTCGGGTTCACGATCTGTCTATGCTCTGGCCTGGGTCGGGCACCTCGCTTCTCGACGCAGGATCCGAGTCGCAGCGAAGCCGCGCCCTGCTCCAAAGTTGCGCGCCATGATTAATACCGGTCTTCCTCTAGACTAGAACGGGCGTAGCGGGTGCGATTTGGGCGGGCCTCACGCTGCATCCTCATCTTCAACCACACCTATACTTCCTTTTTATTTCCTTCCCTTAGATCGCTCTTCAGACAGCTGAACTTGACGTCGCCACCCGCCATATGTGAGACGTTCTCTGACAGTTGCCTCCCTACACTTTACCCTACCTTCACCTAGTGTCCCAAAGACGCTGCCGTTACTCCACTATGTACAACGCATCTCGACCGCCTTCTTAATTTCTTCGGTAGCCTCTCGTCACTCTGCCATCGGCCTCGTCTCAACGCACACGCCGTACATACTACACTTTATCTCGCCCTGCTGTGATACCCGCTCGTCCGCTTTCCTCTGCTTTCGCTGCCTCTTTTGTCGGTCGTTCCCGCGCGTAATGCGTGCGCGACTGTGATAGTACGCAGCTATTAATCGGATTCCTGTTTTCTGCTTTCCTTTTGCGTTTGTCCGCCTTTCGCTCCTCAAGTCATGCTCGAGCCTCCGCGCCCGGATCTGTTACTGTGAGAGGCAACTCCACTCACTCATCCCGCTGACTGATGCCCTTTTTGAGTGCCAGGGTGGCCGATGGTACTCGGGCGTGCTCTGCGGCGATGGACGTGCCGCGCCCGTTCCCGTCTCAGTCTGCGCTCGTGCGGGAGGTGGCGCGGTGCACGCCATCTGAACACCTGAAGCTTTATCTTGTGCTTCCTAGCTGTCCCCATTCACGACGGAGGCAGTTGGTCCGTCGTTGGTGGGCTCCACCACCCCAAACTCAGACGAACGCCGACTGCACCTGCGTCGGAAGCCAACTATTCCCGGGTTCGCTTCGTTCACGCAAGTCCTTCTCTCGGATTCCGTCATCTCACGATCTTTTGCGTCTTTCGGTGTCTAGATCCCGCGCTTCCTCGGGTCTGGGCGTTCCGGTCAGAAGCTAGAACCAGCCCACTCCCTTGTCTCGTAGTCTGTGGAATACGATACTATGGCGCGCGGATCCCTCCGCCGCACACGCATGTGCGTCCGGTCGCCGGGCTCTCCCAGCAAAGCAAGGTGCGCAGGAGGTCTTCTAGTCTCGCACTGTCACTCACCGACGACCTTCCAACCGCAGCCTCGAGTCCCAGGAAGGTGTGACGTTTCTGGAAGGGTGCGCAGTCGCAGGCACCCATACTTTTTCTTTCTTTTTTGGAAACGTTGTCTCACAGATCAGAGGCATCGGTCCCTTTTGGCACCCATACTTCCACCGACCACAAACATGTGCTCGTACAGTGCGAGCCTTCTCGCCCGTGACTGTCTGGCGGCTCCCTAACATCGGCGGTCCAGCGTCGCCGTTCTTGTCTCCCTCGGATCACGCTTCCAAGATCTCAAACGTTCTCCCCGTCGAGTTTGATCCACGGGTGAGAACGAAGTGCCGGGCATGCCTGGTGACCGGGGCTTCTCCGCACACAGGTGCGTCTTCAGAAGCCAAACAGACATACCTCACGTCACCGACGAACTTCTAGCATCAGACGTTCTCCCCAACGCCATGCAATGGCCACAGCCTCGATACTGTAGCGTGCCGTCAGTTTTCGAGGGCCTACCCCGCATTTACGGCGATGCTGCGGCCGGCCGTACTACCCCTGTGGACGGTGGTGCAATGTGGAGAACCAGCCCGCTGCCAGGGATATACTCATACGCACGCCGCGGGTTCCACATGCATATATATGACTTGTCTGCACGTATGCTCCACCCGCCCGCCGCGCTATTCCTGTCGTTGCTGATTTGAAGAGTTCATCAAGCACGACGTCGTCCGTCCCGACAACGGATGGGCCGCATCTGGGGTACCGCCAGGCGCGCGATCGATGCACTGGCTCGATCGATGGACGCTCCCGTGCGCTGCAGGCTGAGAGCCGTGCCTCGCCGGCTCCGCACGCACCACGCAAACCGGTGCAGGAGCACGTCGGGGTGGCATCTCGCCGGGCTTCGCGATGGTCGGGAGGGCAGACGATGAGGAGGGTGCGCACACCGCCTCGGTCTGCAGCTGCGCACGTGCCCGCCAGAGATTATCTTGTGCATCTGGTGGCTAATTATACCCGACCCCTCTAGCGCCGGCCGCGATGACGTCTGTCTGGACCGTCCTCCGTCCTCACCGCTCGTCCTGAACACCCCGGAGCGGGTGCCCACGAGCAGGGCCGGGCTGCAGCGACGGCGACGCTCGCTGCCGCCGCCGCCGCCGCCGGCCACAGGATGCAGCGCGCGTGACAATGGGGCTCGCGGGACCGCAGCGGTGGGCACGAGGGGAGCAATCGCCGCCGTGATACCCAGCTCCAGGTCGCGCTATTCTTAGCGTGCCCACTAGGCACGACGGACCCGTCCCGATCCCCTCGCGCTTCTGGTTTGTGCGCCGTGGGGAGTGCGGGGTGCGGACTCGGGGCTGGGTATATAAACCGCGCCAGGGCCCCTCGATCCCGCAGTCTCGCACTCACCCACCACTGCACACCCCCACGCTCACCCCCACACTCTTCATACACCATGGGATGGTTCTCCGAGGACTCTGACCAGGCCCAGGCCTACGACCAGGTGCGCTCCGCGCGCCGTCGCGGACGGGACCGCCGCTGACGAGCCCGCTCGCGCCGCCCCCAGGTCGTGAACGCGCCCCACAAGGCCGAGCTCTCGCACGAGCTCCTCGCCGCCGCCGCGTCCTACGAGGTGCGCCCGTCCCCTTCGTCCGTGCCGTCGCGCGCGTGCTCACCCCCGCGTCCGCGCGCACAGGCCGCGAAGGCGTACGAGAAGCACGTCGCCGCCAACGGCGCGCCCGACAGCCACGCGAAGGCGAAGGAGATCCTCGCCGGCTTCGCGGGCGCGTTCGTCGACCGCATGGTCGAGACCAAGGGCGTACGTCCCCCCTCTCCCGCTGTTTCCCATGAAGGCGGGGCTGATCGCACGCGCGCTCGCAGCTCGACGCGATCGACAACTACAAGGCGAAGAAGGCGGCGGAGAGCCAGGTGACGGAGGTCATCACCGAGGAGACGTACACCAACTACTGAGCGCGGACGTCGTCTGCGATGTACGAGAGCGGCGTTTCTGGACGGAATGTATAACATCTTGGAATCGCGCGACTGGGCTGTGTGTGCTGCGAGCGTCCAGGCAGGGGATGCGGGGGCCTCTGTTTGTGTCGTTCTTTTAGCGTGAGTGCGTGCAGCTACTGGTGCTAGCCGTCTGGATCCGCTCGTTCCGCCGTGCTCTTCGGTGGGCAAGAGTCGGAAGACACTCGAAGAACAGGTGCGCGCGGCGACACGTATGGCGACGGTGGCAGGATGAAGGAACTTCGAAGGGAGGAGCACGTTGAGGAGGACCTAGGGGACGTGATCGCGCGCAACCACGAAACGTTCGCTGTTGAGTGACGGCGTCAGGTGGAGGTCGTCGAGGTGGATGGGCGCGGAGGATACGGGAATGAAGGTGGAGTGGGACGTGGCAGGGACGGGGATGGCTAGTACGTTCGTCACTGGAGCGGACGCGAGCCTGGGACAGTTCTTCGTGTGAGTTCTCACCGACAGCGTACTCGGTGGTGTCCCGGCACCGATTCTGTTCCCGGGTAGTAGGACATATGAGGTGCTCAGAGCGTCCGTCGCAGTTCGTGCTAAACCGTTGCAGTTGCCGAGAGACCGCGGAGTGCGCGCGCCAGCACGGATCCAGACATGGCGCTTATGTAAGGCGATTAGCGCCAATCGGAACGCGCCGTGAAGTTCAAATCATGGCCTGTTATGTACTGTGCTCATGCTTCCTGCTCTATACTTGGCGGCGCCCTCGATCTTCCAAGCCCCCGCTACCTCCGGGACCTCAAGCTCAAGCTTCGTAGCCGCATCCACCGCATCCGGATGCGCCGACTCGATCGGTCGCGCGAACGTGAGACTCGTCGGCAACTGCCATGGTCTTGTCAGTTCTGTCAGATATTCGTGGAGTGCATCGCTGACTTCGGTCCGAGCTGTCTGTACAGGAGATGTTGCGAATCTGTTGAGCATTGCTTTCATCGCCGCACGGCATGGCTGTCTGGTCGACGGGAATCGCCTGCATATGTTCCAGAATAGCCATGATCATCTCGCGTTGCGTACGTTTCCATCGTCGCGGATAGTTAACGCGATCGCTTCTTTCACTGCTTTCGCGTGGTCTACCAGCTTCTCCCAGCAGTCGTACATCGCGCGCACTGCTGCTCTGAGCATGATATGCGGTGAGTACGCGTGCACTGGTGCTGAGTGTTCACTGCGCCTTCAGGAGTCAACTTGCAACAAGAAGCAATGTCAGCGACTCAGAAGCACGCTCCTTTCTTGTTAAAACCCGACACTTTGGTTACTAATGCTTGTACCGCTCTACATGCGTCCGTGTCCAGTACTGTCTTATGGATGCAATTTTTGCAGTACAGCTGTATTGAAGCGCAGTCTGATCGTAGTTTGATCATGAGTGCTTCGAAGAGATCCCAGTCGATGTGTATTCTCAGGTCACAGTCCGCAGTTGCGTCGGAGGTATAGCACAGACGTGTGCGGTGTTAAGTATGACACGTCTTCTGCACCGCAACTCCGGATATATGGCTGCTGAGATGGTCTCGGACGAAACCAATGACAACGTCTTCGCTGGGGGATGATAATATCATCACGAGGGTGAGTTTATCACCTTCGTCAGCTCTTTAAAAGACTTCTTACTACAGGTCCAAACTACATCTGGTACACCATTCGCAACCCGTCCTCCCCCACGAAATGACAGCCGACGATCTCGGCGACACAGCTGCTGAAGTTATCCAGGAAATACAGGAGCTGTGCGTTCTATTCTATAGAACGAAAGCATCTCCTCACTGTGGGCTCTGGCCGCTCCGCACAGATACAGCGGCGACTACGTGGGTTTGGCTACAGCAAGTGAGTTCTATACCCACGCACGTAGTACGCTGGGTGTCTGAATACTTCCAAGCCATCCTTATCTTCGACTATATCCTTACCTCGGGCCGTGAGATCGAGTTGTTCTGGAAACGGCGCGTGTCTGGTGCCACTATCCTGTTCATCTGCAATCGCTATCTTTCTCTTGTCTCCCAGATCTTGACACTAATTTCGTATCGCGCGTTCACCGATAAGGTATTATCACTGTTGTGTTCGTTGGAATCAGTTCCTACTAACTCTTGCTTTGCAGACGTCAGTCCTTGTGTTGCTTATGTTTTCGTGAATGCACTCAGGCTCACATCCATGTATGGCAGTTGCGTGGTAATTAACAACTCCCTGGCAGTCTTCGAATATATACAGGTCATTCCTCCTGCTGGTATGTATTCCCCTACTTGTTTAATCCGGCGCCGTGATGCCGAGCGGATTCCATCAGCGTTTTCCGCTATGCGCGCGTTGGCTTTGAGCAAAAGTCGGCCGCTCGCAATCCTGGTCTTCTTGCTTTCTATTGTGAACGTGGGCTTCGACTTCGTGCGTGTTTCCTTACGTCTGTGTTTCGTCTACTAACGACGTTGCTTATGTGCAAAGGGTACGTTTCAATACCAAACAGGCAGCGTCAGCGATCCAGTTTGGGGGTGCCTGGTGGATGACGTTCCGTTCTCGCAGGCTCTGCTGATATCGTGAGTGTTATTCTTAAGAGCGGCGATGCTTCTGACCCTGGTATACGCCGCCCATCACGCAGGGGTATGTGCTCCGCGCTATTTTTGCACAGGCAGTTGGAGCCTTACATTTGATATGCGTCAGGCGAAGTGCTTTCTCGGTCGCTCCTTATCCTCGCAGACGGGATCCTCATCTTCCTCACATGGAAGACGCTGCGCCCTGCAGGAACGACAGGAGACTACCGTGGCGTGGTGTATTTCCCGCAAACGTTTGCTCACATCATGCTGCATAACGGTGCGCACGTCCTGGGCTTCTACCGCGATGGTGTTCTGATTGCACACAGGAACGATATATTTCACGTGTGTAGCACAGCTTCTTCATCGAACACAACCACATAATTTCCGTCCCTCACAGCGTGTTCCTGATTCTCAGCTCCTCCGCCTGGCCACATCATTGAGCTCGGTACGCACGAGGGGCGATGTCGCCGTTCCGCACGGCTCTAACTCGACGCGCCCTAGACAATATCCCCCAAGGAACCTCGATCATCGCCATTTCAGCGACCCGTAAGTCGAAAGGCGGTGCCACATCTCACCGCCGAGCTCAGACCTCCCGTCTCGTTCACGCCAGCCTCACCGCGATTTTCGTATCGCGCTTCCTCCTCGACCTCCAGGAGGCCCATCAGCGCACGGTCAAAGTCGCCTCGGACGATCCGCTCCGCTCGTCTGCCTCCGACTTTCGGGTCGGGATAGGGTCTCTGCGCGTCGCGGTGGATGCTATCGGGTCTTTAGGCGCGGATCTCCGGATCTTGGGCGAAGAAGGCGAACGAGGGGGCGAAGTCGACTCTCCGGCACCAGGAGCCGGGGCCGACTCATGGGAGACGCGAGAGGACGTGGGGCGCGAAGAGTAGACGGGGAGCCGGTCGCTGTGGTGCTGGACTGTCTCTCGCAGTTGGAGACGTGCACGGGCGGCGTCTGGACAGGGGTGCGCCAAAGAGACGAGAAGCCTTGGAGGATTGGGCCGGCATCTGCCCAGCACAACGGTTGTGTAGGTGGCACTGCGCCCAAGCTTCATCGATGACGCACATTGAGAGTCGTTTTCGGTGTTGTACGGCTCGCACCATCGTACCATGTACGCTGGAATGTTCATCAGATGCCTGCCCGATCGCACAGCGAGGGGTACATACTAATTAATGGATTCTTTGCTTCGTCGCTGGACGTTTGGACTTCTGGGAGATAAGCGGGTGTCTTGCAGATGCAGACAGAGAAATACTGACGCTCCGGCTACCGCGTCGTCCGCGACGTCTACTGAAACGCGTTCTACACTTGCTCCTCCCCGCCCTGCGAATAGTGCTCACAGGGCTGTCGCCGGACGTACTTATAGCATCGCTGAATCCGGCCTGCGAGAAAATACGATACCCCATGCGTGTAGTAGGACCTGTTTCCGAGCATGCCACGCTGGGCCGCGATGTGTGCGTGCCGTCTAGAAGTGCAGTTTGCCTGGCCGTATACGCCCGGCCGAGAAGGCCGAGAAGGCCGATCGCAGGGCACTGTGCACGAAAGGTACAGATAAAACTGCTTAGAGATGGTACAACACAGACTCCACACCTTCATCCTTTTCCTCCCGTACTTAAATGCTCCCATTTCTATACGACCATCCTGACTTCATGCTACTCAGCACGACTGGTCCTCCTCTCGTTAACTTGAACACAGTCGCGGCAAGCTCTCCTAATCGATTATGTTTGCCTCGGCGACGTGCCACAGACAGCGTGTGCCGTCCTTGGAGCTGCCCTCCGTGTTTTTTTCGCCGATCTCCTCAGGCAGTTCGTTGACTCGCCTGCGAGCCGTCTGTAGGAATCTCAGGCTCGCGTAGACAACAAGCTCGGTCGTGCCTTACTTATGCTTAGTCATCGCGTAGATAGCCGCCGTCTGTCGTCCCGCACTCGCCTCACGCGTTTGCCCTTCCCTACCACCTCGTCTTCTCCTCTAGATGCGTTCGTCTGTACACGCCTCCTGGTGCCCATAGGGACCAAGCGAGCCGTATCAATTGCCTTACCCCTCGTCCGACCTCGTCCAAGCCGCCGACTTCTGACACCGCCACCGGACCCACTCGAGCGCATTCGACTTTGTCTCCTTCGGCCGCACCCGCACCCGCAGCGGCTGACACTACGAGGGCGCACAGCGCGAGCGCAAGAACTACGAGTGCTCGGCGGTGGGGGCCTGCTCGGGGCTACCATTTTTGCAAGGATATTCGAGATGCGAACGTCCAAGCGTTCAGTTTATGTAAGTCTGGACGACATTCGACTCTCAATATCGGTCTTCGCTGGGATTGGGAATCAGGTTCGTGCTGGAAGCGCCCAGCAGGTTGGTACGATATATAATGCTCCGCTACAGCCGAGCCTGGGAAGGCCGCTGCATGCACCACTGCTTCTCTACCAGAGAACCCATCCGACCACGTTTTACGTTACGTGCATGTATCCGCACACCTATCAATCCCGTACTAGATAAGAGCTCTTGCTACTTCCCCTCACATACCGTTCCGCCCCTCACTGCTTGTCCACCTCCCGCTCTTCCAAACATCGCCGGTATGCCTCAATTTAAGCCGGCCCGAGACGCGGATGCCACCAAAGAAGGCCAAAGCAGCGAGCATGGCGGTCGAGCGAACTCGCAGAAAGTACGTAGTCTTCGAACCGATCGACCCCATTCGGAGTCCGCGCGCTGACCTGACTCGCGCTCGCAAGGACATCAGTGCCACGGACGCGAGCGCGCACCAGCCCGTCGCGCACCGCACCACGAACGAGCACCACCAGACCACGCCCGAGTCCCTCCAACCGAGACCCACTGCGCGCGCGCGCGACGACGCCGCCGGCACGCGCGCCCGTGCCCTCAAGCTCGGTCCCCCGCCCGGGCCGCCGTTTTCGAAGCGGCGGCCGCCTGCGCGCGTGGACGTGACGGTCTCCCCCACTCCCGCTCCCGCTCCGACGCACCCGCGCTCCCGGAGGACGACGAGCACCGAACGTCCACCGCAGGCGAACGATCGCAGCCAAGACGACGCCGCTGCCCACGACGCGCCCTCGGCGGGGCCCTCGGCGCGCGCACGCGCTCGACGCCGGTCTGCGTCGCCAGTGCCGGTGCGGGAGGCGCGCGGAGGCGACACGGTCGAGCGCCTGTACCAGGAGCTCGGTATTCCTGCGGAGAAGGCGGATGCGCTCAGGGCGTTGGGGCTAACGGACGAGCGGGTGCGGAACGGGCGGCGGCTGGGGAAGCTGCGGGAGGACTACCAGAAGGAGTTCGGGCTGGTGATGGTGGAGAAGGGGTTCAGCGTGCTCGATGCGTTTATGGTGCTTTCAAGCGGCGCGGAGGCGAGACCGAGTGCGGAGTAGGGATTGGAGATCGCATGTATTTGACCGGCACGGAGTGCATGGTGACGGTGGTGCTGGCAATCAAGTGTAATAAGTGGCGATGATCGATCATCTGAAGCAGCGAACTGAGGCGCGCATAAGCAACAACATGTCTTGTGATATTCAAGTCAGCAAGCCGCGGTCGTGGGTTACGGTCTGGTTCTGGTTATATATGGTGCACGGCATCGAGCTTTACATCGTCATCGTGGAAGTGTGGAGCCTGGCTCTCAACCATGTGATCTATCGAGGTAACCGTGAAGGCAGCAAGAGGCTCCCTTTAGTCTCTTTTCCATTCGCATACGCATGGTGACCAAATACAGCCTCCATCCAGCCTACCGCTCGTAGCGACACTTGTCCGAGTAAAATCCTACGAACAAGGCTAATCAGCGACAGCACAAACGAGTCCAGCACGAGGGAAACTCGCCATCGAGACCCCTCTTAGGATCAAAGTCCGCGCGTTTGATCAAGTCCCGCGCCCGCTCACCGTCCTCCCGCCAAATCTCGACCGGCGTCCGCGCCGCCCCCTCACCCTCGACCCACCACCACTGCTCGTTGCGCGCGATCTCTTCCCGGAGCTCCTCCATCTTCCGCATCGACGCGTTGAGGAACTCGCTGCTCGGCCCCCACCGCTGCCTGATCTCCTTCTCGCGCTCGAGCTCTGCGATCAGCACTGGCGGGACCAGAGTGCGAAACGGCCCGATGTCGAAGTCCAAGGCGCTCGGTTTGCACGACGAGAGCGCGAAGACGCGGAGGGACGGGACGGCCTCGGAGAGCAGGGGAGGGAGCGCCCGGAGGGCCTCGACGCGGCGGACCTCCGCGGCGCAGAGGTCGTCGACGCGCACCGGGCTGGCGGAGGCGATGCGCAAGCCGGCGGGCGGGAGGTGGAGGGAGAGGTGGACGAGCGCGGTCGATCGGAGGGCGGCGATGAGCGGATCCTGCAGCGTTCGCGGGAGGATCGGCAAGTTGTGGCGGAGCGAGACGGGAAGCTTAAGAGGACGCACCACGTATTCGCGCACGTTATATTCGCCATCCGGCGCCACGACGATCGAGAGAGAGCGGAGCTGCCGCGCCGCGCCGCGCAGGGAGTCCCACATTCGGTCCGCTTCGACGAGAAATTTTTTCGTCCGGAGCTCGAGGGCGGTGGGGCTGAAGGTCTTGAGGGGCTGGAGGTAGCGTTCAAAGACGTCCCCACTATAGATTACACCGGAACCCCCGAACGACAGGCGATAGGCAGGCTTCATGCGCTTGACGGTGTCTTCCGCGATGGTGATGCAATATGGAAGATCGAGCTCTTTCAAGCGGGCGGGCCATCGGTCCTCCGCCGTCATATAGAACGTGGCGCACGGTGTATCACGGGGGAAGAGTGTGAGCGACAGTGTGTCGATGTTGGGACAGAGCGTGATGATGTATGCAGGGACCGGGCCCGCAAGGGAAGAGAGGGTAAGGTGACGGATTGAGGGAAGAGCGGGATTGTGGGAGCTACGCATCAGCGGCGCGTTGGGGATAAAGCTGAATCCGATGCTCAGCGTGCGTATGCTTCGGGCCGAGGAAAGGCCCGACAAGAGAGCGGGGAGGTCGACGATGTCCTCCTCGTAGTAGGTACTGTCGAAATCCAATGTCAAAGAGGTGAGCTTCTGGCTTGAAAGCAAGGTTGGCAAAGCGGAGATCGTAGCAGGGCCACTCAGCATGAAACGGGCCTGCTCGAGGTGTTGCATCGCGCCGATCGCTTGGATGACAGGCCCGTCCTCGTCGATGAAGGACTCGAAGTTCGCGATTTGGATGGTGCGGAGGTTAAATGCCTGACAAAGGAGGTTATGAAGAGGAGGAAGATCAACTTCGTGTATGCCGTGACCGAGGCCGAGATGGCGGAGATGCTCGATGCGGGGTACTTGGGACAGTGGCTCGGGTGCGCACATGTACTGCGAAAGGGCGAGCGATTCGGAGCCATCCTCCTTACTATCCGCATTGAACGTTCTACCCCAGGATAGGTCGACGAAGACGAAAGAGATGGCGAGTCTGTAGGCGCTTTTGGATGTGGAAGCTGTGGCCAGCGCCGCCTTGGGATCCAGGAAGGAGAAAGTCGCGAGAAGGACGTCATCGTTGAGAGAGAGGAGGCCCGAAGGGTGGTTCATCTTGGGATACTTTAGATGAACCTCTGGAGCTACGAGGAGAACGAGAACGGTACCGTGATGAGCGAGCCCAAGTCGAACAAGACTCAGCAGGCCGGGCTGCTCGTCTCGGGATTTGCACGTCCGAGCTTGGTCGTTGTGAGATCCTGGAGACGTCGCTGTTGTTCCTAACAGCCTGGGTTTGAGACTTCTGTATGTACGTGAAAAGGAAAGAAGGGAATGAAACGGATGGCGGAGAGGCACAAGCGCCGGCATCTCGGCGTGCTGTCAGCAACTCATGGCAGGCGCCACCCGGTGCCTTCAAGTCCCACGACCTCTCCTTCTCCTTCTACTTCAGTTCTATCTCAGCTTCGTCTTCCATACTCTCTCTTGAACATATGACCCTGCTCTGCCGCATCCATTCATGAAGCTTCGCCGGGGAAATGAATTCCCCACAAACGGGCCTGTCGCGCAACACCGTCACACGAGGGTTTGCCTTCCGGCTTGCTCACCGTCTCAAGCACCGATCCAGCGAGTTCCAACGTATCACCTTGTCGATCTCCGGTCTTGGAAGAGAGAATCCGTCGCTTGTGTCGCTTCACCGGCGCCCGGAGATCATGGCCGCCGCGCTCATACATAGGAGCGAAACTCGCTGTTCCTTCCAGTGCGTGTGCTTGCCCTGCTTCGTTGTGTCGTCTCCTCGTACTTGCCACCGCCATTCGTTTATCCAAGAACGAACAGCACGGGACATCCACACTGTTTCTTTCTGAATACATCTGCGCCGTTACTCCCCGTCCGCGGAACTATTGCGTCGCCACACCGGGCTGCAACGAGCGGTGGGTGAGGGAGGGTGGTGATTGGTGACGCTACGGAAAGCTCGGGGGGTGGTGGACCATGGTGGAGGACGGCTGCAGGGAAGGCTGCGGTACGTACTCTGTCACATCATGCTATGGACCGACTCCCCGGGCCTCAGCACGTCTCTTGCATTCCGCAGCCCCAGTTCACCCCAGGCACCATCGACGAAGACGCTCTCTTCCTAATATTCTCCCGACTCCAGGCTGCCGATGCCTTTGCAAGGCCGTGCGCTTCCCGTCTCGTCGATCGGTTCAAGTCCACTTGAGGTTTTCCTGGTCCAGGAAGGTCTACATGGAGCTGGGCGACGACTCGTGGGTCCCATTGTCTCGCATGTATTTGACTGGCACGGAGTGCATGGTGACGGTGGTGCTGACAATCAAGTGTAATTAATAAGTGGCGATGATCATTTTTAAGCAGCGAACTGAGGCGCGCATAAGCAACATGTCTTATATTCAACTTAGCGAGCCGTGGTTGTGGGTTACAGTCCGGTTCTGGTTCTGGTACACGGCATCGAGCTTTACATCGTCATCTTGGAAGTGTGGGGCCTGGCTCTCGATTATGCGGTCTATCGAGGCAACCGTGAAGGTGGCAAGAAGCTCCCTTTAGTCTCTTTTCCCTTCGCAACATACGCATGGTCACCAAAAACAACCTCCATCCAGGCTACCGCTCGTAGCGACACTTGTCTGAGTAAAATCCTACGAACAGGGCTGATCAGCGACAGCGCAGACGAGTCCAGCACAACGCAAACCCACCATCGAGACCCTTCTCGGGATCGAAGTCCACGCGCCGGATCAGGTCCCGCGCCCGCTCCCCGTCCTCCCGCCAAATCTCGACCGGCGTCCGCCCCGCGCCCTCGCCCTCGACCCACCACCACCGCTCGTCGCGCGCGATCTCTACCCGGAGCTCCTCCACCCTCCGCATCGACGCGTTGAGAAACCCGCTGCTCGGCCCCCACCGCCGCCGGATCTCCTCCTCGCGCTCGAGCTCCGCGATGAGCTCCGGCGGGGCGATGACGGTGTGGAACAGCCCCCACTCGTCGTCCATGGTGCTGGGCTTGCCCGACGAGAGTGCGAGGACGCGGAGGGACGGGACGGCCTCGGCGAGCCGGAGGGGGAGCGCCCGGAGGGCGTCGACGCGGCGGACCTCCGCGGCGCAGAGGCCGTCGATCTGCTCCATGCTGGAGACGGGGGAGCCCCGGGCGACGGGAGGGAAGTGGAGCGAGAAGTGGAGGAGCGAGCGGGTGGAGCTGAGGGCGGCGAGGAGCGGACCCTGCGTGTGCGGGAGCATCAGGGCTGACGTTTCGCGGGGCGGCACGGCGGGGGGACGTACGGTGTAGTCGCGCACGTCGCCTTGGCGGAATAGTGTGACGGCGATGTCCAAGGAGCGGAGCTGGGGCGCGACGCCGCGGAGGGTGTCCCACATCCGGCGCGCTTGGACGAGATCGCTTTCCGTGTAGAGTTTGAGGGCGGTGGGTCGGAATATATCGAGGAGCCGAAGAAGTCTTCGAAAACGTCCGCGCTGGGGATTGGACTGTCGTGCCCGAACGACAGCCGGCCGACGTGCGGGCCAAAGCACTGGTGAGCGTCCCCGTCCCCCACGAGCGTGAAGTGCAAGGGGAGGTCGAGCTCTTTCAGTCCGGCGGGCCATCGGTCGTCTGTCGACATGGAGAACCTAGCGGAGCCAGGGCCGCCCGGGGAGCGTGTCTCGAGAGATAATGACAAGGTGAGTAGGTTGGGACACAGCGTCACGATGCGTGCGGGAATGAGGCCAGGGGGGGAACTGAGGGTAAGGTGACGAACTGATGGAAGGGCGAAGTCGCTTGAAGCGGGAGGAGGCGGGGAAGTGGGGGTGTAATTGATAGCTAGGTTGAGTGTGCGAATGCTCGAGACGGAAGCGAGGCAGGACATGAGGGCGGGAAGGTCGATGCTGCCCCCGTCCCTGTAGAAGGCAGAACAGAGTTCCAGTGTCAAAGTGGTTAGTTTCGGACTGGATAGTATGACTGGGAGATTAGAAACCGTCTTCTGGGCGATGCTTAGCAGACGTGCATTCTCGAGGCGATGCATCGCGCCGATCGCTGGGACGACGCGCCTGTTGTTATAGAGGAAGAACTCAAAGTCTTCGACGTCGATTGTGCGGAGATTGGAGGCTTGACTGAGAATGTCGGGGATGTGTTTCAGTTCGAATATGTCTATGCTGTAGCCGAGGGTGAGATGGCGGAGATGTTGGACGCGGGGGATTTGAGAGAATGGTTCAGGCGCGCACGTGTAGCGCGAAAGGGAGAGGGCTCTGTCGGAGCCGCCCTCTTTGCGGATACCCCAGGATCGGTGGGCGAAGATGCGAGAGATGGCGAGTCTGCAGGCGCGTTTGGAGGTGGAGGCTATGGCCAGCGCCGCCTTGGAATCCAGGAAGGAGAAAGTCGCTAAGAGGACGTCATCATTGAGGGAGAGGAGGCCCGAAGAGCGGTTCATCTTGGGGGACTTTAGAGGGACTTCTGGAACTACGAGGGAGAAGAAGAGAAGGTACCATTCAGCGTATGATATTTTACAAACGAGTCAGAGCTTGAGGTCGGTCGTCGAGCCGATATTCTGGAGACTTTGTTGGCGGCCTAAGGGCGCAGGTTTGAGCTGCCAAGTAGTAGGATGAGGTGGCGCAAAGGAAGAGGCGGAAGGAGAGAGGCAAAGAGCTCCATCTTGACCAGATGCTTAGGGGCCGCGTTCAGCCAAGAGCCAGGGCGGTGGCGGGAAGAAACATGAGGGCGTCAATGTCTGAATCAGCCTTCGTCTCTTCCATCCTTCTCGTTCCCCAGTGTCCCCATCTTCCTACTCTCTGGCTACGTAGGGCTGTTCCATTTGTGCCGCGCCGAAGACCTCCCTCTCCGCACACGCGCACATCGTTCAGCGGTTCGCTCGCGCGGCGGACTCGCCCTCCGGCTGGCCCAAGGTACCGACGCAACCTATCGCAGCGTACCACCTCAGGCCTATCTGACTCTCATCGTCGGAGCGGGCGGTCATTGCTCGCACGCCCACACCGGCGATGTGTAAGCGGAGCTTCTTGATCACTCCGGTGCGTCTGCTTGCCCCGTCGGTTCGTTGCATCGTCTTCTCATCCGCCCCTATACGCGATACCCACGTCATTCCCTAAAGGTTTTCAGAGCATCGATACCTTCACCTCTCCGCCTTCCGTCGCATCTTTGTGTCGCCACTCCAGTCGGCCACGGGCGAGAGTGGAGGTTGGCGGAGACTTGACGCAACAGCAAGGACAGAAGGCGAATGATAGTGGCGGACGGCTGGGGCGGATGCAACGGGTATACAGCAGGGGATCTGGTATGTCTTCTTTAACCTCAGCTATATATCTCTTGCGTTCTGCACCACTGCTTTCCCTCAACAAAGACGCGCTCTTCGCAATGTTCGCCGTCCCCACGAGAACCCACCGATATCCTTCCAGTGTCGTGCGCTTCGCGTCTTGTCGCCACTCCTCATGTCTTATCGACCTTTTCTGGTGTAGAGGTTCCGAGGCGAAGAAAGACAGCGATTCGCAGTTAAAAGCGTTCTGTGAGTCCATGTGCGGACGTTATCCCGTGTCCCAGATCCCCCCACCCGCCGCCTCCGCCGGTTCCGTCTCAGCTTCTATTTCGAACCTGCGGACATCCCACCTGTGGCGGGGTGTCATCCTCACAACGGGTGGGGGAAGATCGTTGGGCGGGTGGAAGATAGATGGCTTTCGCTTCGCGAGCTGGCTTCCTTTCTCCTACACGTCTATCCCCCCAGAGATTCGGTCCGTATATCGAGCGACAGCCAGTCAGCATATCACCCTTTGTGCGCGGACTTCGTAAGGGCAGCGTTGTTTTCGCTGACCCTGTGGCCCAGGTTTCTCACCTCACCGCAACGTCGCGAAGTTCACGGTGAGTCGTCTTACGAGCCGTCGTGCAACTCTGATGGGACCCGCCGTGATATACGTCTTGGCCGCGCTGGAGCCCCAGTTACTTCTCCATTTTGCAGCATCGATGATACCTGAACCCGACGGCATCATCGAGGTGCTCCGCCTGCCGCCGCTCGCCGTCACCCGCGTCCTCCCGTCCCTCCGCGTCATCGCTTATGGGCGCCCCATGCAGAGCGCGTGCTCGGCGGCGATCCGTGGTCGTCACTGCGGTTCGACTTCAATCCGGAGCGAGTGCTGGTTTTAAGCCCCGCCCGGGATACGCTCAGAACATGCGGCCTCGGCGTTCAAGCTGACCGACGCCGTCGCGTCGGAGCCAAGCAAGAGCAGCAGACCACCACCCCGGCACGCGTCAAAGAGGCCGTAGGATGACGTGGTAGCCTGGACGCACGCCTTGCTGCGGGTTTCCAGCGAGGTCTCCACCAGGATGCGAAAGTGAGTGCATCATCATTCTATCCTGGGACGGTATTGACGCTGCCAACACGGAAATATGTGGTCTCGTCCCCAGCCGCTCTATACCGCACCCCACAGGTGCAGGCGGTGGTGCGGTGCGGTATAGAGCCTCGGCTTGGGACGAGACCAGGAAATATATGTGAGACCATGTGGTGCTGGACGAGCGATGGGCGTCTATGAGTTCATCCCCAGACGTCGCGCCAGGAGGTCTCCGGCTAAACTCGCGCACGGACACGGGGCCGGCTGTCGCGCCTGCGAACGGGCACCTGACCTGCCTCAAGGGGCGAGAAGCCAGGGCAAAGTTCGGGGTCCTCTGCGGAAGCGTGAAAGCCCTTTGAGGATAAGTCTCACATGGGATCGATCGACGCCTTTGCTCCCAACCCCGCAGTCATTCTTGCCGTCTCGCTCGTCGAAACTGCGCCGGACGTAGAAGTCTCCGGTGCGAGGTCGGGATCACTCCGGTGGTCAGCGCCTTTCCCTACGCAGGTTCCCATAGACATGGAATGCGTCAAATTCAGGTACGTTTCTTGTAGTTGCAGTCGGTGCTCGGTGCCTTACCCAATTCTCTTGACCGTGATTTGGCGGGACCGATCGACGCGTCCGACGCGCGGGCAGAGAATGAGCCTCACTTCCAAGACCAAGGTGGGCTTTTTGTCATTTTCCCACTGGCCTCCGATGCTACTTAACATTGGACTGTTTGGAGCGCGCGCTTGCTCCGACGTCATGTGTTCTTGATGTCCGTTCAGGCGGTGCTCGCAGATGCTGAACTGTCATTCTTGCCGTCTCGCTCTTTCATCGCTTTTCTCTGCCTTCCGAGCCGGCATGCTTCTAGCAGAATATGAGGCGTCACCAATGGTTTTTCACAGACCCCATGTCTCCCGGGTCCCCGCGACTCCCCACAAGTTAAAAGGGTCACCTAGCTGCAGAGATCTCAGTCAGCCATCAGCTGCACCTCGTCCTGTAGGCTCTCTAGCTTTCTGTACACGCACGCCCCTCTTACCCGTACTCGAGCAGTAAAGCCCATCCTCCACGGACTGCGAAAGCACGGTTTCCTCATACACGTATTCCAGCGATTCGATGTCCTCGTCCACGCATTCCACCACTGCTCCGTCTGCCGTGAGTGTATCGTCTTTCCCACCCATCTCGAACCGCTCCCGCTCACGCCTTTCTCCTACAGACCGCTTCCGACCCCACTCCCGCTGAGTGCTACGGCAAAACCGTGTCCCTCTTCCGCATGTACAGCCCCTCCGCCACGGACCACTTCTACACCACCGACGCGACGGAGCGCGACCGTGCAGTCGGCTCCCTCGGGTACACCAACGAGGGGACCGCCGCCCAAGTCTTCTCCGCTTGCGTCTACGGCGCCGTCCCGCTCTACCGCCTCTACAGCGCGGGCGGCACGGACCACTTCTACACGACGAACGCGAAGGAGCGCGACCACGCGGTGGTCGCGCTCGGGTACACGAACGAGGGCGTCGCCGCGTACGTCTACCCGGGCGCGAAGTACGGGAGCGTCCCGCTGTTCCGGATGTACTCGGCATCGGCGTCGGACCACTTTTATACGACCGACGTGGACGAGAAGAACAGGGCGGTCGCGTCGTTGGGCTACTCGGACGAGGGAGCTGTCGGGTACGTGTACCAGGTGAAGGTCGCGAACTGCTGAGCATATTATGGTGAGTGAGAATGGCGCCGACTGTGACCTATGACCACGGCTCGCTGACTCCGAAAATCTTAGGAGCTATTTCGGTTTCGAGTGGGGAGTATCCATCCCTCTTTTGTACATTATGTTACGCCATTTATTCTCGTATCTCGTATCCGCCAGTTACACACGCACACGTCCGCGCCGAAAGGGTCTGCTCCAGTGCTCGACTCGTCGTCCTGCCACTGGTCCATCTTCAACGCCCGGTACTGCATTTTTCCGTAGTGATAACCGAAGTCACCTGCTGTTCACTCTGGTCAGCCAAGTACAAACCCATGTAATATATAAGTTGTGAATATCGTTATGAGCGTGGAGCCTTTCGGCTACTCCGCGTTGTACTAGCCCTCTTCTTTCGCAGGATAGTAGTCGGATTCGACCGTCGGAGAGTCGCCATCTTTGTCTTCATCGCGCGAGGACCTCGTTTCTGGTCCGTCCCCATCGATCCCACCGCATCCGCTGTGAACCGAAGCGATCCCATCCCCATCTGAAATTTGTACGAATGTGGCCGGAGTGATGGGGCTTCCGACCCCAGTTTGAATGCGTTTTGAATGCGCTTCCTGCAGGTCCAGTAAGGACCGCAACACGAGTTTTTCATTCAGGCTAAAACCAAATACGTGCGCAGAGCTGAAGTGACATTCGAACAGCGCCTACCCTAGCTATCTAATCTTATCTCATGGAGCGCTTACACAATATGGCGCAGAATGGACTGCCCAAGCCCCGTGCGACTTGCAAGCTCATCGTCCTCCTCCTCGTCCCATTCGCGGTTCACCCGATCTCCTCTCACAGCATATGCCTCTCGGTTGGCTCCGGAAATTTTAAAGACGGGGGACTCGACGCACGTTCACTGGTGCACAGGGTATGCCACGGCTCGAATAACGAGCCGGTGACGCGGTCCACGCCCAAGCTGCAGAGGAAGTGCGGCTGCGGACGGCGCGAACGCGCACAGTCCTCCAGGACCAGGGGCGGTGGTGGATCGACGGGACTCACGCGCCGCTGGTCGTGGTCGAAAGGCGTAGAGAAAGTGTGAAGAGTTCGACTCGACGATGGCTCTGAACGGCGAGTGTTCCCTCGTTTCCCTCTGCGCTTCCTCTCTGTACTCGATCTGGAAGTTCATGGGGTTATTCTCTGGGGAAGCCCTGTGATGAGAAGAGACCAGCACGTCCCCAACGTCTCTTCCCCGTACATCCGCCACGCTGCAGCTCCGGGAACAGAAACAGCGACTGGAACGCACGTGAGTACATGTCATGTTCGAGTTCCGACTTCCCTCCCGTCACACACTGCTTCTGCTTCCGCATGCTGGCCTTAATCGTACTGAAGGAGTCGCTGCTTTCCGCGATAAAGTCTACGCGGCTCGTCCACCTTCCCGCCCACCCGCGCCCGCGGATGCGCATCGTCAAGTTGACTATCCCATCGCGAGGGGCCACCACGCTCACTTTCAGTGCGGCACGTTGGAGCCGTACCGTCGCTCTACTTTTCCGCGCTCTCGGTCATCACGCTCGCACCACACCGGCTCGGGCCCACCAGCTTCGACCCGCGCGGGCTGCCTGGCGCTGTTGGACGTTCTCACGGCGCTGGTCGTGGAGCCCGAGCGTGTTCCTCAACGCTTCGTGACGGAAGGTCAGGGAGCCCCGGAGGAGCCCACATCGTGCCGCTCTTCCCCCACTTCTCCCCGTTCTCCTTTCGTCCGCGACGGTGCGCGGTAGCATTCCCTCCTTGCCTTCATGCGCGGCATCGTGCCACAGGAGGCGCCCCAGCGCATGAGCGACCTAGATCAGCCGGTGCTCCTCAGTAGTCAATCAATACGTACGAGGTCGTGGGCCAGCGATGGGCGAGGTCGAGCTTATGTCGAAGTTCTTTGTTCCTCGCCAGCAGGCCATCTGGCCGGCTGCGCTCCAGCACAATTACAGTGTGGTGTGTCACTAGGGGAGGACCACAAGAGGCTCCGGTTGAACGCTCCTGGCGCGGCAGCTGCGCTTCCTCGACGTCATCGTAAAGCACGTCGTGAGTCCTTGGCTCGTCCGTCTCTGAAACACATCTCTGGTACCCATCTTCGCCGCGCTACCTTCCCACACCTCCACAGCCTGGCCGACGGACTGCGCATGGCCGAGGTCCGCCGCATCTTTCTCGCCCAGATCTTCCCAGCCGAACTTGCGCGTACAATCTCTACCCGACGTGTCCTCGCGCTCTCGTCATGTATTCCTGGCGCGCGGGCTCTCGACTGCGACGACGTCTCGGATGGCGATGACTGTACGTGGTCGGGGGACGACCGGCGCGGAAGCCTAATGCAGGCGAAGTTTGACGAGGCGCTAGAGATGCTGAAGGTTGCGTTGCAGGAACACGAAGGATCACCAGCTGAGCGGTGGGGTGGATCGAGGCGGGGGCATAGGTGCGGAGCGCGGTGGAGAGCTGGTGGGACGACGTGGACACCACGCGCGAGCTCGTCGAGGGTGGGTGTTCGACACCGCGGCAACACCGCCTGGTGAGTGCCCTCGTTACTTCTCGCGCAAATACCGTGCACTAATCCTGGAAGTGCGTGTAGCAGATGCCTCGAAGTCTGCGCATTTCTCGTCTGCGACAGAAGGTCTGCTGAGCCGAGCCGGTCAGCGAGTGGGCATGCGGACCTAGCGCACCTTTGCACAATGCGGATACTCCATACAGGTTACCCGGTGCGGACCGCGTGCTCGACGTGAGCCACGCATCTGCGTCCCCGATCCGGTGAGTATTCAGATAGGTGCTATCAGGACGCACTGTGCTGACTTGAGTTGCGATCTCCGGGCGATGCGGCTGATCTGCTGAGCTGCAGCCGAATCTACGACGCAGCGGACGCGTCACCGCATGTATATAGTTTTCCCATACCGATCTCGGACTACGTCTCCATATGCTCGTGCGCGAGCGGGACATGTCGCGTGGCGGTGCTTCTCGGCGAGGACCGCGTGCTCGACCGGCTTCCGATACCACGGAGCCCACCCGCGCGGTGATTCGAGAGCGTCTCCCTCGACGACACGAATGGATGCCTTGAGTGGTGCGTGGACTGGATCTAGTCCACGATGCGCTTCTCCGATCGAGGACGAGGCTGTGCGTAGTTCGAACCCTTCGACGGTTTTGGGTTCCCGCGGCGCACCCCTCACCTGCGAGGAAGATCTTCGGGGACACAGGGGAGATCGGGAAGATGGCAAGCCACGATGGCAACACACTAATTGACGGCTACTGGACAGGACCCATAGAGCTGTGGCTTCATTTCTCTGCGGCGGCTTGCCTTCGTCTCTCGCCCTGTCGCGCGCTGCCATTATATCGTTTATAAAGTAGGTGGGGAAATTTGTATCTACTGTATCTACTGTATGAGCATTAGAGTAGAGCCTGCGTTCTGCACAGACTCTAAGCCCATGTGGTTGATGCAGAACACCGGTGGGATTCCCATTCTGGCGTGACCTACGCGCTTCGTGCTCGGCTACAGCTTTCAGATGAACACGGCGGTGGTCTCACTAGCATCTGATCCCTGAGCCGGAGTAGCACCGGTACAGCCACACGCTGACAGATAGCTCTATCCATACCAGCAGCAGCAGTGATCTTGCGGCATCCCGCGTGCATGGACACATGGTGCAGCGTAGTATCCTGAGGTACTATTCATGGCAACTTGTCGCCATGTTTGTGCGGCGCTCCACGAGGCCTCGTATAAAGAGAGGATCTACACTAACATTTACACTGTCCTCCCCTCACAGCACAATGTCAACGGAAGACCTCGGTGACCAAATTTCGCAAGTGATAGAAGAATATCAAGATCTGTATGTGCCATTCTGCAGAAATGAAAGCACTTCTCATCACCTCCTTGGTACGACCATATAGTTATACCGATAACTACGTGATGGGTGCAGCAGCTGGTCAGTAATATGTTCTTATGAGCCATGGAAAGAGGTTCACATCTACAAGTCATCCTCATTTTCGACTATCTCCTCACGTTCGGCCGAGAGGTCAATTTCTTCTGGAATCGGCGCGTGTCAGGCTCGACAGTACTATTCATCTTGAATCGCTACCTTGCCCTTATATTCCAAATTCTTTCGTTTCTTGGATTTCACCCATTCTCCGACCAGGTGTGTATTCATCAATTTCCTTGGATGTCGGTGCTCACTTTCCTGTGCTTTGCAGACGTCAGTTTAATTGATGATTCTCTTAACTTCCTTGAGCTCAAGTTCGTGTACAACAGTTGCACCATACTGAATAACACCTCGGCGGTGTTGGAATACATACAGTTGCTTCCTCCTGCAGGTGTGTATGACACTGCCTATCACTTGACAGTAATGACGAGTAGTATCTGCTAGCATTCTCTGCAATGCGCGCATTAGCGCTGAGTCACAGTCGCCCACTTGCAATGCTGGTGCTCATATTTTCCATTGTGAATGTGGGCTTCGACTTTGTGCGTGTCTGCGCAATTCTTCATTCGTTGGTATGCTCAACGGCCTGTAATATGATCCCAATAAGTAGGGGTTTCGTCCATATCAAACACCGAGCATCAGTGATCCGGTTTGGGGTTGCCTCGTTACCTATTCGGAACGTACACTCCCCAGGCCGGTCATGATATTGTGAGTATGATCTTGAAGCTCGGTGGCTGTGATTTATAACATCTCCGATCACACAGTGGTACGTACTCATGGATTTATCAGCAGTTGCATATTCCACTGCAGTGTTTGATCCGATCTGCTTCAGGGGAGGTAATTTCTCGGTCACTGCTGATCCTCGCAGATATTATCGTTCTTTTTTTAACCTGGAAAACACTACGCCCTTCTGGAATAAAACTGGATCATCAAGGTGTGGCCAGTTCTTCACGAACGTTCACCAACATCATGATACACAAAGGTCCGTTAATTTCTGTCTCTGACAACATGCTGAGTTTTGACTCATTCACAGGAACCATGTATTTCATGTATGTTTTTCAGAACATCCTTCGAACTCTTGTCAAATGTGTATCTTATTGCGCAGTGTTTTTCTTATCTTCAACGCCCTCCGCATGGCAACCAGTTTGACAGGGGCAGGCAATATAGTGTAAGGTACAGGACTCACGCACCTAGGACAGGACAGCGCGGAAGCCCGCGCGTCGAGACCAGCACGACGACAGGCATCCGCGATCGTGCGCGCGCACCCGGTGTGCGCGCGCGGCCACCATCTTCTCCGTTCGCGCCGGATTAGCCGGCGCCTCTTTATTTCTCACTTCACGATCTCTCCCTTAGATAGATCTCTCCGTGTGGTTACTCAGACGATGGAGGCTTGTAAAATGACAATATCACGATCGCACCGGTGCCAGACTCGTCCAAACCTTTGATTGAGGTAACGAATACAGCGGTAGTGCGGGTGGAGGTAAGCTGGCGTCCGTGGGACGCGCGTAGAGTACATAAGAGTCCGTATGGTCTCAGATCGCCCGATCTGATGGCCGAAGTTCGGCGAAATACTTCGCCGAAGTCAAGACGCCCGAGCCCTGCTCGCAGCGTGGCCGAAATTCGGCCGGTACGCCGAACTCCGGCACCGAAATCCGGCACGTGCGCGCCCTGCGCGCCCGTACCTTAACATCCTCCTCCTCTGGACCGCAGTGACGGTCCTACTTGCGCTCAACGCTGGGCCCCGACGAGATGGAGATAGCGGAGGGGGACACAGGGGCCGCAGAGGTAGACACGACAGCGCCAGTCGACGAACTCGACGCGATCGGGGGGTAGCGTCTTCAGCCTTCATCTCCACGTCCGGCGCAGAGGTGTACTGGGGGATGCGTGCGCCGAAATTCGGCGCGCTGCTGCGGGGGATAGTGCCGAGGAATGCAGGGGTGGTGAATTCGGCCAGGGTGGGGATGACGGAGTCCGGCGCGCGAAGGTGAGAGCGCATCGCAGCGGCGAGGTGCTGGAGTTGGCGAACGCGCTGATCGCCTGGACTGAGGCCAAGGAGTGCGAGCCAGGCGGCGATGTGGTGAAGTTCGAGTGCGCGGCAGTCGAAGGGGAAGGCCATATCGGCCGGAAGGATGTCGGGCTTTGCCTGGACGAACTGGCCGAGGTTCACAATGAGGGAGTAGAGGCCCTCGACGGAGAAGAGTTCGATCGCGCCACGGAAGAATGCGGATTCACCGTACTCTTCGGCGACACCAAAGGGAGGCCGGCGCGGCGATGCGATGGCGAGCACAGCAAGCGCGGCGCAGTCATCTGGATGAGGTTCGCAGCGATCTTCGGCGTCGGCGGACTCTTCAGGGAGAGCTCCGTTCGTGTCACGGACGGCCGACGGCCAGAGCATCGGATGGGAGTCCCGAATGTGTGCGGCGATGTGCGACTCGTCGCCTGGGATGATGGTCGGCAGGAGGCAGTTGAGGTGATCGCGCCAGTCGTCCGTCGTGACCGGAATGACGAAAGAAGAGGGAATACGCGGCCGAGTGGGGTCCGAAATGAGAGTGGGGAGCGGCGTATCCATAGAAGGAGCGGCAGGCAGCGGATCCGGTCCGCGCATGGCTTCCAGAGCGTTCGGAGGAAGAGGGATGGTGCCCGTCGCAGGAGGACGGTATCCAACGGAGTTGACTTCGCGAGTGGCCGTCTTGCCCTTGCTGGACAAGCTGATGACGGCCGCCAGTGCGTCGTCGAACGGCATGAGAGCGTCAGTTCGGTCCAGCGAATACGAGCGTACAAGGTACCGCTCGCCTTCGCTGCGCCGAGTTCGGCCTTCAACGTGCTGCTGATACATCAGGAAAACCCTCACTTGCATATTAGCACTTATTGCTCTAACACACAGTCTAACACAGATAATGGAGCAATAATTGGTGCTCATCTGCAGATTAGTGCTAATGTAGTTCTAACTTTTGCAAATCATAGCATTGTGTGCGAGACTGTTTCAAGGTGGGCTCAAGTTGTGCTAATAATCTCTTATTGGGCAAGTCTCTGCACACACAAAGATACGATAGTTCAAAAGATAGATGAATATTCAACAATATGGACGACATTAGAACACATGGGTTGAGTTCCAGCGGAGGATGCATCAAAAATTGTGGCCCGAGAATTGCTCTCCACATCTCCCCCCACCCGTTGCACTGACGTTCACCCCTCCACGTGTGCCACAAGTACGCGCCATCGCGTCCGGCTCACTCTCGATGCACAAGCACGTGCACAACCCCGGCCCAGGTTGGGTAGCCGGAGACGACGACTCCGAGTAGTCCAGGAAGGAGGAGTGCCGGACAAGCAGCCGGGTGAGCGCGAACCAGGCGCACGCGAGCCAGGCGCGCACGAGCACCTCGAGGTCCGCGTCCCCGAACGTGACCCACCGATGGGGCACCGTGCACTCGAACGCGGCGACGTGCGGGGTCCCATCCGCGAGCGGCGGCGCGGCGAGGGCGGGGAATGCGCACGCATCCATCCGTGGGCCAGGCCGGGCCATGCAGCGACACACACGCGGCTTGAATAAAGGACGTGTTTGCGGGCTTGCCTATACATCCGCAACCCAGAATCCTCGTCACGCAGGGGTGACCCCACCATCGACTGAGCCACCCGCGTCATCGCCGTCCACACGCTTGCCCAAGAGCCCTTCACCCTTCACGCTCACCACGCCGTACTGCGCGCCGCCGCCGCCGCCGTCCTCGGGGGTCGTTGGGTTCGTGTTGGAAGGAGAATGTGTGGAGGAGGGCCTCCATGCGGTCGACCTCCGCCGCAGGTGCGTATCACAGCATGCGCGAGACTTTGGCATGTGGCACCGGGGGCGCGCTCGCGCTCGTGATCTATGGTGAGAGGGTGGGTTGGAAACAATGTGCATGGGCGACGCGGGAGAGGTGAGCAACGCACGGTTAAGGGGGTGAGGTGGGTGACGAGGGGCCAGCCAGGTGGTGCAGGTGGTGCGGGGGTGACGCGGGGCAAGGTGGGTGATGCAGGTGACGCACGGCGAGACGGGCGGCGTGGGGGTGACGCGGGGGACGCTGGAGATGCAGGCAAGGTGGGCGATGGCGAGACAGGCGAGGTGGGTGACGTGGGCAAGGGCGAGACGGGCGACGCGGGGCGACGCAAGGGCAAGACGGGGGCGGCAATAGGGAGAAGCACAGCGAATGCCCAACGCATGCTGCCATAGAAAAGAGAAGAGGCAGAAGACGGCTGCCGCTGCTGCGAGATCGGCGGCGTCAGCTCGCAAGGGAGACGGGACGATGAGGAGCGTGCTCACGGGAGGTCGTTGATATCAGCTTGAAGTCGGTCGGCGAAGTGATAGAGCATCTCCGCCCAGTTGTCACGCAAGTCCCAGGTGATGCGTGTTGGAGAGTCGATCTGGACAGGGCTGATCCCGCCGCACTGGATGAGGACAGGAGGCGGCGGGGTGGTAGCTGAGCTCAATGAAGAGCGCGTTTTTGGTGGTTGTCAGAGCGAGACGGCGAGGTGGGCGAGGGGAAAGATGCGGGCGACGCGGGAGACATGGGCTAGGGGAGCGATGCGGGAGTAAGACGAGGGCAAGGTGGACGAAGTAGACGAGGTGGAAGTGGTTTCCGGAGCGCGCGGAGGAGCGACATGGTCCGCAGCGAGAGAGAAGAGATGGTGGAGGGGGAAGAGGGAGAGAGAAGTGGCAACGAGGCCCAAGCGGCCGTGCGCCGTTGAGCGAGGGCGCGTGCAAGTAGTCGAGGTCGACGAGGAACGGTGCTGGCAATGCCAGGTGCTGGAATCGACGCGACGCGCGTCGATTCCCACGCGTGGACCCGCACTGCCAGCACCTGCCAGTGTGTCCTTCCACGTTCCACCACCTTCTCCTCATCTACTCCCTCCTCACCCACCGCTTCCTCTCCTTGCTCCCTGGCCAGCCGCAGACATTTCGCGGTGGTGGCAGCGTCCGCACGTTCGTGGAGGAGGGCACCACTCTCCACCGTGGCTGGGGGCTCCTTGGACCGTTGCCCGCGACACCCTCGACCCATTCACGGTGCGTCTCCTCATTGACTCGGCACGTCGTCATCATAACTCAAGGTTTCGGCTACGGCATCGCCCTCCAACTGGCGGAGGATTGCTCACCGCTCAGGCCTCAAAGCTCGACCTCCCATGCGAGCAGACCAACCTGGTGAGCCCACATCTTCGACGGTGTTCCCGCGTTGCCTACCTCGCCCATCTCGCCTCCACCCACCTCCCACCTGCTGCACTCGGTCTCTCCCACGCGTTCAGTGCAGCGAATCGTGC